TCCATTATTATTTTTTTGTTTCACTAATCTAGTCTTACATTCGCCATTAGGTGATGATTTACAGGCTCATTAACCGAGGTACCATTGAAGAAAGGATGATGCAGTTGACTAAAAAGAAGATGGTTCTAGAGCATCTTGTTGTCGGGAAACTGAAAACACAAAACATTAATCAGGTATAGTTTTATTGCTTGAAGATGTACCCTTTCACGTGATTTACAAATTTCTCAACTGCTTGGAGTTAGAAAGTAGATTCATCAAGAAGAACACCTTTTGTTATTTTTGTCTATTGATTGTGATAAGTTTCTTGTTTGTTTTATTTCCCTGACTGGAATTTAGGAAGAGTTAGATGACATAATCAGGTATGGTTCAAAGGAGCTTTTTGCTAGTGAAGATGATGAAGCAGGGAAGTCCGGAAAAATTCATTATGATGATGCGGCTATAGACAAGTAATATACTCTTTCCCCTGCTTCCTCCTTTTTGTTTGTTTTTGGTATCCAAGGATTTCTGCGCTTTCCTATTGCTTATTCTCCAAGGAAAGCTGTTGCGATCAATTGCATGTATATATACCCTTATTTATCTTCATCTTATATTCTGCAGGTTGCTCGATCGTGATATCATAGATGCTGAGGAGGTCGCAGAGGAGGATGAAGAGGAGAATGGATTTTTAAAGGCTTTCAAGGTTTTTATCCCTCTTACTTTTCTTCTTCTTCTTCTTCTATTAGTATTTTCTGGATCAGTGTTAACTGATTTTGATTTATGACATTATTAAATGAAAGGGCAAGGTGGTTGATGTTCTTGTAATTTTCCTTCGAGTATGAGAAACAATCTTTGAGATTATTGAACATTTGAATCCCCTAAACATTATTCCGTCTTTGCATGCATATAGAAATTATCTTCACCGATTAGGGTGTTAGATATCGGTTTAGTGTCTATTAGCGCTGAAAATGGCTTAACTTATAAGATTGTTTGTCATGTATTTTAGGTGGCAAATTTTGAGTATATAGACGAAAATGAGGCGGCAGCATTAGAGGCACAGAGAGTTGCTGCTGAAAGCAAATCTTCCGCAGGTGATAGGGCAAGTTATTGGGAAGAGTTATTAAAAGACAAATTTGAGGTGCAGCAGGCTGAGGAGCTTAATGCTCTTGGGAAGAGGAAAAGAAGTCGCAAGCAGGTTTGGCCTCCCTTATCCAATCATTTTGGAAAGTAATAATTTGGTTGACTGGATTTAATAAATGCTAAACACCCTTTTCCTATAAATGGTTGCGAAAGATCTAAGGCGCATGTATACGATTGAATGAACTTAAGTTTATTGATTGATTAGGTTGATGGAGGTCCAAGTAACTATAGTCTTTTTGGTTCGTCTGCGACAAATAATTTTTGTTTCCCTCTATTTACTTGGACGTTCTACATTGTTTTGGTCAGCCATCTTTGTTTCATATCTTTCAGCAAGGCTGTTCTAATTTTTTCTATGGGCTTTTTTCCTAGTTGGTATCTGTTGAAGAAGATGATCTTGCTGGTTTGGAAGATGTGAGCTCTGATGGAGATGAAAGTTATGAAGCAGAGTCAACAGATGGTGAAGCACCGGGACAAGGAAATCAGACAAGTAGAAGACCGTACAGAAGAAGGGGCCGAGGTATTACCACAAGTTTGAATTTCTTTAAATTGCAACGGAGCTGAAACTAGCGATATTAAGAGTGCACGCAGTTTACTAAAAGTTATTTGTGTAGATAACTCGGAGCCAACTCCGTTGATGGAAGGCGAGGGGAGATCTTTCAGAGTTCTGGGTTTCAACCAGAGTCAAAGGGCCATTTTTGTACAGACGTTAATGAGGTAAATATTTGTCTCCAGACGCATAAATATCCTCAGTCTTGTGCTGCACATGGTTTAGATGTTTTTGTCGTGTGGCCAAAAACATTTGCAGGTATGGAGTGGGCAATTACGATTGGAAGGAGTTCGTTCCTCGCCTGAAGCAGAAGACCTACGACGAAATAAAAGAGTATTTACGCAAACCCTTTAATACTCTTCCCGTCAGCTTCTTTACAAGAAAAACTCTAATTCTTTGAAAAACTTATGCGTTTCATCAACTCATTGCTTCTCAGGTATGGGATTCTCTTTTTGAAGCACATTGCTGAAGAGATTGACGAGAATTCCCCAACCTTTTCAGGTGACTGATGAGTTATTTTTTTCACTGTTTGTCGAAATGTGATTGTTTTTTTCTCCTGTTAACCTATTAAATATATTACTGCAATTGTCTTTGTCCATAGATGGTGTGCCCAAGGAAGGACTTAGAATTGAAGATGTTCTCGTCAGAGTTGCTGTTCTGTTGCTAGTACAGGAGAAGGTGAGTCTATCGACTACAATCCTCCAATGTGTTTATCTTTTATTTCTGAGTTGTCTTCTGAGATCCAATGCACAGTGTTTCTACATGGTGATTGGAGTTTCTGTATCTGTGTTTTATTGTTATTGTGGACATTGAGTAAGATCATGCTTAGCACTATTATTAATATCCGTACCAATTTTTTTTAATACACTATACAATTTAATTAAGAGTTAGTAATCATATGTTCTAAACCAGTCTAAGAACCTGTGGTATAAATCTAATTAAAAGTCAGAAATTTCGTTCCAATCCTGTGGTATAACTCTTAGTTATATTCTGCTTCATTTTCTCTCTTTCCCGTCTCTTTGTAGCGAACTAGGATAAAGCTGCATTTTCCAATCTTTTGTAGGGAATTGTTGTGGTTTTGTTTCTTAAGCTTATTGTCCCGGAGTTTTGATTCTGAGTTTGCTCATGTTTGGTTGGTGCTTTGCTCTGACAGGTGAAATTTGTAGAAGATCATCCAGCGAAACCTGTTTTCACCAATCGCATTCTTGAAAGATTCCCAGGCCTGAGAAGTGGGAAAGTTTGGAAGGAGGAACATGACAAGATAATGATTCGTGCTGTATTAAAGTATGAACCCTTTAATAGTGTTCTCACCGAATGGTTTTATTCTCTCATCGTTTTTATATTATCTCTCATTTTCTTTCCTTCTCTTGAAATTTGAATCTCTAGGCATGGGTACGGACGATGGCAAGCCATTGTTGATGACAAAGAGTTGGGGATCCAAGAGCTTATCTGCAAAGAATTGAACTTCCCTCACGTAAGTTTGTCTGCTGCTGAACAAGCTGGCTTGCAGGGGCAGAATGGTAGTGGAAGCTCCAATCCAGGAGTACAGAATAACCAGAACCATGGAAGCGGTACTACGGGGAACAATATTGCTGGTGCTGACGCGGGCCAAGTAAACTCGATGTTCTACTATCGGGACATGCAGAGAAGACTTGTTGAGTTTGTGAAAAAGCGAGTTCTGCTTCTGGAGAAGGCGTTGAATTATGAATATGCAGAGGAGTATTATGTATGTTGTGTCCATCTGAAATGTCTGTGCTTATTCGCACGTATTGTTCCCCCTTGTTTAACTTTTGTTGAATCTTTTGTTGCAGGGACTTGGTGGCTCATCATCTATGCCTAGTGAAGTACCAGAAGCTGAAGCGAAGGTCACAGACACAGTGGAACCAACCTTTATCGATGTCGATGATGAAATGCTTGATGGACTTCCCAAGACTGAGCCCATCAGTAAGTTCCATCACAAGTTTCTCTATTCAACGAGTTAATTGGTTCTAAAGCTGGACTCTTTATCTTGCTGCAGCTTCAGAAGAAATTAAGATGGCTGCTGTTGACGACAACCAAGAACGGGTTGAAATAGCTCAACTTTATAACAAGGTAAGCTTCGTTTTTGTCTTTGGTGGAAAGGCTAGTGTATAGAACCATTCTTACACTAAATCTCTCTGCGCTTATTCAGGCGTGCAAAGATTTAGATGAGAACGCTCGTGAATCAGTCGAAGCATATGTAAACAACAAACCGTCGAGCAGCAAGCTGAGTGAGAGCTTCCGTTCCTTTGAATCTATCAGCGGTAACATTACAAGGATCTTTTCGGCTCCATCTGATCAAAACAAGTCACATGAAGACAGCAAACCAGACCTAAACAATGTTGAGATGAAGGACTCGGTGGAAGAAACAAAACCTTTCAAAGGAGAACTCGTTGTCGATCTCAATGCGTTGGAGGGAGAGGAGAACATTGCAGGAGCCAGTGGAAGTGTTGATGTGAAAATGGAAGAAGCTAAAGAAGAAGTGAAGCATAATCTCTTTGACTGACTTCAATGACAACCAAACAACTGGTAAATATCTGAAGATTCAAGACCAAAGGAGGTCATGAAGTAGAAACAGTTGTTACTATAATGATGTACGATGATTGACTTGTTTCTTTTGTAAGACTTGGATTCTCAGCTCTATTGTCTGCTTAATACAATATTTGGAAACGTTTAGGCTAACTTTTGTTATTGTTAATCTGTTGCAGCTATTACTATGAAGTTATTTTGTTCTGGCCCTGAAGTTTTAGAGTGATGAAATTATTAGTCCCAAAATTGAATAAATAAATACTAACAAAAATTCTTAGTCCAAAATCTGTATAAATACGTAATGTGTACAACATACAAACACACAATAATACCAACTTGGGTTGACTTTAATATAATGGGCTCGAGTGGTGACTGGTGAGTACAATGGAATCTCTGCAGCTTTTTATTCGTCAGCATCACCTTTTTCTGCATTAAATAATTTACCCCTTAAAAGGAAAAAACTTTAGTTTCTGGATTTATTCATAAATTTGTCGTCTCTCTCTTTATAGGCTTTTTCTGTAGGTCTATGAGTTGTTTCTCCATAGACTTACAGATGATTTTTTTGTTCTTTTCACAGATACAAAAATTGCAGAACAAAACAAAAGAGAATACATAAAAATAAATTTTAAAACTCCTTCTATTTATTATTTCTTTGGAATTCTCCTAAATTGCAAGAACCAGTGGGAAAAAATATGTTTACAATTTCATTACAGAGAAAATACGAGAGAAAAAAAAAAGACAAGCAATCACAAGATAATTTTTGATTTTATGTCTAAAAAAAATGTTTATCTCATATGCAAGTTCTTAGTGAGCTAAAGCCTCCATATCCCAAATCTCCTCCAGACAAATCTCCTTGACTCTGTTCCTATCATTTCACAATGAAACCAAAACAATCTCAGAGATCATAATCATCACACTACTCTTCAAATCAAATCAAAAGCTAAACAATCTCACACACCTGCTTCATTGTAGAATTGACAATATCATCTAAAGAACCAGCTTCTGTACCCATGAAACCACTCTGTAACTTCTGCTGCCCAACAACGAACCCTTCCTTTGGATTATTACTCAACATAGCATCCGTTGCTGGACCATAATTCCCTGCTTGCCTCGTCTGCATTGAATCATAGAACCCTCCTCCTGGCTGCACATTTGCATTTGAATCGAAGTCTGTGTTTCTGCAGAAAGCTCGAGGATTTGTATCCAAGGTTGGACTCAATGTAATGGCAGCAGAGTCACAGAATGGTATAGAGTAGCTTGATGAGCCATTGTGCGTGTTCCATTCCAAAGAATCAGGTTTCGAAGAATGCGGTAATGGAGAGACATCGAACTGATGATGGATGATATTACTGTTTTGGCCAGGAGGAGGTGGAAGAGTCGACGAGGAGGAGGATACAGCGTTTGACCAATGCTCCAAACGTTTATTGATCTGATGTCCAGGGAAGCTTGAAGGAGATGCTTGTGGATGACCTTCAAGAACCAGTAGATTGTTATTAGGAGCATTCATGAGAGAGTTTTGCTGTGTTGTAGAGAAGCTAGGAAACGCCATTGAGTTCGCTGCGATGATCTTGTTGTTCATGTTTCTGTTTGTTTGAAGCTGGTCGAACTCTAAAGGCATTGGCAAGCACTGAAGAATGTTTCCTCCTCCATCACTGTGGTTAAGAGGAAGGGAAGAGACATGGTGAAACTTTCCAAGATCCGTCTGGTTTTGCAAGAACATTCCTCCTCCTGGAGAAGGAGAAGAGAGGCTGCGAACAACACCGATCCCTGAAGGAGTGTTGAGTCTGCCAAGAATCCCATTTGGAGGGAAAGGTCTCATCCCTGCCGCTGCAGCTCCACTATGGAACTGACCGTTCCCAACAGGGATCACGCGGTTGTGGTGGTTGTAACCGTCAAGTCCATTGAGAGAAGAGCTCATTTGCAAGAAGTGTAAGTCAGAGTTTGCCATTAAAGCTTGTTGGTTACCACTGATCCTCTTCAAGTAAAGGCGGAATTTCTGAAGATGACTAGCCACATTTTCTCTAGTGAGCTTCTCAACATTCATCAGATCAAGAATCTTCTTAGGCATTGCCTCTGCAACCAAAACCACAAAATCAAAAACCAGCAAAAGAGTGTGTTCGTTTTCATGAACAAAGTGACATTATCAAGAACTTACTCTCAAACCCCAATTGGTTAACAGCTGCTACAAACTTCTTATGAAGCTCAACAGTCCAAACAACACGAGGCTTCTTTTGAGCTGAAGGATCATCGTTATCATCTCTTTCGTCATCCTCATCTTCGTTATACTGATCTTTACGTTTTCTATTCGCTCTCCCATTGTTCTGATCAGAGTTTCCAACACCTTCATTGCCTGATCCATATCTCTTTTCACCGTTGTTACTCCCACGGTTCTTGTCAAATCTGCTTCTCACCACATGTTGCCATATGTTCTTTAGCTCCTCTATACGAACCGGTTTCAAAAGATAGTCACAAGCACCATGAGTCACTCCTTTCATCACATACTTTGGATCACTATGCGCAGATAACACTGCACAAGTTAACAACAAGAGAATTCATCATCAAAACCAAACCAAAAGTTCAAAACTTTCCAAGAATCCAAGTCTAAAGATCAAAACTTTACAAGAATCAAAGTCTAAAGGTCAAAACTTTTGCTTGTAGTGTCCTTGATTGAAAAATGAGAAATTTGGAATTAAGGGGAAATTAATAAAAATTAGTTGACTTACTAATGACAGGTAGGTCCATTTCAAGACCAACAAGCTCAAGGAGTTTGAAACCATCCATGTCAGGCATGTCAACATCACTGATAACAAGATCAAACTTGTTCTTGTTCTCTCTCAATAACTCTAGAGCCTTTTGTGCTTGGTTCGTCGTTGTAACTGCAGAACAATAAATCAAATCAAAACCACAAAAAGTCTCAGTTTTTAGTTTCAATTCTGATGCAAAACTCAATTCAGACAATGAGCTCTCTCTCTCTCTCTCTCTCTCTCTTTCTTTCTGTCTGACACATGTAATAATTACAATTGGTTTTTAGATCAAAGCAAATAGGATTGAAAAAAAAATGTAAATCTTGCCAAAATCTTAAATTGAATCCTGAAAGATAGAATCAAAAAGCTAAATTTTGTAAGATTTCAAAGATGTCAAACAAAAACACCAGATCAAGAAATTAAAATCCAAACTGAATCTAGAAAACTCATCAACAGATCCCAAAAAACGAAAATGGTCGATGCAAGTAACTATAGAGAGAGAGAGAGAGCAGAGAGAGGAACCATGGTATTGACAACGATGAAGCAATGTTTCAAGGATACGAAGACAAGTCTGGTCATCGTCAACGGCAAGAACTCTCATTCCGACCGGAAACTGGTCCAAAGCTACGAAGTCTTGCTCAACAGTCATCTTCTTAGACAGACCCAGAAATCAAAATTTGAGCTTTTTTTCTTTCTCTGCAAGTGTCTCGGAGAAAAGTTAAGAGAGAGAGAGAGAGAAAGTGGAATTCTGATGTGCAGGAACGTCGACGAAGAAAAAACTGAGTTTTTATTGGATTAAATATTATGAATCCAATCAAATGAATGGGTCTAGAGAGAGAGAGAGGTGTGTGATGATTTATGGAGTATAGTATTTAGATTTAGAGAGAGAGACAAAAAGATTTAAGAGCAGAGTTAACCAAAAAAAAGTTTCTTCTGTGGCGAGGGAAAAAACGAATCTTTGGTTTATCTATCTATTTATGGTTACTCTCATACTGTTTGTGATTATCTTCAAGCCTCGCAATCTACTATTTTCTGCAAATTTTTTTTTTTTTACCATTTCTGGTTTCTACTTTCGACTTCCCTAAAAACAAAATTTCCATTTAAAGAACAGAAAAAAAAAACATTTTCCGAGGGAGCTGCTGTTAAAGAATCTTTGAAACATAACCAAAAATGAAACTAAACCGAAATAAGTTGAATTAGGAGTAGTACCGGTTTGTTCTCAATCCAAACACTGGTTCTCTATGCATTGAGTCTTGGATGAAGAATTATGTTGGTAATTGCCATGTAGAGCCATAAAACGTTATTTTTTTTAAGTTTATCTCAAATTAATTGTATTGTAGAGCCATAACACATAGTATTGTACACTGGTTTAATCAGTATGACTGTTTCCCTCTAGTCTCTAAACTAATAAAATACTTTTTTACAATAATAACTTTTCCAGGTTGGTTGTGTTAAAAACCGGTAAGAAAACAGGTGTCATTTGAAAGGTGTAATTAAATTATAAATCGTTAGAGATGGGAAAGTGTTTTAAGTAGAAGATTTGGTTTACTATAATGTAAATATCGGATCATTACTATGGAGATACATTTTTATTTGATTCTGGTTTGATCTAGTATTGTCTAACGGTTACGCGGACAAACAAAATTTAATTGTTTCTATAATTGCAATCATTATTGAATACACCCCCATAACATTTTTCGAATTTAAATCTATTTCTAAATCGAGTGCACTCAATATTGTAAGTTTTTATATAAACATATTTTGTATGATAAATATACATTTCATATATTGAATTAGTGTGTTTATTATGTCCTTTGCCTGAGCTGATTAGACTATTCTTGAGAATCACCAAGTACATCAGGAGGACTATACGATAAATCCTTGTAATAATTTACATGTCAGTTTATTACTCGTTCTCACTTCTCATAGATCTTCTGATGTTTATGCAAACTCTCGTATCTAGAGAATCACATTGATGAAACGATAACAAAGTTGTACATATAGGTGTACTTACAGAAAATACTTAATCTTATATAAATGGTAAAGAAATAAAATATGGACTTGATCGTGTTTAAGGTCTACTAGGAGATTTTAACCATCTTATCTAAAATATACTTTTACATTCTTAATACTAAATTTTCAATATCAAAAAGTTCAATGTATGCACGTGCCCTCTCACCTTATATGCTACTTGCCCCCCTAGATGCACTCATATTGTATCCATATTGTATGGCTTTCCACATATATTGACTCAAAATAATTCAAATATACTATACTTCACTTAGTAGCTAATCTTTTTAAAAACCCAAATAAATAAATGATAATTGATTAATGCTTGTGTAAGACCGTCTAAAACCATATAAGACCATCAATATTGTCTAATTCTGCTTGATAACATAACCATCTAATTTCGTTATATAAGAGTCAATCGTCACAGTTTATGGTTGTTGCGCAAACCAAGAAAAATGGTTGTTGCGCAAACCAAGAAAACTACCTATGAGTGAGTAGATTCTTTTTGGAGCATGGTTTCAAGTACAACTTTCGACATATATATTCCAAAAGAATCGAATATATTGTGAAAATGTTGTAGATCAGTTGACCAAAAAAATGTTTTCGATTATAAAATGGGGCAGGCTTTAGAGAGAGCATGCTCGAGGTTGGGAAGTGCGTTACACGCGTGAGCGTGCATCATGACTCTTACTTTCGTACGGTTTCAGACTGAAATCGCTTCTTAAACTGAAATTAAAATTCCACTCTAGATTTTAAAATGAACGATGATATTTCTAATTTTTGAAAAAGGTATCCAAAAAGCAAGACAACTTTGACATTGACCTCTTTTTTTCTTTCTTTCTCTAAGACTTTAATTTTCAGATTTTATCATTTTTATAAGTGTAAAAAAACAAACCATTTTTAGGAGTATAGCTTAAACAGACATATTAGTGGTCAAGAGTTTAAAAGGCTTCCATACCAACATATTACGGTTTCTGCAGATTAATGGATACAAAATTTATTAAAAATTCTAGAGTACTGCAAGTAAATCTTCTGTCGTGGTTAAATATATGCAATAGACGACAGAAATATATAAAGATTATTGAACTGTTTTTTGGTATGAAAGATTCTTGAACTTTAAAACCTCTGTACATCTTCTTATAAAAGCAAAATTTTAGAACTTGGTTCAGTTTCACGCATAGATTGAAAATGTAGAGCTTTTGTCTCCATCTCCCTTGTTTCCAGGAGGACACATTTTCTCTAGTTTCTTGCGATTTTCATCAAAAAATTATCCTTACGTTATATCATATACATGGGTGATGGGCCATTCCCTTATGATGCACGTCAAAAGTGCATAAGTGTTACCATTTTAGGCTTACAAGCTTTGATCCCTTGATTCAAAACAAAACACAAACTTTTGATTCTTTTTTTTTGTTATTTTATTTCTTGAATCCTTATCACAATCATCATATGATTCATCATCCACTATCATTGTAACTTTTTAAGTATCCCGCTCTCAAAAGTTGTCCGACTTCATTCTCCGATTTATAACAAAAGTAACACAACTAATTTTTTGCTTCTCATTTTTTTTTTAATCGCAAAAGAAAGATCTCATTCAATATCGATCCTATCATATTCATATATATCCTTACTATTATAGTATTATCAAGCATATTAATATTCTTTGTGTATGTATGTAATATGCATAATCTACTTTAAAAGTACTGTGCATGCATGTATCTATGTGTGTTTGTGTATATATAGGTAGGTAGGTGTGCATGCATATCATATGTATGGGCCGAATTGAATTGTATAAAACATCTTTTTCTCAATCATATATATAGTCCACAAACATATGATCGTTAATTTAATCTTATAGTGATAAATTTATTCAATGATACACTAAAGTAAGTGGATTTAGAAGTCTTGACATAAAATATATAAAACCTGAATTGATTCAGAAGTTGGCCAGCAATGGAAAAAAATGATGATCTCTTTGTGTCGGGTCCCATCTACATTCTCAGCCTTCGAGTTTGGTGGATGCAAAATAAGATCCCAATAATTTTAATATTATCCACTATTTTATATTGAACTTAACTAGATAGATTGTATATCAGTATATGTATGGTTTCTTGCCTTGACCACTCTTGACATCCGCGTACTGATAAACACTATAACTTCATTAAGTGATGAGAGTTTGTAACATTTCTCCACAGTTGTGAAGTAGGTGTGATTGTTAACGTGTTCTGTCCTAAGCTGAGTTTGATGAAGCCATCATCTAATTAATCTAATGTATTGATAATAATAACTTATGGGATTATATAATCATCATTAACCCAATTTCTTTTTGTTATTTTTTGTTTTTCTTTCCGGTATTGGATTCATCAACTCTATTAAAGAAAAGATGATTTACTAACTAGATGTTACTCTTCATCCGCTACTCAAGATTTATGTAGTTTTTATATCCACGAAACATGACATACCAGCAAAATTTCGGTAATACACAAGAAAATGACATACACTACCAAAAATCTTTAAAGTAATGACAATATTAAAACAACAAAGGGAGAAGAAGAATGCAAATTATAAGAAAATTGAGCGAATCTTGTCTCCCACAAGGGCTAACCTCGATACTCAATAATGTGATCTCTGTTCGGTTGCTTCCTACTCGTTTCCTATCTTTATTTTTTTCCTTAAATAAAAGAACAATGCATTAGTTATTCTAAACGCTTTTAGCTTTTTAAACACAAATTAATGATTCTAAACTCTATTGCTTGGCACATCATTTAAATTATTTATAATATTTATTGAAATATAGTATAGTTATCAGTTCTTGATTTAGCTATATAGTATAATTACCAGTTCATTACAAGCTCTATTTGATTTTATATTCTCTTACGAACTCATCTTAATATTGACAAGAAACAAGCGCCATGCAAAGTTGCAAACTAAGCGAATCATTAGTAAATAAATAAAAAGCAAATCTTTTCAAGTAATTGTATTGAATCCACTGTTAGCCTCAAAAACAAGTTGCTTACAGAGATCCAAAAATTAATATTAGAGCTATGATCAGCAAAAATCTCATTAGTTTACATATATATATATTATTCAGAGAATTACATATCATAATTCTAAACCAATGAGGTATTCGCTGACCATAGTTGTAATATTAGGCCGATATAGGTTTCACTGAGAGCTTCAAAACCAAGCGTTTACAAAGATTCAATAGTTAATACTAGAGCTATGGTCAGTAAAACCTCGTTCGTTTACAAATCTGTGTCATTCGGAGACATACACATAATTCCAAACGAACGAGGTGTTTGCTGACCATATTTCTATTATTAAGCCGGTGGCTAGGTTTTGACGAAATAATAAGGTGGAGATGCTTAGGGCGTCGTATTTATTTGTGTAGAATAATGGGCCTTGGGATCGGGCTAAAGAAATTGAAAACGATGCCCATTTTAAGATTAAGGTCACAAATGAAATTTGAGAAATTAACACATCACATTGTGTAGAGACTTGATGTGAAAACTATGCCATGTAAAAGAAGTAAAAAGTATATTTGCATCTCAGAATTAACAGCCAAAATCAACACTTGTTCGAGAGACTACTTACATCAGAAAATCTAAGTAAAACAAGTTTGTTCTCTGATCAACACAATTAGCCTAGCCAATAAATAAAAACGTTCAAAAGTTCCAACACTAAGAAACCTTATGTTACATAATATACCACCCACCACTTGATCATTTCAGCACAATCGAGACCTTATTTTTGTGAGAAAGCGTCAGGGCAACTTGAGTCAGCTCAGCAACATTTGATCTATTAAGGCAACTCCCCAATCGGACAACCAACATCTCTAGTGTTCTTGTGTTTGCCAGCAAAAGTTCCATGAACGAAGCCAAGAGATCCGGCTTTGCAACTCTAAACATTGACCTAGTCGGAAATATCAAGTCTTTTAGATCTTGTCGGTCTATGTACCTAGTAACATGTTTCTCCTGGAAAACAGAAAAATTGTATCATCATCCAAACTAAAAGATAATAAAAAAGAGGTTTTGATGGTAAAGATACATACCACTAGGTCCACTACGCAGTTCCAATCTTCAGTTTTGTGAAAAATGATCTTCTTTAATCCAGGTGAGATTTGTAGCAGCTTTGCTATACCAGGAACCGCAGATCGCACAATTGTTGTTTTAAGAATCAATGTCTTGACCTTTAACGTCGGTAAAGGAACACCACGGAACTCGGCAATGGATAGCATCTACCAATATAACAATGACAAAACAGTTAATCATAAACTGCTTAGCATGTTTGTAGTAAAGACATAAAAGGATGCAAGAATGGCAACATACCTGAAGAAAGCTAAGGCCAACAGTAAGGCTCTCAACGTTCTGAAGCTTTTCCAGCATCATTTGCAGCATCACTTGATATTCATCATTCGAGGGATCATCAGGATCTTTGGAGAGCTCAATTTGTTTAACCCAAAATTTAGGTAAGTAATAGATAGTGTCTACGTTAGCTTCCATCAAAGAGGAGACATCAGCTAAAACACATTTTGACTTAAAATCTCTCAGTCTCAAGTAATGGATGTGAGGAGCCACAACATGAACTACTCTTGGAGCATAACTGGCTACTTGTATATCCAACCTTCTAAGGCGCAGCGATTCACTCAGATCAAGGCAGCCAAATGAACAAGACTGCAATGTCAAGCTTTCCAGCAGTGGAGAGCCAGAGACAATGTTGGAAAACGATTCATCAGAGAGTGTAGAGTAGCTCAAACACAAATCCGTTAGTGATGTCCAAGAAACGTTGCAATGGGGAGTCATATTACCACATCGTGAATTTACGACGAGCTTCTTTAGACAAGAGTTTCTGAAGAAGAAATCTGGAAGAGCGTGATAAGTTACCAAAGAAAGCGTCTCCACGTTGTGGGATATTGCGAAATTGATAATCTTTGAATCTTTAGGGCCTCTCAGAGAGCACCTCACAGATTCAATCTTTGAATGCCACATGGCATTTTCACCAAATTAAAAAAATGTTAAAAATCAATCTATAATAACTGAAAGGAGTTGGCACGTCAGCATCATTATACTCCTTCCACAATCACGCTCCGTAAAAGAAACTGAAACGCTTCCGATTCTTCCCCTTCACTGAACCTCGATTCATCTTCCTCAAATTCCTCTCATCTCCTTATATATCTTCTTCATCTCTCAATTTTAACACCCACCAATTTTAACACCCATCTCCCTCAAATAATAATCACCTTCCTGTTTATTCTGGCTCCTCTCTTCTCTTCTTTCTCACTCAAAGGTGAGATTTTTAAATTGACCATTTTTGTTGTTAGTTGACTGATCCATTTCACCAATCTCAAATTTCAACATCAAATTGATTTGTTTTATCGATATCCGAATTTAGATTGATCACACATTTGCTTCGTTTTCAGTACAGGCCACGCTCATGGCGGATTCAAACATCGTTAGGAACGGTGACTTCTCTGCTGGGATTGAACCTTGGTACCCGAACGGATGCGAAGCATTTGTTGTTTCCTCTGACCCGTTTAGCTCAGATTCAATCTCCGATTCCCCGAGCTGTGGCTATGCCTGTAGAATCCCGAAATTGTTTGCCAAGGTATCGCCTTCCATCTTATAATTCTTTTCATAGGTAACTTGCTTTTATAGATTCTGAGATCTGCGTCTAACCCATGTATCGAACTCCTGTTTTTTTATGCCTCAACCTAATTTAAGAAGCATCGACTCACAAGATGATGAACTATAGTTTGAAACACCAGCTTATATATGGAGGTACAACAAGTCTCTAGAATGAAAACCTTCTTGTGATAACAAAAAGTTCTTACGGTTGCAGGTGAATTTACACACTTACGACGTAACAGGTTTTTGTGAATTTGATTAGCTATAGGTCATTCTACTACTTTCATTGTATTCTTAAATTTGGTTTATACATTGTGATCATGATGATAGAAGAGCCAAAGACTACATCGTTGATTTTGACTTCTTAGAAAATGATATGTTTCTTTATAGGCTAATAGCATGTTCGGTCATTTTTTCACAATTTACATTGATCATCTACAACGTCTTGGTTTTTATAAACCGTATGTGCTGTCCAGTTTTCAGGTCTCTGACGGAGCTAAGATTGAACATCTTTCGAAACTAACGGCAAGATAGGTAACTTGCTTTTCTCAAGTCTCAGTCTTATGTATTTCCCTAGGTACAATGTAGTCATAACTCATAACAGAGATCCTATTTGTAATAGAGAATAATCACCATGTTTTCATTGTTATTCTTATTTGCTATTTATATGTTTACATGATCTAGGCTGCGCTGATAGTTTCTATCTATGTCTCTGTTTTGTTTCTCCCTTTGTTCATCTTCATATTGTAGTAATTATTTTTGACATCGCTTCCTGTGTATTTTTCTTACGATTTTTTTATGTGAAAACACATATTGAACTGAAGTTTTCTTACTTGCAGGAACTTACTATGACAAACTATCTTCCAGGAAATATGCAAAGTTATGAATCAGAGTTTCTTGAATTGTGTCAATGAATTAAGGAATCAATCCAAAAGAAGATGCAAAGCGGAAACGATATTGATCCAACTCCAACCTCGGAGCAGAGAAAAACAAAACTTATGTATAACGAGTAGGTGCTATTTTCTTGGTTTTATTGCACAATTGTGTGTAGAGAATCAGCATAAAATTTTATTTTTTTAAATGTGTTTCTTAATTTTTCTTTCTTTGTGCAACGTTGGTTCCTTCTTTGTACCTTATCAGACTGTTATTGCTTCAGGACTCAAAAAATATTAGAAGATTACCAAATCATTGGTAGAAGATGAGCGTCTGGCTTCTGCATTTCTGGGAAGCCAGGAACTAATTGAAAAGGTGAGCGGATGAGAGTTTCGAACACAAGAATCAGTGGAGAGTTTGTGGAGTTACATTCTGGTGGTGAGGGAGGTTGGATTCGACGTAACTAAAAAACTTGAGTTGTCCAGAGGAATCCATTTCGAGTTCATTGAGATTATGCATCTGGACGGTGGTGGCAATTTTTCGTCAGTTTGACTTTCCTATGTTCCTCTGTGCTCCAAAGGATCAAGCTACAAGTAATTGATGAGGTTTGTTGGTGATTCGATTATATATCATCATGAAACTTCCGACTACAAAGTTGAATAATATAATCATGAAACTTCGACTACAAAGTTGAATAATATAGCACTCCAATTTCTTTACATATTTCTGGTTTTAATTTCTCTACGATTCTCCGTTTTATAGTCTAATCATGGGAACTGAATTGCCAGCAGCTTATGCACATTGATATGAGACTATGACATCTCCTACCTGCTTTATTTATTCATCCGAATGTAGAGACATCTTATTAGCTAAAGTGATACTCCCTCCGTTTTTTTTTTGATAAATTTTCTAGGATTTTCACACATATTAAGGAAAAACAGATTTTCAATCATTAGAGTATTGATTTCTGCAATAAAACAACTTTTTATAATTTTCAACCAATAAAAATCTAACAAATACAATCATTGTTTCTTGAAAACTGAAAAAGTGTATCAAAAAAGTAGAAAATTTATCTTTGTGAAACAACAACTAATGCCTAGAAAATCCATCTTAAAAAAACGGAGGGAGTATTAGTTATGTTTATGATGTGAATATGATAAAGATATAAGATTTATTTTTCGCAGCTGCTCCTCAAAATTACTCTCCTCTTACAATCATGGTGGAAATCATATGCAGTTGTGGTGTGTGTGTGTTGAACTCAAGATTGTTTCTAAATAATTCTAGGAGATGTAATATTGTATAATGGTGAATGCTGCACTTGAAGAACATATAAGAACAACTGCAGTGTTCAAATTTTATTTTCGAATGATGGTGAGCTGCAGTGTTTGTGATAGAGCTAAAAGAGTAGTTCGACTCCAGCCGTTGTAAATGTTATCACCACAAAGTCTACAAACAAGATAAGAACATATATATAGTTTATAAAGGTTCTAACGTTACAAGGGTGTGGATATATTTTAAGTATTATCAGATTTGTGTTTTAAATTTGATATTGAAAACCAACATTGAAAACAACAAGTAATTTGAAAAAAAAAAACTCTAGAATGACAATTGTTTTGAAATTGAGGGAGTATGTATTAATAGGTACACATTATATTAAAATTCTATAAATATGATTTCAAATATTTTTTTATAAGATTAAAATCTTAGTAGTTATAAATCATATTAATGATTTACAGCCATAACATACTGCAGATATAACACGTATAAGTAATGGTATAAAATTTATAAAATAGAAAATATTGTCACATGGAAATCTTTTGATTGAAACCAAAACTCATAATTATATTTTAGGTAAGTTCAAAGTCGTGAACCTCACAATTAATATTAAGATTGTAACAAATTTTGAAGAATTATGAAAATACACAATGAAATTAAAGAAGACAAAACAGATATATAAAAATCCGTTCATAATAAAAATAGTAAATAAATCTATAAAGAAACGTACCCGGGCGTAGCCCGGATATTCTCTAGTAAAATCAAATAATAAAGTAACAATCAAGCAAACTAACAAGTAATTGTCCAATTTTTCAATAGCTCAATACTCCCCCTGTTTTTTTATGATGAATTTTCTAGCAATTTTCTGTTGTTTTATAGAGATAAATGTTTTAGCTTTTTGATTCACTTTTTCAGATTTCAAGAAACAATAATTACATTTCTTAGATTTTTATTGGTTTAAAGTTATAGAAAATAGTGTAACTGCAAAAATCAATACAATTATGATTGAAAAATAAATTTTTCTTAATAGATATGAAAAAACTAGAAAACTCATCTTAAAAAAATGGAGGGAGTAAGAAATATCATGTAAAAATGATGATAATATTTTATTAAAAAGGATAATATATTATATAATGTCATTTTCAGTATATTCATGAATTGTAAAACATAAAACTATATACTTATAAAGTAGAAATAAAAGATTTGATAAAAGACTTAGCAAAACAAAATTTGTTTACAAATATTTTTTTTCCTATAAAAATACAAAAATTTCTCTGTAATTTCACTTTTCAAATTTATTACCCCATTTACTAAAAGGACCCAAAAATAAATGCAAATTGACTAGTGGTCTACTGGTCACTAAAAATAGATAAATTAAAATAAAATAAAATAATATCTTACCGCATTTAAAACATAGACCTAGATTCACTGAATTAACAGAAACGGAAGGTAAAGTGGAAGAAGGTCTTAAAAAAAACATCTGTCGACAAGACAAGAGCCTCAAGGAAACAGAACATACGCTGTTTTGCTTCAATAGTCACCCACTTTCCCAGAAACTTCAATAATACTCGGAGGAGAATCAATAAGAAGATGAAACGACGAAGAAGCCTATAAAGCTCTCATCTTTATCCTCTCGGATCTGCTCCTTCTCAGGTCCTTCGATTGTCACTTCGAATCCGAAATCTCCGGTTCCTAATTCGGTGTTCATGTATTGAGCCGGAGAGAGATGTCGTGTTGGAGCGGTTTGATTAAGGGGAAGAAGAAAACCGGTGGTTCTGTTCCGGTTTATCTGAATGTCTACGATCTAACTCCGATGAATGATTATGGTTACTGGCTTGGACTCGGCGTCTTTCATTCTGGTGTTGAAGGTGAGTTTTTGATGATTTGTGTTTTCTCTTTTCTCAATTTCAATTTCTGGGTTTGGCTTTTTCTATTCGAATCTACTTGTTTTGGTTGCTTAGAAAGTGATGGGGGACCGATTCGAATTTTATCTTAAACTATAGATTTGTTGAGAGTTTTGGTTTGTTAAAGTGAATTTGACTTTGTTTCTTCTTCCAATTGACCATAGTAATACCAAAATCTCAAATTTAAGATTTTTGATGATAAAAGAACATGCTTTGATGCTTCATAGGTTACTTCAAAATCTTGCAGATTGATTGGAAACCGTTTATATTGATGCCAAAACCAATGTTCTTAGAGAATTATGATTTGTGATACTAAAATTTATAGCTTTTAATGAAATGTTCAAATCTGTTTGTTGTAATTAGTCGTTTGGTTGACGGAGAAACTGATTTTAGATGTTGTGTTGCTTCAATTGATCAACAGAGTAAACTAGTTTGTGTTTGGTTAATCTAACTGGAGAAACTAGTTTTGTAATGGACTCATTGTTTTGGTTTAATCTAATGTGTTGTAGTACATGGAGTTGAATATGCATTTGGAGCACATGAATCTCCAAGCACAGGAATCTTCGAAGTGGAACCAAAGAAGTGTCCCGGTTTCACATTTAGGAAATCGATTCTTGTCGGGAACACAGACATCAGTGCTAAAGAAGTCCGAGTTTGCATGGAGAAGCTAGCTGAAGAGTATCAAGGAAACAAGTACCATCTCATCACAAGAAACTGCAACCATTTTTGCAATGAAGTTTGTATCAAACTCACTCAGAAACCAATCCCTAGATGGGTGAATCGACTTGCTCGCTTAGGTAAAACACCAACGAATCAAGTCAAAAATCTTGTATGTGGTTTGGCCGTAAAGTAATGTTTTTTTGGTTGTGAATTGTGTGTAGGAGTTCTCTGCAACTGCGTGTTACCACCGCGCTTGAACGAGGCCAAAGTGAGAAGGGTAGGGAAGAGAGATCTTTCAGAAGGAGAGAGGAAGAAGATGAGAAACAGATCAAGATCAGGTCCTTTGCTTTCTTCTTCTTCTTCGTCTTCGACGCCTGATAGTCATGGTTCGCATATTCGAGCTAAGTCAACTGGTAACCATCCTTCTTCTTCGTCTTCGTCTTCGGGTTCCAAGAAAAATGAAAGACATTGTGTGCCTTCTACTGTCTCTAGAGCTCAAGACAAGAAGTCGCCAAGCGTAAGCGTCAAGACTTGAGATTCTTATCATCATCATCATTTGTTTGAACATTTAATTATTGTTTATGAAAAGGACAAAAGAAGAGAGGAAAATGACAAGCAAAGTATCAATCATATACATGGGCATGCTCGTGCTTTTGTTCTAAAGATATTTTTAGTCATATCTCTTAAAACCTTTTGGTTTTGTAGATCAAATACTTTTCATTTGCTTATACAGAAGAGAGGTTCTCAGTAATGTACAAAAAGAAAAATGAATCCTATGTTTTGTGTTTTGATTACTCATTTGAATTTCTTTATTCTAAAGTTCTTCTACATTGACTCTCTTTGTGGTCATTTGTTCTTTTTGTTTTTTTTGGATGACTACAATGATAATGAAATGTGTAAAGTTTCATGATTAAAAATATGTTACCGACTATATTCATTTCAGAAGGATGCAACACCAGAGTCTTCTTGCAGCACTTATTCGTATCTTTACCATCTTCCATAACTCTAGTTCCATCACAACCTTACGCTCCATTATGATTGTACTTAATTAAGCTTTCTCCTTCATATTCTCGAAACATGCTTGATGCTTCATTATGATTGTGAGTATATATGATGGTTTAATCCCTTTTTAACATGCCCAGAGTGTTACTGTTATGCTAAGATACAGTACGTGTATTGAAGTGGCAATACTTCAACATGCATTACATATTTCCCAAGCGTCTACATGCTCGATTGTAGCCAAATACTTTAGTGGTCGTCTTTAAATAGAGCATTACGTATACCTAAAAGATTTAAGAACTTTTTTAAAGGTGAAAGTCTGTTAAGAACTTGGTGATTTATAAATTCACATCATCGAGAAAGTCTGAACAAACCAAAGCAGAAGAAAAAGTAATGGATGTCATGATAAAAAAATCAATAATATATAAAAAGGTCATGAATCATCTGCAAATTGTTGGGAACATTCAAAGTTTTTCTCCCAGTTTTCACTTGCCAAAAGCAGAGTATAAAATTGAATATAATAAAAGATTCCTTCAAAAATGAGTATATTGGTATCAAAATAATAAAGGGAGAAGGTTTCCTTGGAGTCATTCACAACAATGAATTGTATTTTCGTTTAAAATTGAAAGAATGATATTAAAAGTATTTTGTTAATGTACAAAGTTACGGTGAGGTTGCATGTAGGAAATTAGTTATGTTGTCTTTTCAAAATACCGTCAGCCAAATTTGGTTAAACAATCAGACTTGGCAATTGGCATGAACCTAGCCCAAAAAAAGTTTGTAAACTCTTTAGGAGATGGTTTTTTAAAAGACTTGGCTTTAAGTCAATCTTTTAGTCCCTCCCATTTTAAATACCAAGTCTTTCTTTTCTTTTGCGTTTGTAACACGGAATATGTCAATGCCTTCAGGAACTTTGACTAAACTTGCAGAAGAATCTAACGAAATTCCGGTGATATCTCTCTCCGGAATCAACGATGTTGATGGAAAAAGAGGTGAAACCATCTACCGCCAGATTGTGGAGGCTTGCGAGAATTGGGGCATGTTCCAGGTGATCGATCATGGCGTCGATACCAATTTGATGATGGATATGACTCGCCTCTCTCGTGACTTCTTCGTGTTACCTTCAGAAGAGAAGATCCGATACGACATGTCCGGCGGTAAAGAAGGCGGCTTCAGTGTCTCTTGTCACCTCCAGGTAAGCAACGCCACCACAGTTTGAAACCGTATTCTGTTTCTTGGTCGTTGTTAACTTAATAGGAGCTTTCATTTTGTAGGGAGAGGCGATGCGGGACTGGAGAGAGGTAGTGATGTATTCATCTTATCCGCTGAGGAAGAGAGACTACTCACGGTGGCCAGATACGCCGGAGGGATGGGTGAAAGTGACGGAGGAGTTCAGCGAGAGGATGATGGGTTTGTCTTGTAAGGTCCTTGAGGTTTTGTCAAAAACTATGGGACTTGAGAAAGACGCACTGACCAAATCTTGCGTTGATGTCGATCAGAAAATCGTTATTAACTATTTCCCGGAACGCCCTAAGCCTGACCTAACCCTAGGGATGCGTCACACTGACCATGGAATCATCACTGTGCTGCTCCAAGACCAAGTCAGTTGTTTGCAAACTACAAGGGACAATGGCAAGACATGGATCACGGTTCCGTTCATTGAAGGAGCGTTTGTTGTCAATCTCGGAGATATTTGCCACGTTAGGACTTTCTCAACGTTTCTCACTTTCGATTTTCTTTTCTTATTTATTTGTAGTTTTTGACTTGGTTAAAGATGAATTGTTTCTTGAAGTATCTGAGCAACGGGAGGTTCATGACGTCTGACCATCAGGCGGTGGTGGACTCAAACGCGAGCAGACTATTCATAAACACATTCATGTTTCCGGCGCCGGATGCTCCTGTGTATCCGCTTAAAGTAAGAGAGGGAGAGAAAGCGATCATGGAAGAGCCATTAACTTTTGAAGAGATTACTAATAGAAAGATGAAAGATCTTATATAGCTAGCTCAAAATTAAAAGCCTCTCGACCAAATCGTGGCTTAGAATCTTTCCCGTTGCTCCCTTATTGTTGTGTTGTGTTTGGTTGCGACTCGGTTAGATTTTTTACTTGCCACGCCACTGCGGGCATATTTTCATTATATATATATATCGATTGAGTGTTCTAAACTTATTACAATTGCTCAGTACCTTTTTATTTTGGTTCCAAGTATTGAAAAAAACATCCGGCCACAAGACACAAAACTAGTCTCGGTAATTCTAAATAAACTAGGAAATTATAATTTAAAAAAAAAAATCAAAAGAAAATAAACACTAATCCAGTTGATGAGGCCGGTCCTAAACAGATTTGGAAGGATCACATATTTGACCAGCAAACAAAACGGTTCCGGTTATATCTTCTCTAATCAAGAAAATAAATGGATGATCTGCCACAAAATCTATCCTCTCCGGCTCATAAGCACTCGAGGTACAAGTGGCAGCTAGAAATGTAACAGCGGCAGCTTCAGTACCCTCTTCATCGATCTCGATCAAAGCTTTTTGGTACGATGACTTGGGAAATTCAAACCCGAATTCGATCTTAAACTTTGGAATTCTGAATGCACCAACTTCTTCTCTGTCTTTTGGAATGTGACTATCCAAGAATCCACCAGTGGACGTCATTCTCTGCAAAAGATTATTCAATCCATCTTTCTCGTCAGGGAGGTAGAAATACATTGAGAACTGGCGGTTGGTATCATCACGGCCTTGTCGATAAGGAAGCTTGAGGACCTTGAAACCATCATAAGCCTTTATAAATTGACTCTCATAGCTCCTCATGAATGGTGTGCTTACTGATTCACCATTGAGAAGGTGAAAGTTTGTTTCCACCGTCAAAGACTTGTCGAATTCGTTTTCCCAAGCTCCTTTGAAGTACAATGCGTTTCCATAAATCCAGTTAGTCAGGTTTGTAACGGATCCACTAGTAAGAACATCTTTGATGAGACCATTGGTGTGATCTGAAACCCATTTATTCACCTCCTTACGCACTTGTTCAGCCTTCAAAATATAAAAACAACAATCACTACTATTGTAATTTTTACAAACCAAACAACAATCACTATTGTAATTTTCAGTCTCTCGCCAAGATTACAGATTAACAGGGTTCTTTGAACTAAATTATAACATATAGTTAGGTTTTCTCTGACCACGTTGTCCTACAAACTCAAAGCCCTAGAAAAACCCTAAAACAAAGAATGGTAAGCTTACCTTGGATCGGAAGTTAACTTGACGGAAATCAGATTTAAAGAAATTCACTAAGAGATCCTTGTACGCAGGACTAAACGGGAGTGATTGCTCGATCCAAAATCCATTAGCGACGGCGATTTTCGGCCCACCACTTGCGCTGCCGTCTGCGAGAACCACTGAAGTAATCTCGCGGAATACAGTGTTAAGCTCATCCATCGAAGAAGACCTAAGTAACGAGAGGAGGGAGGATCTTAGTCTTTTATCCCCGGAGGTAGCAGCCGCCATGGTGACCACCGTGTTGATTGATGCTGGAGAGAAAACGAGATTAGAGTTTCTTGATTTCGTCGTATTGATTAATTTCCCCGCAAGGAACATAGCAACGTCCTTTTGCTTCTTCATCGCTTCTCCCAAATCAATCTCTGTTTGCTTTCTCATCGATTCTCCCATATCAATCTTTGTGAGCGAGGGACTAATTCGGATTACCTCTTGTGACTTGCTAGGCTTTTTTATATACCACTCACGAGTCTCTTGGGCGCGTGTAGCAGACGCTAAGAAAAATGGAAAAAAAAAGGTTTTAATTTTAATATGCAATGATTTTAAAGACGTTAGAGATATATTTTTTTCGATTTTTTAATATTTGTGCATTTTTCCACGTTAAAATACTTAGTGTAGTTTCTATAAATAGATAGTAGCTCCCTCTCATTTGAAGTACTTGGTTTTTTCTTCTTTTCTTTGTAACACGGAATACATTAATGGCTTTAATAACTTTGACTGAACTTGCCGGAGAGTCTAAACTCAACGAGTCTAGCAACGAAATTCCGGTGATATCTCTCTCCAAAGTCGACGATATTAGTGGCAAAGACTTGGCTTTAGGTTAATCTATTTTAAAAACACTCTCATTTTATGTTGATCTCTCTTTTTTTGTTCCTTTTGTAACACGTAATATATCAATGACTGCAGGAACTTTGACTGAAGTTCCCGGAGAGACTAAACTCAGCGACGAAATTCCGGTGATATCGCTCTCCGGATTTGACGATGTTGGTGGGAAAAGGGGAGAGATCTGCCGTAAGATCGTGGAGGCTTGCGTGAATTGGGGCATGTTCCAGGTTATCGATCATGGCGTCGATACCAATATGATGGCGGATATGACTCGCCTTGCTCGTGAGTTCTTCCTTTTACCTCTGGCGGAAAAGCTCCGGTTCGACATGTCTGGCGGTAAGGAAGGCGGTTTCAGTGTCTCTAGCCACCTCCAGGTAAGTAACGCAACCCGACTTCTGCTTCAGTATCACTCTCCCAAATCGTGTTAGTTTAATAGATGGAACTTTCATTTGGTAGGGAGAGGCGATGAGGGACTGGAGAGAGGTAGTACTGTATTCATCCTATCCGGTGAAGAAGAGAGACTACTCACGGTGGCCAGATACACCGGAGGGATGGGTGAAAGTGACGGAGGAGTTCAGCGAGAAGGCGATGGGTTTGGCTTGTAAGGTTCTGGACGTTCTGTCTGAAGCTATGGGACTTGAGAAAGATGCAATCACCAAACTATGCATTGGTATGGAACAGAAAATCGTTATTAATTATTTCCCACAACGCCCTAAGCCTGACCTAGCCCTCGGGATGCGTCACTCTGACCATGGAATCATCACTGTCCTGCTCCAAGATCAAGTCAGTTGTCTAAAAACTACGAGGGACAATGGCAAGACATGGGTTACGGTTCCGTTCGTTGAAGGAGCGTTTGTTGTCAATCTCGGTGACATTTGCCACGTTAGGACTTTCTCAATCTTTCTTTACTTTTCGTTTGTTTATTGAATTTTTTTTTGTTTAATCTTTGTTGTTTTGACTTGGTTAAACATGAATGTTTTCTTGAAGTATCTTAGCAACGGGAGGTTCATGACTTCTGACCATCAGGCGGTGGTGGACTCAAATGCGAGCAGGCTATTCATAAACACGTTCCAGTTTCCGGCGCCGCATGCCATGGTTTATCCGCTTAAAGTGGGAGACGGAGAGAAGGCTATCATGGAAGAGCCATTAACTTTTGAAGAGATTACTAATAGAAGGATGAAAGAGATCATGGGTTAGAGACTAAGAGTCTTTGTTGCTCCCTTACTGTTGTGTTGTGTTGGTTGAGATCCGGTTCGGTTTTGTATGTTGGTACTGAAATAATCATGCTATGTTCGGTGTCAAACAATAAGTTATGTTTAATGTCCTTTCGTTTGCAATCAATTTCACCAGGAAACTTGGACCTACACAACATCAAGAAGATTACACTTTTCAAGAAACAGAAAACAAAAACTTTATAAAGAGGCTGACAATTATCATATTGTGTTGCTTCATTTGTGTGCAATTTATTAGTAGGAACAACCAACACAAGTTGCAAATCTGCAATAACGTTAGTAGGGCAAACAAACAATATTTGCAAATCTGCAATAATCGCGTGTCCATTATCTTCTTAGAAGTTGCATTCATAAATTTGCCCATACTATCTGCAAGATTGTTACTTCAATGTGAGGTGGTTGGAGGTTATTATTGCGTTTTCCGATACAGATTTTAGATTGGCACCTTTTATGTGAGATGGTCGGAGAGGCAATCTAAATTGCCTTCTCCGCAGAATCGGTTCTGACATTTCGGGGTCCATATACAGTAAAACTATAATTTATCTTTAATCATAAAATTCTGCTCCAAGAACTACGGCAATCATAAAAATCATGTTTTGATTTTAAAATTCCGATTTACTTTAAAATGACTACTAAACGGCTAAACGCTGTAAAGAAAAAAAGCGACTTCTAAACGAAATCAACCCATAATTTAAAGCCAATCTGACCTAACTGAGAAAAAGTACTCCCTCCGTTTCAAATTAGTTATCGTTTTGGCAAAATGTATATGCAATTATTTGGATGTACTACAATGCAAAACATGTCCAAATACATCTAAATTTTTGCAGATACATTTTGCCAAAACGACAACTAATTTGAAACGGAAGGAGTAGAAAGTGTGGTTTAATGGCCTGAAAGGCTGAAACCCAAGACCCTTTTACACCAACCATGAATTATAACCACAAGACTACATCTGCATTTTTGTAACTACCCTTTACCCTTTAATAATGGCATGTTATATATAACCACACCAACCATGAATTATAACCACAACTACATCTGCATTTTTGTAATTACCCTTTAATGGCATGTATAAGTAACCACATCAACCCTTTATTAATTTGGTGAAATATTAATTTATCAAGAAATTATTCGAATCAAATATTTAGTTTAGGACCAGAAGTTCTACTAGTATTTCGAGTTATTAATTTATCGATTATTAGTTTATAGAGTTTATACTACACTTACATTTAGTATAAATTTGTTTGTATTCCTAAATATTTTTTTTTAAATTTTAGCTTAATTAGTGTTATCTTCATCTCCCCAAATGTTTTTAGTTTAACTTTTATTTTGGTCTACCCAAAATTATGGTTTCTTAGTTTGTTGAGGAGTCCCATGAATAAGGGTAACGTAGGAAGCGATCAAGCGAGCTACAGAAATCAATTCAACCCTCACAAGTCACATCTATGAAGAGAGAATGTCTAGCTATACTTCTTCTTTCCAAATGACTGAATAAGCGCCAAACCGCTACTAAGGTCTTGATGAAGACAAAGTCATCTTGTGCTTTGTTTCCATGAGGAACACAATATCCGGAAATCATGAGTATATGGCGTTTAAACGTACACACGTTAACTGGCGTTTAAAAACTAAACTCCTATTAGGTTTGGTTTAGGTTACGAAAATGTGACCTAATTGCTTTTTTGTTTGTTTTCAACTAAAGTTTCAATACAATCCAATTTTGCCCGTTTAATGTCTCACATTTTCCAACGAACCTGCTCTATCAAAGCACAACTCATTTTCTGAAACACAATTTATTAGATATGGCCAAACAATGCCGTTTGCAATTAAACTAAAAATCTCCACCGACCATCTCATCGACGAATCGTTTAATCGCAACAAACGAAGATCCTCCGTCCATCAAAGCCTACCTCGCCGCCTCCGCCATCTCTTTCACTCTTTTCCTCGGTGTATCCTCACCATCCATCAGAGACCGTATCGCTCCAGCAATCTCCTCCACGGATGGATGGTGAGGATAGAACTCTTTTCCTAGTATATAGAACTCTTTAACGAATTGACCTGGCGGCAAAACCTTGGAAGGCACGGAACTGACGTAACCGGGAATCTGATGATCGGAGCTTGTCAGATCGAGCTTGGACGCGATCTTGCGATGTCTCTCAGGGAGATACTTCATCATCCCCAAGAAACCAGCGTTACACGTTAAGAAAATGTAGGAAGGAAGGTTAAACTCGTTTCCCACTTCGATCAATGGAACACAGAAGAAATCAAGAACCAAACCCGCGACCCGAACCGAATCAGATCCTTCGTCACGAGACGAAAGTAGAGTGGAGAGAGCGTCTCTGACAAGAGGAACTGTTTTCCTGGTGAACTCTAGAACGTAAGCTTCGGTGGCTTTAAAGAAAAGCTCTAGTGGCGGTGGGCTTTTGATATCACGCAAGGCAAAGAGAGGGATTCGTGGCTCTGAAGCGATAGATAAGAGATTAGCAAAGAGGTCGGCGTGAGGAGCGAGAGGTAATATCCAGTGGAGGATGGTTATGGTGTGGATGCGATGGTCACGTTTGATGAGAGATTTAGCTAATTCAATGGACACAAGAAGATGACCAGGGATTGGATATGGAACGAAAATGATCTCTTGCTTCCTCATCTTTTGCTTCACTCGTCTCTTTGAGTTTGATGTTTCTTTCTTTTTTTTGTCCTTCTTTTTGGTTTCTACATTGGGTTGAAGCAAATTTGTAAAGAAGGAACCAATTATTGGTGGCTATAGTATAAAGCTGTCAATGTGGGACATCCATGTCCATATAAATATAGATGGACATGAACAAACTCATTTTCAAAATATGCATGGGCATGTCTAATTTAGCCCATGGACAGATGTGGATGGACACGTGACCACTGCGTTGATTGACTCATGGGACGATGAAACTTGTGCGAGGCAGTTTGGTAAAGTATGTATTATATGGATTAGGGTAATTTTATCAAAGTATACTTAGGCTATCTGATAAAAAAATTCTCAAAGAATTTATTTAAATTAAAAGATGACATTTGAAAGTTAGAACGTAAAATTATATAGCAAATTATTTTGAAGAATTTGATTTTATAAATCATAATTTTTTCTCCTTTTATAAAAAGACAGACATATACTATAGATAGTATTAGGGATATAAATGAAGAAAATCATACAAATATAAACAATTAACGAAATTCAGATAAAACAAGTTTTTTCCCAAAATATCTGATTTTATTCCACATAGGGTTATATCGTATGTTTAATTATAGTGTTTATGTTGATATTTTATCTATTGAGTTTTTTTGGGTGCAAATGTGAAGATCTTTTACCTATTGAGTTTGATACATATGTTTACTATAAAACATGACATCTCTTCGCACTAGCTCTCACAAGTTAATTCCAATCAACAGCTCTAGCTTCCTCTTTGCGTCTCTATATCTCTCATAAAATAGTCACTATCACAAAAAGAAAAAAAACGATGAAACGTTCTATGCAGTTAATTTCTACACTTTTCTTCTTTATCATACTTCTTGCTGCACCAGGTATACATTATTATTGATAAACTCTATACATCATTAAATAAACGTTTGATATATCGACAAAATTGAGCTTTTCATAATTCTTTCTTAATTTTGGCTCAAAACTTTGATTTTTATTGAATTATTATTTATACGATCTTATAGATATGAGAACGGTGAAAGGACAACAAATATGTGAATCAGAAAGTGCTGATTTTACTGGAATGTGTTTGAAGTGGAGGAACTGCAGCCAAGTATGCATAAGTGAAGGTTTTGTTGAAGGTCGCTGCCAAGGATTCTGGCGCAAATGCATTTGTAGGATACCTTGTTTTAAATCTACTTAAGTTTTATATTTCTCTATTAGGAAAAACAATTTTTTATCGTTATTTAATTTAAAATATTGGCTCATAAATTTTTCATTCTATTTATATAAGTGAATAAATTATTGTTTGCACTTTACAGTCACGGGTTTACGCATATAAAATAACCATGTGAAATTGACACAGCAAAAATTTACACATTTTTAAAACGCATTTGATCTTTTAGCCCACTCATATAGACTTTTTTGGTGCAAATGTGACAATCATATAGACTTTTACTTATAGTTTCGGTTTATAGCCTTATTATGCTAATTATTTGTTGTTCTATACATGTTCCACTACAAATGTAACTTTCTGGTCTGTTTTTAACAAAACAAAACAAAAATTACACACTTCTTCACAACCCACGAATCCAATTCATACCTTTATACACAATTAAAAGAAAAAATATGAAGAAAAAAAACAAAAGAATTAACTAATGTCTTTCTACTTCCTCCAAGCGTAGACAGTCAAAGAGAACCAACTCTTATGTCCAAAGCTCCTTTCGTCTTCTTCCTTACAAGTCGACCACTCCACTACAGAAGAAGACCAATGACCATACGAAGACGTCCAAAACGACGTCGTTCGAGAGTTCTCTTTCCTCAGAACGTCACCGTCTCGCTCACGCTTCTTCATCATCAATACATCGTTTCCTTCCACTTCTTGATTTTCAAACCGGAGTAAGAACACGGCAGGGACTTTATCCGGGTTAACTTTATCCTTGTCACCAAACAGCCAGTTGTACACATCCCACGATATCTGTATCGTCACACCATCGATCACAATCTTTGCATTTCCTCTGAATTTCCACTGAAGCTCCTTAATCTTCAAAACACTCTTGTTGTCTACGCTAAACCGGAGATTAGCATCGTCGTTAACCTTAACGTCTATACTAATCTCTCTGAGTTTTCCTTTAATATTGATTTTCGTATTGTAAACTCTGTTTCCAAACAGATTCTCCCTCCTTGACACCAAGATTTGCCTCTTTGGCCTCTGTTTCAGAGAATCGCCGACGAGAAGACCCACCTCGCCGGCTACGACGACAGCCACGTAAAATCCGGACTCCGGGTCGGGTCCTGATCCAAATCTTGCATGAGTCAGGTCCCATACGACCCTAATGTCGGGCTTTCTTGATATCTTCTTGGAGCCATGTTTTCTCCAGAAGGTCAAGGGCTTGATTTCTAGTCGGAAAGTGAAGGGAACGGAGCGACGGTAGCAATCAGGAGAGTGGAGATAGCAATTTACAGAGTGGCAGGAGTAGTAATGGAGGTGGAGAGAGCGGCGGAGGAAAGCTTGAGACCATGAGAGGAAGAAGACGCCGGTGTTAGTGTGGTAGTGGCAAGTGGTGGTGGGATTTGGGAAGTCGCCGGAGAAATAAGATGGAGTTGACGGCGATGGAAGAGAGGATGATGTATCGTCGGTGGTAGCGGTGGCTGAAGGGTGGAAACAGGCGGACAAAGGGGAGGAGCCACCGCGACTTTGACCAGAGAACCTCATTTTATGTGTCTTCTTTTCTTCAAATCTCACTATATACGCACATGCATACAAAGACACACTTATAGTTATATGTATAAAGTTAAGTATGTGTTGGTCGGAATATTAGTATATTATCTAAAACTTTTTTGAACGTCTAGTTTCTTTGTCATTAGCTCATAAACAAGTTTAGATGATCTAGACTTATTAATTAGCGTGCCTATGTGTCTGAAAGTGAGTTGTCATGTTGTGAAATTCAAAAGAGTGTGGGTCAAGTAGAAAGACTGAAAGCAACTTTGTGGATAATTTTTTGTAGACCGAAACAGACATTTATTGGTTTTGTATGCTGGTTTTCACACTAAGGCCATTATCTCATAGATGCAAGTCATTGATAATGAATTCAGTCTCCTTCAATATTTTCTCTGTAGCATTCATTTTTATAGCCACAAAATTTTGAAAATGGTAAAGAAAGACAAATAAAATATCAGCGGAAATGACAAGTTTTTATGTTATGGTATAGAAATAGAAGTAGACAAATGGGCTATCGGCAAAGAAATAAATACACACTCACACAAAATGTTCGATACTTTATTTTTCTTTGATTAGTTTGATTGTATATATTTTTTTCTAATTTATTAATATATGGTTCTGTTTTTGGTTTCCAGCTAACAAAAGAACAGCTTTGTAAATGTCCAACTATAAATTTAATATGGAATCAAATACCAATTCATTGCGAGATTGGTGCATTACTCGCTGCCTTTTGTTTTTATACCAGAAGGTCCAAAACATGTGATGGCTGTATTTCTATTATCTAATCATTCAGAGATTACCTACAAAACTTAATCTTCTCCAAATTTAAACAAATAGAGTAAAATACTGAAAACTTGAACAAACATATACAGTATATTGTATTTGGATAACACCATACTATAAATAAAATATATAATAAATCACTCTCTACAAAGAAATCCTATATATGAAAATGTAAAGAAAAATAAAGGGAAAAAAAAACAACATTAATTTTACAGTAAAAAATGTCAATCCAATAGAAAACTCATTTCTGAATTAAATGGTATAAACTGTAAGAGTTTCTAAGTTCAATCTAGAAGTCTCTCTGCATTAACATTCTAGATATATTTTAAACTATTTATGTAAAAAAAATGATAAAGACGAACGAAAAAGTGAGTGAAAACTAAAATGAAGTTTGGAAATTTTGAAAATAGGCTTGGCGGATAACAAAACAACGCCAAAAAAAGAAAGATAGTAAAAAAAGTTTACTAATAGTTTCTTAAAACCTATTTTAGTGATACAAGTGAAACAGAAAACACACCCCACCTACGTATATAAATTGCGCGTACTACAAACGAAAAGAGAAACAACTTTGGTTTGGTTTAGCACATAAGAAACTTCAATATGAAATGTCCTAAAAACTCGTTCTTGTTCATGATCTCGTGCATGGCCCTTCTGTTCAACTACAACAATGGTTTTGTATATGCAGCGACAAACGTTGGCTTGAACTACGGCCTCCTCGGAGACAATCTCCCGCCTCCCTTGGAAGTTATCAAACTCTACAAGTCCTTAAACATCACCAATGTTCGCATCTTCGACACGAACACGGACGTCTTGAACGCCTTCCGAGGTAACCGCGATATTGGAGTCATCGTAGGCGTTAAAAACCAAGAATTGGCTGATCTTGCGGTCAGCGAAGACGTTGTTAACACCTGGTTCATGACCAACATTGAGCCGTACTTATCTGACGTCAACATCACGTACATTACTGTCGGAAACGAAGTCATCCCCGGAGATATCGGTCCTCACGTGTTATCCGTCATGCAATCTCTCACCAACGTCGTCAAGTCAAGGAGTCTCCCTATCTTGATCAGCACCACGGTGGCTATGACCAATCTTGGCCAGTCTTATCCACCTTCCGAAGGAACATTCACGCCAGAAGCGCGTGAACAACTCGTTCCCGTGCTTAAATACTTATCTCAAACAAGAACGCCTATCCTTGTCAACATCTACCCTTACTTTGCCTACGCATCTGATCCTATCAACATTCTTCTTGACTATGCCATCTTTAACACCAACAGAACCGTGGTCCAAGACGGGCCACTAAGTTATTCAAACATGTTCGATGTTATATTTGATGCGTTTGTGTGGGCAATGGAGAAAGAAGGTGTGAAAGATTTACAAATGGTGGTATCGGAGACTGGTTGGCCGTCTGCTGGTAATGGGAACATAACAACCCCCGAAATCGCGTCTATTTACAACGGAAATTTTGTCAAACATGTGGACAGCGGTAAAGGGACGCCCAAGAGGCCAAAGAGTAGCATTCATGGGTTTCTATTTGCGACGTTCAATGAGAATCAGAAGCCAGCAGGAACCGAACAGAACTTTGGCTTGTACTATCCTACGGATGTGAAGCCCATCTATAAGTTTTTTTGATTTTAGATACTTGATTCTTAGACTATCCCAAATCATTAGTAAATGATGCTCTAATAGTCCTAATAGAGTGGGATAAGATCAAGATCCACAACACTCCTTTTTATAAGTTTTTCTCATAAAAAAAGTGAAAGTTTAACTCATACCACGAGAAAACATTAGCTATGTGCGAATCTTTTAGGAATCAACTATAACATATTGCTAAAAAAATTCATACATAAAAGGCAGCTTTTATGTTTTTGTGTTTTTACTTTTTTGGGAAAATTGGAAAAAATGATACGTTGACTACTATTTTGTACATCAAAACAAAACATTTTTGATAGGTTTGTTTTCTAATTCTGAATTCCGAGTTTTGTAGAGTGCACGTTCTGTACGATGTAACATTTGGAGTACACAGGCGTAGAACTTTTTTGAGTTTGCAGAATGTGTATATTACGATTCAGATAATGTATGGCTTGAAAATTGGCCTATAACTACACACTACACAAACTTGTGAAATTACATGTAAGTTTCAAATCCAGCCTAAAACTTTCACTGAAAGTAAATATAAGTTTGTGTTGCGTCCACCGAAAGATACTTTAAAGACTTTGCTAAAGATAGTTAAAGTTGTGAACTCAAAAAGCAATGAAGTATTAGAAAAGTAAATTATTGGGTTTGAGGAATATTTTAACTGAAGTGTACCCACTTGTTGTGTTTTGACGGCTAATTCTTTTAGTTGGTGCTTCTCTTTCTTTCATGTTTCAACCGTTGCATTGTGATTCTTATGCTTACAACATCCTTTGTAATGCGGGTTAAAAGGGTGACGTTTTTTTTTTTCCTTTTCTTGTAGTTTTTGGTTGTTTACATAATAATTGACACAAGAAAAATAATCAACCCACTCTAATGACATAACAACGGCGTATAAACGCTTCTTAAAACTACACATACAAAAGTTGAACAAAGAACATTACACTAAGAATTGTATAAACATGGAACAAGTCAGTATTATAAAATCATCATTTGAAGTTGACGAATATACCAATTTAGCATCATCATTCAAATCCCATTTGGGTTGACATTGACAAAAATACCAATGTAGCATCATCCAAACCAAACCCATTATTCTATATATACAGAGTTCCATCAACGTTTTCTTCTTTCATTTTCATACTCTTCTTACTCAAAAATTTCATCATTTATACAACCTTGGTGTTATAATTCAACATTTTCCTAATTTACCACTAATCTTTTCTTCTTATATTTTTACCACTAATCCTTAAACAACTAAAGAATGTGGAGATTCATAATAGTATTGTATCTTCTAGCTTTCGACGTCGGAAGGGGAATGTCGGTGAGACCGCTGAACTGGAGGAATGATTTAGGACGATTATACGATTTACAGAACCAGCTTCAACGAGGTCCGGTTCCTCCCTCACAACCTTCTCTATGCCACAATAGAGTAAACACTCTTTCTCATCAAGAGGCTGACTCTTCCGAATCTTACGTTCTTTGCCCATGAGTCATGAGCATGCTTCCCGTACGTCATTATTCACTCATTGACGGTTTCTGTCATATATCGGATGTTAGTAAATCAAATGGTTTAACCTGGCCTGATATTCGATCAGTACATATTAAGGATTTAAGATCCAAAACTTCTTGTATTTTAAATATGTATTGTGGCAATTATTTTGCAGTTGACTAGATAACACATTTTTACTGCAGCGAGGTGTGAACAAATATTTGTGTTTGCAGCGCCAAAAAAAGGGAAGAAAATAACGCTTTGTAACATTAGTCAAAGTAAAAAATCAACAAGAACTTGGACGACTTTTAAAGCGCAATTTAGAAATTTCTCTAGCTTCTGCAATAAACATAAAACTACTGCTAATTATACTAAAATTATTCCAGTGTCAGAGAAAAATACACACTACTCGCAAAATGTAACGTGAAGAATATATATACACATCCAACAACTCGAATTATATATAACTCAACACACCTAGAATACTTATATTCTCACATTTTTCACCCCCAAACTTTTGAGATGATCGAATCATAACCCTATACAAAAATATAAGGAGACAAAAGAAGTGGACTTGGATAATTTGGCGCGTTATCGAATATTGTCAATCATCGTGTTAACCGGAGAGTCCCTCCAAGCTCTGCCGGAACCAATGGAACAAGTGAGTGAAGAACATCGGTTATCAACGGTCGATAACTCGGTTCTGGCTGCACGCATAGCACAGCCATGGCTGCTACCTGCGAAACATAATTAAAAGGCCTCAAATCAACAATGTGCAAGTAACCTAATGAATTGTGTCATATACAACATTTGAGTTTAGTCACAAACTAGATAGTCTTAAAACCGGCTTTATCTTGTAAAACACAAACCTGGTATAAGTGCTTTAGATCCATTGTATCTTTTATAACCGGGTCCACGATGTTTGGAAGCTTTGATCTATCAGTAAGTTGTGGCATTGCCTGCCATAACAACACATCTTTAAATCACTAACCGATTCAAAACCAAACACATTTTCTTAAACCGGATAAATTACATACCCAAGTCACAAGAGATTGGCACTGAGATGGAGTCAATTTCTCAACCGGTCGTCTACCTAATAAAAGCTCAAGAAGAACCACCCCAAACGCATAGACATCACTCTTATCCGTCAATTTTCCTGCAAAACATAACACAAAAATAAACATCTTTTCATTTTAGAACCGATTCTTGAAGCTGAATTGTAATCAAACCATTGGCCCGGTCTAGGTTTTTAAACACATGATGATTGTTACGAACTTGTGTGCTACACAGTAAATTTTCAGTAAACATAATTACCGTCTAGGAGATATTCTGGGGCAACATAACCAAGTGTCCCTGAAAGCTTAAGGTTGTTCTTGCCATGCACACCAACCGATACAGCAAGACCAAAATCCGAAATCTGTATATTTTCAATCAAAAGAGTTATAACAAGAAACCAACAAACTAAAATAATGGTACACCGTACACAAGAGAAAATTATAACAAGAACCAAGATTGAGGTCAGAGCCAACCCGGTTCAAATTCAATAGCATTTAAGAAAAAAAAGATTTACCTTGGCACAGAAGGAAGAACCAAGAAGAATATTAGACGATTTCAAATCCCTGTGGATAATTGGTGGATCACAATGCTCATGGAGATACTCTAGTCCTCTGTGGTCAAACAGAGCAAAAGTCGGTTTACTTGTTTATAGAGACAAAAACCGATATTAAAAACCAATGAGAAAACCGGTCTAGGAATCGAAAGTGTCGGCTATTTAATTTGATACCTAGCTGTATCAAGAGCAATCTTCATACGCATATGCCATGTTAGAGCTGATCCACAAGAAGGTCCTAGGACATTGATTATAAAGATCAAAATCACATCAATAAATTAGAATTATTTCAACTTCATGTGGCCACATGATCTATTTAATTCATATGCTATTATTTTTATATTCCTTATATTTACATTCAATATAACTAAACAAGATCATAAATAAATGTCCCAAGAACATTTTTTTTTTACCATGTAACTGATCATCTAATGATCCTTTCTCCATCAGCTCATAAACGATGAAACTTGAGTTGATCTCACTCGCTGAGCCTAACAACGAGATAATATTCGAGTGCTCAATCTTGCTTAACAACTCAACTTCATTCTGAAATCATCAAGCAATCAAAAGACTCAAGAATCAGTAAAACTGATAATAGTCAGGGACTTGGGTTAAATTTGGTTTACCTGAAACTCTCGTTTTGCTTCTTGGCTAACATTTTCGATCTTTTTAACTGCGGCTTTCGTGTTATTGTCAAAACAAGCTTTGTAAACGCATCCGAAACCGCCTTGTCCTATTACATTACTTTCTTTGAAACCTCCGGTTGCTTTTTCCAGAGTCTTGAAATCGAAACACTGCACATAAGCTTTGTTGAAAGATGGTCTCCTCTGAGTTTGAATCGAGCTTAGTCTCCTCATAAACATGGTGAATGATGAATTCCCACTCTCGGCATCTTCATTTTACAAAACATTTAAAGATATCAATTTCAACAGAAAACACATGATTATCCCAAGGAAAAATTCACTACTTTAAATTGTTACAGAATCAATGAAGAAACTTGCAATCATTAAAATTTAAATTTGTTGCAAATTTAACACTGAGAGATGTCAATTTATAGAAACACATTATAATCTCAAAGAAAAATACCCTAGTTTTTAAATTGGCAAGAATTAAAAAAAAAAAAAAAAAAAAAAAAAAAAAAAAAAAAAATCTCAAAGAACCATTAGAAACTTGAAATTTCTCAAAGAACCATTTGATACAGACTTTTTTGTGTTCTGCTATAAGAATGATGAAATTACCTGAATTCTTGATGGAATTGGGAGATTTCTTTCGTCGATAACAAACCCAGAAGCCTAAACAGAAAAGGATTATGACACCAAGAGAAGAGGAACTGATTATGAGACCAATCAGAAGTTTCTTATGTTCTAATCTGTGTTCTTCCCCACTTCCCATTTTGATTCCTAACACAGATAAAAACAAAATCTTCAGCTCATCAAATTCATTGATTCGATTTCACTTGTCATATTTATATCAGAATTTGAGTAGTATGATTCTTGAGATTCTGAATCAAACCCAGGTTTCGAAATTGGAGAGAAGATATTTTTTTTTTCTTCAAAAAAGACAAAGGAGTGAGCAGCTCATAAATAGCATTTAATTATCGAATAAAAAAACAAATTTCGTTTTGGCTTTCGAAATTCGAGGACGCACAGATCAAATCTTGAAACCCCAGAAAATTTAATAAATTAAATGAAGTCAACGAAATGGTACAAACAACAAAACAATCGCACAAATAAATTTTAGAAATTCGAGCTAAAATCAAACATTAATAATCGAAAGAATTGGATCGTTTTTTTTTCTAAACAAAAAAAGAGACGAAAATTTTACCAGGAGAGAAAGTAGCCATGGAAGTGGAAACAGGAGCTATAGAAGGGTTTGAAGCTGAAGAAGAAACAGTAAGGAATTGAGTAACAGAGATGTTGAAAAGAAACAGAAATCGGAGAAATTTCTTCATTTTTCGTCTTTTGTTTTTTTGCTAAAAAAAGAACAGTTTGGGAATAGATTTCAGTCTCTAGAGTCTAGACTCTTTTTTTATTTGGGGTTAAGAGATTCTTTCAGAAAGCGAAGAGTGAACGAACTATCGCTTTCTTCACTCGACTGTCTCTTTCTCACTCGCTGTCTTCTCGTTATCTCTTTTATGAGATTTGTGCATAAAGGAGGGAAAGAGAAAGAGATTTAAAAAAAAAAACAAATCGGATTCTCATTTCTTGACCAATAATAATTTTTAATAAACAATGTGATGAAACTAACGAGGAAAGAAGATTCGGAACGTGAGTTTACTAAAACTAAACTCGATTTGTTAATTAAAATTTAAACTGTTGAGAAAATGTTTTTCTGAAACCTTTAAAACAAAAATGGCATAGACGGGAGAGAGAGAATGAGCATGTCTGTGAAGGCCCGAGAAAATAAAGAATTTATGGGCCAGTTTGTAATAACCTCGAGATGCGAACAAGCCCATCATCAACAAAAGAACAATCTTAAACACATTTTAGTGTTGGAATGAAGACATGTCTTGGAATTTGGATTATCAATGTCTTGGATTTAAGATTTTGACCAAAATGTGTTTAAGATTTTTCTTTTGTCATTTCTCTCTACTCCTTCTCTATTTCCATGGATGCAAATACTCCAAACAAAACACACTAAAAAGTAAAAAGTCTTTCAGTTTTTACCATTTAGGTCTTAAGTAGGAAGCATGTGTGGCTTTGGATGTCACCATTCAAGAGAAAGAATTAGTGAGTTTTGAGTTTGATCTCATCATTCAAGAAAATTGACCAACCGCACCATTTCTACTACCTTATCATTCATACGTACAAATATAGGTATTTTGTTTGATAACTGGTTGAATCTTGATCGTCTTATAAACGTTACATGAGAGGTGGGAACAAGATTGCTCATAGACAAGATCTGCAAATGGCTGGAGAATTCCCTCGTGTAGTTGAGTCTGTCATTTGCCTGAAATGTTACACAAAATCAAATCAGGAAATCCCTCGGCATGGTTTTTATTACAAGGCTAGCAATCCGAAATAAATTATCCTCAACATGAGAGATCATTTATTTATCTTCAACGGTTCATCACACAATAACAATAACCACACTTAATAAAATTTTGTCCATTTGACGCGTCGAATTCTGTCACTATTCGACACCAAATGAATCACGTCGGCCATTGTCATCATTCTCAGCCTGAAATGGACTCAACATTTTATTAGATTGATTGTTGAAAGCTAAGTTTTATTTCATATATTATTTAATGTTTTATTTAATCACTAATAACTTAAAGCAGCTGTCTGGGCCTTTCAAGGCACCCAAGTCAGCATTTTCGAATCTTCTATCTACCTGCCATGTGGCACTTTAATTTAACAAAGCCGAGCACCCTTCCTCATTTCATTTCCGTCGCGACTCTATGTATGCCAGCTCCGACCATTTCGCCTCTTAAGGCCTGACTGATTTAATCGCTGCGATTGCGGTTGCGGATGCGGGAGTTTGCAGAAGCAGGCGGTTATGATTAGTAGCGTTATTAAGCGGTTTGTACAACTGGCATAACAATTGAAAATGGATGCGTTTGCGGATTACTTATGACTGGTTCACTTGCGGATGCAATAACAGTTAAACAATAAATTAATAATATAAACACATTATATAATTATAAAAATATCAAAAATATTTTATAATGAAAATTTTAAATTTATGGTTCAACATAATTAAAAATAATTTTTTTATAAATAATAATATGTGTATAATACTTACGTCTATCTTTTAATTTCTATAATTTAAATAAAAATGTGATTTTATTTTCAAAATATATATTTAGCCAATCCCGGTTTCTCACCTCTCCAGATCGCCGAAACTCTCATAGCTTGCCTCCTGCGTCTATCACGCTACTACTTGATCAGAAGGTACGAACCCCTAAATCTTTCACTTCACCAATCTATAGAATTAATTCCCTCCAACATCTACTGGTTCAGGACTCCATCAGTGAAGCTTTCCTTCCGGGGACAGTCGCCCCAAACTTGGCGCCCATTTTAAGGGAGGGTTTGGGATGTGTTAACGAGCGGAACTGGTGGAATTTAGTTTCCGACGAATCGAAGTCCCGAGTTCAAAGGTGATTGAATTTAGTTTCCCTTTTGACCCTTGTGTGAGTTAGTCTTACAGAGTGCTCTCGGTATACTTGGCAGGTTGGCACGCTTATTGGCATCTTCAGCTCAAATCTAGTGCCAAAATCCAAATTCGGAGAAATTCTGAGCTGATCCAGATTCATCTTTAAGACGGGTGGAGATAATTGGAAAAGCTGCTTCTATTGAGAAAGGAGAGATGCTTATCAATCAGATTATAGCAGAGGTTTTAACTTGTCTTTGACATCCGTGTTGGTTCTTTATTAAATGGCAAATTTTTGTTGTTGTTGTCTGACCTCAGATTTGGCCTTTTTTGTTCTTGTGCTGCAATTATAGACTGAAGCAGGAGGTGTACCTAGCCTTTTAGGGTCCATGAACAGATGGAGATTAAAGTTCAAAATGATAAGGTTGGTGTGATTATTGGTCGAGGTGGGGAGACTATCAAGAATATGCAGACAAAGTCAAGAGCTCACATTCAGGTGTTACTTCTATTTCTCAGTGTGTCTACTATCTGTTTTAGTTTATATTGGCATTATTTGTTTGTTAATGTTCTGGTGGTGTTACCTGTTATCAGTTACAAGTCCATTGGATTTATGATGTGTTGGGAATAATGCTACAAGTATATGGAAAAGCTCTGCTGTCTTAATTTAAACGTTCAGTGGAAATCTATGCTGGCTCCCCTGATTTAGCGAAAAGTAAAACATGTTGATGTCCTAGAGGACATGCTGCTGCAGTAAGAAGGATAGCTTGAGAAAATGTGTACATATTGTAAGAAAGATGCTCACTCCTGCTATGAAAATCATATGTTCCGTCCTCGGTGTGATTCTTTAAGTTAAAGGTGTCGATCTCGAATTGGTGTTGGCTTTAAAATGCAGATGTGGCTATTACCTTTCAGTTGGGGTCAGCATTGCCTTGTTGGTGACTTGGTGTACAATAGACATCACCCAGGTTCTTTTTGTGGTAATATTATAATTAAAACTCTATACAAATTTAAATTTATTTAGTCCTTTTACTACTCTCTTTCAGATGGTAAACAAACATGTACACTTGATTGATTGTTAACTTCCCACCAAAAACTTCAAAGGAATCAGAGAATATATTTGTTTGGAGAAGAGATGGAGAGGCTGAGAACGTCAAGACTGGTAATTGCATCTCCAATTTTTTTTTTTTTTTTTTTTTTTTTGATATTGTTCAATAGCTAGCTCAAGTTCATATACTCTTGGGCAGTTGATCTCAATTACAATAAGGCAAAAAATTTGTGTCCCATGATCTTTCTAATCACCAAATGTTCGGTTTCTTTGAATGGTTGTATTTTGTGTGTCAAAGGTAATCTCTATGCGGGTTTGATTATATATAACATACATTTTACAGTACAGCTTATAAAGGTTTTAGTGTGTAATAGGTATTTTTATATCTTGCAAGAAATCCATGAAAGACTGTTGAAAAGTTTCCAAGAATAACTACGAAAAGATACAGTAATCTTATTTAGTGTTCGGTATCTTTTGATTTCAGGTATAGGAGCATGGCGTAAATGGCTGTAGAAACGAAAAAAAAAAGGAAAGTTTTTCGTGGAGGTGAAAAGCTAGAAGATGAATTTTCTTTTATGACATGACATGAGGGTTGTTTTATGAGGAAGTTCTGGTTCTGTTTTTAATTTTGTTTTGCTCCGTTCCTGGTGGTAGAGAGCAAACAAGCAAACCTTTGTATTTACCTCTTTTTAGTCTTGCGTGTGCTTTATACTTAGATGAATTTGTTGAGGTGGTTGGTGTTATCCTAATTTCTTAACAAGATTATCTTAGAAACGCAATTGATCTTTGTAAGAATATATGAGGAAGGGCTTATAGTATTCTCTTATCACTTTTTGAGTTTCACTTTTTGAGTTTCTTCCACTTTTTGTGATGTGTTCACACTTCACAGTAACATATATACATGAAATTAATTACGAGATGTTTGTAAGAAAATAACTCATATGAGTTTGAATGTCGATATAAAGTTTCATTCATTCAAATTAACATTACAATAAAATATAATATTTTGTAACAACAAAAATGTAACAATTTATATAACACAAAATAATAACTGAACAAAACATAAAAAGAAAACTACACAACTTTTCTTTACCAAAACTAATTTCGAATTGCAAACAAAAAACTGAAAGCTACAAGCCTATAATCAACTTTTTTTTTTAAACTAAACTTAAGTATAGATTTAACTTTTATGTATACATTATTAACTAAATATTCCCTTTTGTATTTTCCTTTTGTTAAATACTCCCTTTATTTAAGATGTGTATAATTCAGAATTATAGCTTATTTATAAATAAGATAAACTTTGTGATAATGCAACACAATGGCACAAACTTTCGTCATTTGTAAAATTTACATTTCCATTTATCAATCTGTTCAGTTACTGTTGTAATACCACTTTTTATGAAAATATAATAGAAATAAAACTATAATCCATAAACTCGGGCGTAGTTCGGGATATCCCTAATAAAAGTTTAAACGATTTATTAAAACTTGTACAGTAGAAGGTGGGAGTCCCATCGTAGGAAACCAACAATATTTTTATAAAACAATTTGGAAAAATAAATACTACTAATGAACGCGTTATGGTGATGGTGGTGATATTTTGACAACTATAATTGACCAAATCAACTAGATGAGTACCACTAGATGCTAAATAATATTTGGTAATATGACCACACAAAAAAATTGGTTTGGATTTCTTGTACGTTTATGATATAAATAAATTTAACTGTAAACATTTGAGAAATATTATGAGAAAATGTTTTTCCCCCGGCGAATAATAATATGTTTCGTTTAACGGGAGACCAACTTCTTTTTAAGAGAAATAATATCTGGATATTATTAATTTGGTACCACTAAATAAGTCACAATGCAAAGCATCATTAATGAGGCCAACAATGTTGGCCCAACATCTTTATTTAAATATATATAAAAATGGAAAAAACAAATTGTCTTTCTCAAAAGAAAAATAAAAAGTAAAACAAACAATGAAAGAGGCAAAGAAACAGCATTTTGCCATCGAAGACACGCTATAAACAATCGTGTATAAAACATCTCCCTTCTTCCTTCATCTTCCTCCACCAATCTAATCTCCCTTTTACAATTATGCCCTCTCCCATTCAATTCCTCTCATTTTCCTCCTAACATTTTCATTTCCTCCCATCTCCTTCCTCTCCGACGCCATGGGAGTTGCTGTTCTTCACCCTCGTGATTGTTTAACCGATCTCTTCTCCAGCCACAACAACCTTGCCTCTCCCCACCGGCACAAAAAACCGGTAACCAATCGCCGTCGCCGGAGTCCGCCACGTCACCAAACCGCGACCTCTCCTCCTCCTGCTCCTCCTCTTCCTCTCGCTGATTTCGTCCCAAAGGGACCAAAAAAGAAGTATCCCAACCAGGCGATAATTTTGAAGCGTGGAGATGATCTCCGTAAGAACATACCGGATCCGGCGATTGAAGAGCCAGATCTGAAACCTGCTCGCCAGATCCGATCAGATCCGGTGATGATTCCGTCTCAGAACCGAATTTCCCATCGGAGATCGATGCCGGCTTCGTTTTACGCTGGTCCCGTAACCTCAACCTCTCCTCCGCCGAGCGAAGTCCCTTTACCGGCGTTCTTCGCTAAAAAAACCGTCGCCGGATTCAAACCCACCGAAGCAACCCACGATCTTAGAAGAATCCTGGGATTGGATATTGCATGATTCAAGTCATTTCAAATCTCACTTTTACACCGTTCTCCGATCGTCGGAATCCGGCGTAAAAACGGGCAAGTCTATGAAAAAAAAAAATCTCCGATCGTCCGAAATCTAGAAGGTGCAGAGACATCTTCGTTATGATGAAACATTTTCTAATCTTTCTCTTATTTTTTCAAGGGGAAAGATTCGAAATTATCTTCTTAATAACAGGTCTTTAGTTTCTTCTCTTCTAGGATTAGTTTGTATTCGTAGGAGTATTATGTTAATAGGCTTTTTCGTATTATCGTTTTCTTTCGAGTTAATTTATGGTTTGTAATGCTTTCTCAAGGTTTCATAATTCATGTCTATTAGGTTTAAATTAGAGATGTAAGTGGTGGGTATCGATGTAATCTTCTTTTAAGTTTTTCTTAATCTTTGTAATTTTCCTTCTGTATGTTAATGTTATTATTGAAATAGATCTCAAAATTCTGATAGTTTATCTGCTTGATTTGTGAAAAAGACAGAGAATTGAATGTGAAGATGATTTTTGCAGTTTTCTTGCATGATGTTGAAAAACAAACATGATCGGATTGTTTGCAGAAGTGTCGTCATCACCGACAGTTTTGAGGATCAGGTTACGTTTTTAGCATTGGTTTGTGCCTTTGTGGACCAACCATTGTTTTCGATCACAACGGCTCATCATTTTTTTCAAGTGATAAAAATAAAATGGCATCAATATTGTTGTTAATTTTCGGGATATTTAGCGGATTGGAAATAGATAAGTTCGTATTTGTGTCAATAGTAAGAAAACTGCAGAGAATATTTTGGGAAGGTTGAACGAAGAAACCTTTCCGAGATAGAGAAGCCAAATAATCAACAAAATCTTCTGGTCTATCATTTGCGACTTATCAGTTACGTTGACTTTTTCTTTTATTGTTTAGTGTAAAAATATCCATTGTTCCCCACACACTAATTAAGCTTCGAAAGGATTTTTCCCTTAATAAGCAATTGAAAGGTAAAAATTGCTTATTTTTGGTTGGACTGTATCCAGAGAAATTTTTTTTTTTTTGTCGTTATTGTTTTGTAGACAAAATTTAAAATTTCAAAGGTGAACAAGTAGAAGTCGCGGAAGCTTTGTCCCCTGAGAGATGCTTTGGACGTATAAAGAAGGGTAAGGTTGAGTTATATAGTTGAGAGACTAGGTAACTATTGGTGCAAGCAAGCTTGTCTTCTTGAGGCAATTTTGGGACACTAAGGTACAAAAGTTGAACTCTTAATCTACAATTCTAGAGCCGAGCCTAGTTGAAAGCTGCATGAAAATGCAAGTTAGCTTCATCCTTTCTTGTTCACCTTGTGTAGTTCTTGTTTGAGACAGCAAAACGGAGATTCATTTATTTGCAGAAACTTGGAGTAAAAAGGTGGAACAAAAAGTATGAGAAAATTCGTATAGATCCACTATTGTTAAGAGTTATAATTTATACCTTTTTATATGGAAGTAAATTTTCAGCTAGTTTTAGAATAAGCAAAACACTTGTATAACAAGGCAAAATTTACTTTGATGATAATAAGACCACAGTAAAATATTTTGCTCCACGTAATTCTGACTTCTTTACCTTTCAGAGCCTAAATACAAGATAGAAATAATAAATTAGAGTTTTCCATATCTTTTTTGTTTTTAAAGGCTTGGTTTTTCCATATCTTACACAACATATTCTTATATACATACTCATATAAGAAAAAGTAATCTCTGTTTCATTAACTCTTTACTCAACCCCACCATAACTATATACAGTAGACATAAACTAGCATTAGATTTTACCTGAATAGACAAGCAACCCCAAGGACCATATACATAGTGGATAAATCGTAAATGATGTACTTATTGGACACTGTCTCATTTTTCTTGTTCTTACGTTTCTTTGATATTTTAGGTTGGTTCTCTCTTCTGCATGATTAATCAAACGATTAATTCATCAGAAAATGTTCTTTGTAAGGAGTGATATGGCTACATCATTAAATATTCAGAGAAGATCGTCTTACCTATCCAAGCGTTAAGAGTCTTAACTTAAGACCTTTGTGCGAATAGAGACCAAACATGAAACACCTTTAGCCTCTAAGACCAATTTAATGGACAAAATAGAGCAAATACTTAACGTTACATGATACGTCTTTACTTAACTACTTGTAACGTTAAGTAATTTATCTAAATTAATCGTGTACCACTAAATGATTCATGCAAAACCGAATGGCAATTCTAGTCGAAACACTATTTTTATATATTAAAAAATATAAAATACGATTTTGGTTAAAAAAAAAAAAAAAAAAAAAAAACGACTACTTCAATCTCTAGATTACATTAACTTTTATTAAGTAAATAATCTTCACAATAATACTTTTAATAAAAGTATAAAACTAAAAAATAGTCAAAATTTTATACTCTTGTAAAATAAATAAATGAAGTTCAATATAAAATTCTACTCTATTAATTTTATGTCCATTCCTCTTATTTTCATTTTTTGTTCTTCTCAAACTTATCATCTTTTTCCTTCTTCGTATTATTTTCCATTTCCTTAAACAGTTACACTCCTCAGAGTAGTCGGAGTGTCGGACTATGAATATAATGGGCCGTTGTTGGGTTATGAATTGACAAAACCCTTACGAAAAGATTATTTACCATCTTCACCAAGCTGCAAGACTATTGGTGCTAGTGGGTCCCGCCGTTGCAACCATGAACCCAATCTTAAAAACTTTTTCATCGTCGACAAAACAGAAAAAAAGCGAATCTGACTAAACACATAAAATGGAAAAACAAACAAAATCCCGATTTTTCATTATTCAGGAAATAAATGCATGAAAATAAAGAGAGAGAGAAAAGAATGAGACGAATAATAATAAGGAAGAGGCTCATTATATTAGTCTCCCTCATTCTCTCATTTCTCTTCCTCTTCCTCTTCCTCTTCTCTTTTCTCCAACTTCCTCTTCTCTCTCTCTCTCTCTCATCTCTCATCTCTCATCTCTCTTATCGCCGTTTCTGTATCTGAGATTTATCAGTGTCGATTTCGATGAGATTAACATCTCTGAAGAAGCCGATGACGGTTACGCAAGACGAATGGGTAGCGTCGGCTTTGACGGACGACGAGATGGTGGTTGAGCTTCTTCTACGCCTCAAACACGCCGGAACGGTAGAGTCTGAGGATAATCCCGCGGCGAATCTACCTGAGTTACGGTGGGGTATCCGTCAGCGACGGTCGCGACCGTCGAGATTAGGCGTCGGCGTCGGCGTCGGCGTCGGAGGTTATCTGAAGAAGGAAACGGATTCCGCTAGAGCGAGTCCTATGACTCCGTTATGCTGGAGCGGCGGATCTGGTAGCCGCGGCTCTACTAGTCCCTCCGCCGTAACCGCCGATGGTTTTGAAGATACCAGTCGTCAATCTAGCTGCTCAACATCAACCAGATCCGGATCCATGGTATGTAATTACCATATCCTTCCTCAATCTCTCCGCCTGATTCACTTCTTCTCCTTAATCCCCATTCTCGCTAGTTTTGGTTCCGATCTAGCCGATAATTGGGGATCTCCGCCTCAGTCGCGAATTCGTTATTCCGGCGATTTTTGCACCACACTTTCGGTTTTCCGTTTTATTTTTACTGAGATTTGAGAAACTCCTCGTGATTCGCGTTTTCTAAATTCCGGCGGTTTTTGCACCACAGAAAATTGATTTTCCGATTATCAGTCTTCGGCTGACGTCATCTTACGCCACGTCGTCTTTGGGTAAAAGAGCTTTTTTTACCAGATCGCGTTTTTGTCAGTTTTACTTTTTAGTCATTTGTTTGCGTCGGGAAAGTTTCAACGTTTCGCCGGAATTTTAACTGCTCCGCTGTTTTTTTTAAACATTTTTACCACTCCGCGTTGGTGAATTGCGGATCTATTATCCGCTCCGATAGAGAGTCAACTTTTTTTTATTTATATTTTATTTACAATTTTTGTGTTCAGAAATGTTTTTTTCTTTGTTTTTGGCAAGTTGCACAATTTCTGGGCGTGACTTTGATATGCTAATCTCCTCCACTCAAACGAGGCTTTATAGGGTTAAAAATCTAGATTTGTTTTTTTACTGTGAAATCTTTGAATCATTCAACGATCCGGTAATTTCGTAAACCGGTATTTTTTTGGCGTTGGACCGGTTTGGTTTTGTGTGTATTGGCCCCATTATGGGGGATTTTGTTTAGTCAACAAAAACTAGCGCGTATTGTATACGATTCCGGTATAAGACGCTGTCGTTTTAAGTGAGTTTAAAATCTTGTCGGATAGATTGTCGTCACGTGATGATGAATATGGTGATGGTGTCATGTGATGTTGCCACTCCACGGGATTATCATGATGTGGCGTGCATGATCCATGTTTAATAAAATCTCAAAAAACATGCTAAAAAGGCCTTTTGAAATTTGGTTTAGCTTTTACTTTTGAGAATTGAGACTCTTTTTGTTTTGGTTTATAAAGATCTCTTCTTTGAATTAAAGACTTCTCTTTAGCATCTAATTCCCTCTTTAATTTCTTATTTAATTCCGTTTCAACTTTGTTTACTGCAATAAATAGTTAATTAATGAGTGTGATTTTGTGTATTTTTTGCAGGCTGTATATGCTACAAATGAAATCACCAGCTCTTGCTCCAGGAGGAGATCAAAGAAACAGAAGAAGGTACAAAGATCTCATCGCAAATTGAATAAACACTCTTGGATCTTGCGATTTTGGACGATTTTCTGATTTTTTTTTGGCATGTTTTTACAGACATTTTTGGAACTTAAAGATGCAGAGAGCTTTCAGTTGAAGGAAAGATTTGACCTTGAAAAGGTATAATATAACATTATTATTTACTCTGTTTTCTTGCTTCTTTTTAATAGGCTTTGTTTGCTTCAAAATCGTATTCTTAATAATCTGTTTATCTTCACCAGAAGATTGCAAATGTGCAAGCAACGTACCATGAACGAAGTGTCAAGAACCAAAAATTGAAGAGAATTAAGGTAAATGTCAAGACATTTTCATTCTCTCTTAAACCAGACCTTTGTTCCCTCTGATCTTAAATTCTGAATCGGGATCTACTGTTTTTTTCTTTCTTCTGTAGCTTGAATACTCAGATCGAGTCAAGAACATTCCAATGAGTAAATCTAATCTCAACGAGTCACGGAAAAGGAGACGCTTACCTTTATCAATCTCACCGGTCAAAAAAGAAGAAGAACAACACGTGTCAGAATCGTACAGAGCGAAAAGCCAAACGAAGAGCTCTGAAGAAAAGAGTTTCTTCTTCCTCCCTGATCTAAACATGACCCCAACCGAAGAAGACGATACATTGTACGGCACGAGCTAAAGAAAGCTTTTAGACCAAATGCGTCAGGGTAGTTAATAGGCATCAATGGTCATGTAGTCGGAGATCGGAGTAAAAGTGAATTCACCGACAAGACTTCTCACCTACTCAAGAAGAGCTCGAGAGGATTTATAAGAAGAGGAAAAAAAGGGAAGAAAGCATGTAGTAATAAGTACCGCTATTATTCTCGCTTTTTTGTTTTTAATGAAAAAGAATTTCTTGGGTAAAACGATCTTTTTACTTCTTGTTTTTTGAGAAGTATATGGAAATTAGGGCTCTTTTTGGTTCTTCTTCTGATTCGTCGTTGTAGTAGCTAGTGCGTAATTCAAGAAAAATGTAGGCCACCTAACTTTCGTCGCCTTCTCCTTTTTGCTCTATCCAAAGGAAATTAGTTTCAAACCACAAACCGTTGGTTGCCTAAGTTGTACAAATTTCACTATCTAATGGGCTGCATTGACAGCATTGTTCATCACCCATTTAGGCCTGTCAAAGGTCCATTTTGTATCTCAATGTTTGGTCCTTACTTTTTGACCTAGATGAAAAACTAGTCTTGAAGTTCAAGTAAGCTAGATCATCACATGATGGATTTTCACAAACGTGATCATCACAAGGAAGACAATCATGGGCATGGATTTAGGCGCTCTCTTATAAACACTATATCTTGAACTTATGGTCTCTTCTAATATTGAACTTGGTTTTGTGTCGTGTGAATTTGGCATTGTATTTTGTAAGACTTTATCTTATGCGAGACTAGATTCTGAAGCCCAAGACTGGCCCACATTTACTCTCTCTCTCTCTAAATATATATATATATATATTCATTCACTCGGAGGTGACAAAAAAAACCCTAGTTGCAAAACTTGAAACGATGACGATGATGTCAGATCTTCCAAGGGATTTGGAAGAGGAGATTCTCTCAAGAGTTCCTCTGAAGTCAATGAGATCAGTGAGATCAACTTGCAAAAGATGGGACACTTTATCCAAAAATCACACAAAGGAAGGGGAGTCTCACGTGATTGTCTTGGTAAAGGACAATGTTCACCTAATGAGCAGTGTCATCAACGACGTTATTCCATCTATAGAGCCTTAAGGGCAAACTTACTTGCCTTGACGAACAAGTCAAGATATTTCAAGTCTTTCACTTATTGTTATGCGTCTTGAGGGACGATCCTAGGCTTGTGGTTTGGAATCCGTATTTGGGGCAAACAAGATGGATCACACCCAGATATTCTTCTTGCCTCGCACGACTCTTACAGGACCATTACACGTACGCTCTCGGATACGTGAATAAGAAGAACAAATCCTGTCGTAGCCACAAACTCTTGAAGTTTATAGACCTCGGTAGTGCAGCCAAGGACTTTGCGTGGTATGAAATCTACGATTTTGACTCTGATTCATGGACGACTCTTGATGTCACTCCAAAGTGGCATATGTCACATTTAAACTTTGGGGTTTCTCTCAAGGGAAACACTTACTGGCGTGTTGAAGAAGGCAACTCATATCACTTGGTTTGTTTTGATTTTACAAGCGAGAGATTTGGGCCGCTTCTTCCTATACCGCCGTTTAACCTTCGGATGTAGACTTTCTGAACCTATCTTGTGTTAGAGAAGAGAAGCTTGCGGTTTCATTTCAGCATGAGGGATCAAGTGAGATTGAGATATGGATTACGACTAAGATTGAGGCCGAAAAGTTGTCGTGGAGAAAGTTCTTGGCTGTGGATAAGCGACCATTCGTTGACTATATGTTTTCATTTAATACTAGGAGCCTCTTAATCGACGAGGAGAAGAAACTCGCTGTGGGTTTCGTTGAAAATGGTTTTGGTCATGAGACAGTTATCATCTTTGGAGAGGCTGGAGACGTAAGGGAAGTGGATCTCGGAGAAGCCGCAGTCGGCAAATGGCATTGGTCACAAATATGCTATTATGTTCCAAGTTCAGTGCAATGCATCAAGAAACCTCCAGGAGGCAAAAGGAAAAGACAAAGCGATTTAGAAACGCGTCGGTATGATGAGAACAAGTCGAAACTTATCGCACTTGAAAAGCGAATCGTGAAGCAATGTATGAATGGATGAGGCAAAGCAGAATAACGATGAAATTCTGGTAACTAGAGAGGATTTGTCACACGTCATGTGTGCAATTTTATGTTGATTAACTATGATAAACCATTACTGACCAAGTTTGACATTCTTGTTCAAACTAAGCCGATATTTATAGTTTAATTATTCTCTTTAAGCTGCGGGCAAATAATTCCATCTAAGGCAATAAGCTGTGAAATTGAGTTGGACAGTGTTTTGTTCTGAGATCCATCTTACTTAGCTTGTATCCTGATTTTATGCTAAAAAACATGCTCAAAAATATGTTCTGAGATCCATCTTACTTGGCTCAAAAATATGCTAAAAAACAAAATCACCTAAAATCACCATCACCTAAGTTTCAAAGTTCAAACCACAAAGCGTTTGGATGCCTAAGTTGTACAAATTTTAATATCGAATGGGCTGCATTGCTCATCACCCATTTAGGCCTATTTTATATCTCAATGTTTGCTCGTTACTTTTTGACCTTGATGAAATGCTAGTCTTGAAGCTCAACTAAGCTAGATCATCACAAGGAACACAATCATGGATCTAAGCGCTCTCTTATAAACTCTATCCTGAACATAAGGTCTCTTCTAATACTGAATTCAGCATTGTATTTTGTAAGATTTTATCTTAATTGGTTATGTGTGCGCGTTTGGTGTTACAGATTAAACAATGATTCGAGTGTATCAAATTGGTCTTATGCGAGACTAGATTCTGAAGCCCAAGATTGGCCCACATTTAATCTCTATATATATATATATATATATATATATATATTCATTCACTCGCTCACTTGGAGGTGACAAAAAAAACCCTAGTTGCAACTTGAAACGATGACGATGATGTCAGATCTTCCAAGGGATTTGGAAGAGGAGATTCTCTCAAGAGTTCCTATGAAGTCTTTGAGGACAGTGAGATTAACTTGCAAAAAATGGGACACTTTATCCAAAAATCACACAAAGGAAGGGAAGTCTCACGTGATTGTCTTGGTAAAGGACAATGTTCACCTAATGAGCGGTGTCATCAACGACGTTATTCCATCTATAGAGCCTGAAGGGAAACTTACTTGCCTTGACGAACAAGTCAAGATATCTTACTTTCTTCACTGCGAGGGTCTATTGTTATGCATCTTGAGAGGCGACAACTCTGGGCTTGTGGTTTGGAATCCGTATTTGGGGCAAACAAGGTGGATCACACCCAGATATTCTTCTTGCCTCGCACAATTCTTTCGGGGCCGTTACACGTACGCTCTCGGATACGTGAATAAGAAGAACAAATCCTGTCGTAGCTACAAAATCTTGAAGCACTTTGCGTGGTCTGAAATCTACGATTTTGACTCTGATTCATGGACGACTCTTGATGTCACTTCAAACTGGCATATATCACATTTAAACTACTTGGGGGTTTCTCTCAAGGGAAACACTTACTGGCGTGTTGAAGAAGGCAACTCATATCACTTGGTTTGTTTTGATTTTACAAGCGAGAGATTTGGGCCGCTTCTTCCTATACCGCCGTTTAACTCTTCGGATGTAGACATTGTGAACCTATCTTGTGTTAGAGAAGAGAAGCTTGCTGTTTTATTTCAGCATGAGGGATCAAACAAGATTGAGATATGGATTACGACTAAGATTGAGGCCGAAAAGTTGTCGTGGAGCAAGTTCTTGACTGTGGATCGGGGACCAGTCATTGACTATACGTTTTCATATGATACTAGGAGCTTCTTAATTGACGAGGAGAAGAAACTCGCTGTGGGTTTCGTTGTAAATGGTTTTGGTCAAAAGACAGTTATCATCTTTGGAGAGGCTGGAGACTTAAGGGAAGTGGATCTCGGAGAAGCCGCACAAATATGCTATTATGTTCCAAGTTTAGTGCAATGCATCAAGAAACCTAATGTTCCAAGTTTAGTGCTAATATCTTATCGCACTTGAAAAGCGAATCGTGAAGCAATGTATGAATGGATGAGGCAAAGCACAATAACGATGAAATTCTTGTAACTAGAGAGGATTTGTCACACGTCATGTGTGCAATTTTATGTTGATTATTAACTATGATAAACCATTACTGACCAAGTTTGACATTCTTGTTCAAACTAAACTGATATTTATAATTTGTTATTCTCTTTAAGCTGCGGGCAAATAAATCCATCTAAGACTTTCTGAGATCCATCTTACTTGTTTCCTGATTTTATGAAAAATTTGATAAACTATTATACATACCAGCAGTATACCACGCTCTCAAGACTCAAGAACACCTTATGGGAGATTTCTTGGAGGCGGTTTATTCCCGTAAGACGGTTATCGAATCTCCATTCTCCAATCTTACCGTACATTATATCCGCCTGTAATTAAGTTATAAACTTATAAAACACAGTATAAAACCAATCTTATCTCATATATATCTCCACCAAATTTTGTTAATGGATTCTTGCTTCATTATCTCACATACATAATCGCAGCCATAAGTGTAATGTCCCAAGGAGGCTGCCCCAACAGAAAAATATGACTTGATTCATATAAAATTTGTGGTCTTCATCTTTTGGGTAATATATACTTGCATTTGGGTGGATCCGGTAGTTTCTCGTTGATAATGTATTAATGTTGATCGTTTCATGGTTTGGGCTGGTTTCTTTGACGTGTCCTTGGTGTTTCCAGCAGGTAATAGGCTCGTCTCACCTTCTCTTCATCTTCTTGAATGGACTTGGATTTGATGACCTCATCATCCTTTCAAGGAGGAGGTTCTCAAGCAAGATTATCACATGGTTGATTTTCACAAACATGGTAAACAATAAACATTCACATGATGGCATTTAAGCGCTCTCTTATAAACATTGAACTAAGTTTGTGTCTTGAATTCATCTTTGTGTTTATCAAGATTTAATATTATTTGCCGATCAGTTGCATAATTGTTTCTTGATAAGAATTTGGAGCCCACGATTGGCCCATATTTATTCTTTATATATTCACTTCGCCGCAGCCACAGGAAAAGTAAATTAGGGTTTTGGAGGAGACAAAAAACCCTGGTCGCAATTTGAAACAATGACGATGATGTCGAATCTTCCAAGGGATTTGGTAGAGGAGATTCTCTCTAGACTTCCTTTGAAATCTACTAGAGCTATGCGGTTAACTTGCAAAAACTGGAACGCCTTATCAAAAAGCCAAAGCTTTACAAAGATACACATTGATAAAGTAGCAGTAACAAGGGAAGAGGAGTCTCAGATGATTGTGATGATGGATAACACTGTTTATCTAAAGAGCGCCGTCGTCAACGGCATCCACGTTGACTTATCCAAAGAGCCTAAAGGTAAACTTACTTGCCTTGACGAACAAGTCAAGATATCTTACTTTCTTCACTGCGAGGGTTTATTGTTATACGTCTTGGGAGACGACGATTCTAGGCTTGTGGTTTGGAATCCGTATTTGGGGCAAACCAGGTCGATCACACCTAGATCATATTACCACAACCGGGAAATGTACAAGTATGCTCTCGGATATGTGAACAAGAAAACAACCCTTGTCGTAGCCACAAAATCTTGAGGTTTATACACCTCGATAGTGCAGCCAACCACTTTGCGTGGTATGAAATCTACGATTTTGACTCTGATTCATGGACGACTCTTGATGTCACTCCAAAGTGGCGCATATCATCTTGTAATCGTGGTGTTTCTCTCAAGGGTAACACCTACTGGTGTGCTAGAAGACATCATTCACATTACTTAATATGTTTTGATTTTACATGCGAGAGATTTGGGTCGCTTCTGCATCTGCCGCAAACCAATTGCATTGGAGACTCTGTGAACCTTTCTTGTGTAGGAGAAGAGAAGCTTGCGGCTTTAGTTCAGTTCACCGACTCAAACAAGACTGAGATATGGATTACTACTAAGATTGAGGCGGAAGAGGTGTCGTGGAGCAAGTTCTTGACTCTAGATCAGGGACCAGTCGTTTACAATCCGGATTTATTCATTAATGGGAGTTTCTTGATTAACAAGGAGAAGAAAGTCACCTTGGTTTTTGATACAAATGGCTTTAATCGCTACACAGTTTTCATCGTTGGAGAGACTGGATACATTAGGGAAGTGGATTTTGGAGAACCCGAATACAGATATTATTATTCGCGCCATGTGTCCTCTTATGTTCCAAGTTTAGTGCAAATCAAGCAACCTCAAGGAGGCAAAAGGAAGAGACAAAGCGATTTAGAAATGCTCCGATATGATGAAAAAAGGTTGAAACTTGTCGCACTTGAAAAGAAAACCAAGAAACCATTTCGAGGCTTCCGCCAAAAGAGAAGACAGATAGCATGTATGGGGAGTAGAAGATGGAGATGATGAAAATCATGAAGATGATAGGATCTAGAAGATTATTAATATTTGACAATATCCAAAACTATGAAATTTAGCTTTCTTTTAAATATATTTATTTCATATTAATTTTGTTTTGTTCCATCATGTGTATTGTTTTTCATGTTCATGTTTATATTTAGCATACTACTGTCTTAAATTAGATTGAACATCTTATTATATTCCCCTATAAGTTATATAACTTATAAAACACAGTATAAAACCAAACTTATCTCATACTCCACTAATTTTGTTTTAATGATTCTTGCTTCATTATCTTACATACCTAATCACAGCCATAAGTGTAATGTATTATGTACGTCTTCTTTGATTGCAGTGTCGTCCCAAGGAGGCTACACCAGCAGACAAATTATGACTTGTGATTCATCTTAAATTTGTGGACTTCATCTTTTGTCCATTTGGGTTGATCCGGTGGTTTTTCATTGATAATGTTTGTCGTCTCATGTTTGGTCTGGTTCTTTGATGTGTCTTTGGTGTTTCCAGCAGGTAATAGGCTCGTCTCACCCTCTCTTCCTCTTCTTTAATGGAGTTGGCTTTGATGACCTCATCACCCTTTCAAGTAGGAGCTTCTCTAGCAAGATCATTACATTATTGATTTTCACAAGCTTGAGCGTCGTACCAAGGCAAACATTCACATTAAAGTATCTTTGATTGGTTTTGTGTGCGTGTTACACACTAAACAAATGATTCGAATGTCGAACACGTCTTATGCGAGAGCAAGACTAATCTTTTATTAGAAGCCCAACTAGATTCTGAAACCCACGATTGGCCCACCTTTATTCTTTGTATATTCACTTCACCGGCGCAAGAAGTTTAGAGGAAGAGGAAAAAAAGGGTTTTTTGGTGGAAACCAAAAAAAAAAAAAAAAAACCCTAGTCGTAGTTTGAAACAATGACGATGATGTCAAATCTTCCAAGCGATTTGGTAGAGGAGATTCTCTCTAGACTTCCTCTGAAATCTATGAGATCATTGCGGTTAACTTGCAAAAACTGGAACGCTTTATTAAAAAGCAGAAGCTTTACAAAATTACACACTGATAAAGAAGAAGCGGCAAGAAAGGAAGGGGAGTCTCAGAAGATTGTGATGATGGACAACGATGTTTATCTAATGAGCATCGTCGTCAACGACATGAACGTTGATTCATCTATAGAGCTTAAAGGCAAACTTACTTGCCTTGACGAACAAGTCACGATATCTCAAGTTTTTCACTGCGAGGGTTTATTGTTATGCATCTTGAGAAACGATTCTAGGCTTGTGGTTTTGAATCCGTATTTAGGGCAAACAAAGTGGATCGAAACATATCCTTTCAACAAACGGGAGAGTTACAAGTACGCTTTCGGATACGTGAGTGTGAAGAACAACTCTTGTCGTAGCCTCAAAATCTTGAGGTTTACAGATGGTTCATGGTATCAAATCTACGATTTTGACTCTGGTTTATGGAGGGATCTTGATGTCACTCCACATTGGGGTGAAATATCAGCTTATAACCTTGGTGTTTCTCTCAATGGAAACACTTACTGGGGTGTTATACAAAGAGAATCATGTCAGACAATTTATTTTGATTTTACAAGAGAGAGATTTGGGTCGCTTCTGTATACGCAGCGGTTTACCTTTCGGTATCTAGTCTTTCAGAGTCTATCTTGTGTTAAAGAAGAGAAGCTTGCAGCTTTATTTTGGTGCAACCTTTCAGATGTGACTGAGTACGAGGTATGGATTACGACAAAGATTGATGCTGATGAAAAGGTATCGTGGAGCAAGTTCTTGACTGTGGATAACCGAACTGACATTCCGATTACAATTTTGGATGGGGGTTTCTTCATTGACGAGGAGAAGAAAGTCGCTGTGGTTTTCGGCAGCTTTTATCCCCACACATGTATCATCTTGGGAGAGGCTGGATACTTTAGGGAAGTGAAACTCGGAGAACCCGCAAACGATAGGCGTTTGAAACATGTGTGCTCTATGTTCCAAGTTTAGTGCAAATCGAGCAATCTCAAGGAGGCAAAAGGAATAAACAAAGCAAACTAGTAAAGCGTGGATATGATGAAAACATGTAGAAACTCAAGAAGTAGAGGCAAAAGGATAAAACAGAGGTATTGTTCTTTGAATTCTCTGATTGTCTGTCTCAGACGTAATAGAGGAACTCATACTTACTTGTATGTTTATATATTTTGCATTACAATAGTTTGATATTTAAGAATTAAGACAGTAATTACTCCCTTGAATTTTTTGTAATCGAAAATGTTCAGATGATCACTAAAGTTTACAGTAGTACTAGGTCAGATATAATCTTGCAATTTGTATGGCGTACTGCCAATTATACGACCTAGTTCTTAGTTCTTAATTTCTTATATGACCGACCATTCTTGAATATGTTATCCCGTCCGAGTGTATGAAATTGGTCTCACGTGAGATTCTAAAGCCCACGATTGGCCCACATTTACTCTTTATATATTCACTTCTCCGTCGCAAGAACTTTTTCACTTTTGAGAAGAAAAAAAAAACGGTTCTTGGAGGAGACAAAAAAACCCTTGTCGTAGTTTGAAACAAACAATGACGATGATGTCAAATCTTCCAAGCGATTTGGTAGAGGAGATTCTCTCTAGACTTCCTATGAAATATATGAGATCAGTGCGATTCACTTGCAAAAACTGGAACGCTTTATCAAAAGGTCAAACCTTTACAAAGACACACATTGATAAAGTAGCAGCACCAAGGGAAGAGGAGTTTCAGATGATTGTGATGATGGATTACAATGTTTATCTAATGAGCATCGTCGTCAACGGCACCGGCCTTGATCCATGTAAAGAGCTTAAAGGGAAACTTACTTGCCTTGACGAACAAGTCAAGGTATCTTACTTTCTTCACTGCGAGGGTGTATTGTTATGCATCTTGAGAGACGACTCTAGGCTTGTGGTTTGGAATCCGTATTATGGGCAAAGAAAGTGGATCGGAAGCAAACATACTTACGGTTTAGGAGAGAGGTATAGTTACTCGTACGCCCTCGGATACAACAAATCTTGTCGTAGCCACAAAATCTTGAGGTTTAGAGAAAAGTTTAGAGAAAGTAAGATCCCTAATTACTTTTCATGGTATGAAATCTACGATTTCGACTATGAGTTGTGGAGGAGCCTTGATGTCACTCCAAACTGCCTTTTGATGTCTGCTCAGCATGGCGTTTCTCTCAAGGGAAACACTTACTGGTTCGCTAAAGAATTGCACTCACACAGATTTACCAATCACGTAATGTGTTACATAATGTGTTTTGATTTTACGAGGGAGAGATTTGGGCCGCTGCTTCATCTACCGCAAACCACCAGTGGTCTAGACATTGTGAACCTTTCTTGTGTTAGAGAAGAGAAGCTTGCGGCTTTATTTCAGCCCAAAGGATCAAACAAGATTGAGATATGGATCACGACAGAGATTGAGGCCAAAAAGGTGTCGTGGAGCAAGTTCTTGACTGTGGATAAGGGACCAGTTGTTGGCATTCAGATTTCTTTTAATGTGAGTTTCTTGATTGAGGAGGAGAAGAAAACCGCCGTGGTTTTCCATAAAAAAGACAGAGTTCGCATCATTGGAGAAGCTGGATACTTAAGGGAAGTGAATCTCGGAAATCAAGAAAGTTGTTGGCCACATGCATGCTCTTATGTTCCAAGTTCATTGCAAATCAAGAAACCTCAAGATGGCAGAAGGAAAAAACAAAGCAGTTCAAAAAGGCGAATCAAGAAGCAATCTGGTGGAGAAGCCAAGAGGAGAAAACGAGATTTGTCAATTTGCAATGAAGAATCTTTGTCTTTCTCGGTTTTATTCCTTGAGCAAGATTTGCTAAGGTGTTGGTAAACATAACAGAGTAACAATGAAAACTATTATCTTTTCTAATACAATTTATTTGACTATAATCCCCAAAGGTACTATAGTGTTTCCCTTGAGAGAAAATGGGCACTTGATGCATTAGAATATGGTGAAAATAATTTGGTTATGATTTCAACTGGCTGTTTCTTTGTTCTCTTCCAAGGAGAAAAATCTTAAGAAATATCATCACATGATGGATTTTGACAAACGTAAGCATCACAGGGAAGCCAATCACATACAAGCGCCTGCTTGTAAACTTATTCTTGAGCTTATGGTTTTTTGTCTTGAATTCAGCATTTGGTTTTGCAAGATTTTATTTTATTTTCCCATCATTTGAAGTTTGACTAATATGATCCCTAATTGTTTCTTGATTAGATTCTAAAGCCCAAGACTGGCCCACCTTGGCACCTTTTATTCTTTATAAATTCACTTCACCGCCGCAAGAAACAACTTATTAGAGGATCGGAAAAAGAAAATTAGAGTTTTGCAAGAGAAAACCCTAGTCGTAGTTTGACACAATGACGATGATGTCAAATCTTCCAATGGATTTGGTAGAGGAGATTCTCTCACGACTTCCTCTGAAATCTATGAGATCATTGCGGTCAACATGCAAAAACTGGAACGCTTTATTAAAAAGCCAAAGCTTTATAAAGACACGCACTGATAAAGAAAAAGCTGCAAGAAAGGAAGGGGAGTCTCAGAAGATTGTGTTGATGGATTACAATATTTACCTAATGAGCATCGTCTTCAACGGCATCCACGTTGATCCATCTACAGAGCGTAAAGGCAAACTTACTTGCCTTGACGAACAAGTCAAGATATCTCAAGTTTTTCACTGCGAGGGTTTATTGTTATGCATCTTGAGAAACGATTATAGGCTTGTGGTTTTGAATCCGTTTTCGGGGGAAACAAAGTGGATCGAAACATATTGTTGTCCAGAAGACGAGAAGTACAAGTACGCTCTCGGATACGTGAATAATACCAAGAACAATTCTTGTCGTAGCCACAAAATCTTGAGGTTTAGAGATAGTGAACACTGTTCATGGTATGATATCTACGATTTTGACTCTGATTTATGGAGGCATCTTAGAGTCACTCCACAATGGGGTACAATAGTATCTGGTAGCCATGGTGTTACTATCAATGGAACACTTACTGGTGTAAGATAGATGGGGACTCATATCGCATAGTTTGTTTTGATTTTACAAGAGAGAAGTTTAGCACTACAAGAAAACATTACGCTTTCCTACGGAGCATATGGTAATAAATTGGTAGGAAAGTCTGTTTCCTACCATTTTCCTACGAACATAGGTTGTAGGGTTTCTTCCGTAGAAAAACTAAAATTGGTAGGAAAACCGTAAAAAGTTACCCAAATTCCTACGAAATATTCCGTCAAAAATTTCGTCAAAATTTTGGTAGGAAAGTGGTAAATAATTTATAGGAAATTTCTAACCAATATCCGACCGAATTTGTCCGTAGAAAAGAGTTTTCCTTCCATATTCCTACGAATGTAATAACAAAAAACAAAAAAAAAACTATTTCTAAAATAAAAATTATTTAAATTTAAATGTATAATTGAAAACACAATAAATATTAAAATTTATGATTATTTATAATTTAAATCAAAATGTTTTAATAATACAAAATACAAATCCAAGTCCAAAAAGTCTAAAATAAATGATAAACTAGAAATTACATCCGATAGATCTAAACTTTTGAATCATCATCTTTTCTGGGTTATATCTTCTACTCCGTTGTACTGGTTGGCCAAGTAGGGTGGGTCCAATTGCTGCTATTCCCTTTGGAGCTCTCCAGATTCCCTTTGGAGCTCTCCAGATTCAAATCTGAAAACAATCAGAAGTAGTTCAAATTAAAATTATTTTTTTTGCAGAAAGTCATAATAGATGATAAGATTTTATAAGAAACTTTTTACCTTTCAAGCTCAGCCACTTCAAATATCTTCTTCACAATCATCTCCATCATAAATCTCTTGCAATCTTCATACGAATCCTCCAATATCTTCACCACCTCAACTCCTTCCTCCACAATCGCTGATGTGGCCGTTCGCGGCATCAATCTATGCACGACGACAATCTCGCCGGAGATAGTGGCGGTGACAACAGCTCGCTTTCCTCCACATCAATCGACGACGAGCTTTTCTCTTAGGAGTCTCTGTCCTCTTGACACATGTGGCCATTGTGAATATGAATTTTCCGGGGAAAGGTTTGTAGAAGAAAGGAAGCTAGGGTTTGAGACATTGTCTCGTGCCTTAGAGGAAATATAGAAGATTAAAATTGGGTCTCGTTCTATCTGTAAGCATGTCCAACTTTAATTGATTGGGTTTATTGTTAATATTTAAATATATAATTCGTAGGAAAGTAGTAAATAAATAACCCTACCAAATTCTTACCACATAAGTTTATATTTTTAATTATTATTTATAACCTACGAAAACAATTTGGTAGGAAAAAGGTTAGAAACGTTTAACGAATTTCCTACCTTTTTAACAATCAAAACATATTAACTAACTTCCTACACCTTTTTTACGAAATTTCCTACGAACATTAATTTGGTAGGAAATTAGTAGAAAGTTTTTTACCATGTTATTACGATTTTAGTTCGTAGGAAATGTTTTACCAGTTTCCTACCATTTCTAATTTTCGTCATAATTCTGTAGAAAATTGGTTATAAATGTTTCCTACCAAATTTATCGTAGGAATTTTGGTAGGATTTCGCCATGTTTTCTTGTAGTGTAGATCTCCTCTGAATATTCCGCCTTTTAGCTCTTGGGACCTAGACTTTAAGAGTCTATCTTGTGTTAAAGAAGAGAACCTTGAAGCTTTATTTCAGCACGACACTTCACTTGTGGTTGACTATGAGATATGGATTACGACAAAGATTGATGCTGAAAAGGTGTCGTGGACCAAGTTCTTGACTGTGGATAGGCGACCAGTCGATGACATCAAGAATTCATTTCCCTATGGGAGTTTTTTCATTGATGAGGAGAAGAAAGTCGCCATGATTCTCCATTTATTATAATCACGGAACGGTTAGCATCATTGGAGAGGCTGGATACTTTGAGAAAGTGGATCTCGGAGAACCCGAATGCAATCGCTCCCCATACGATTGGTATTGGTGTCTGCCACATGTGTGCTCTTATGTTCCAAGTTTAGTGCAAATGAAACAACCTCGAGGAGGCAAAAGGAAAAGAGAGCGATTTTCAGAAAAGCGTCGATATGATGAAAAAATAGTTGGAACTTGTCTAAGCACTTGAAATGCAAATCAAGAAGTAATCTTACGCAGGAGGCAAAAGGGAAACATAGGTATTGTTCTTTGAGTTGTCTAATGATCCTTATTGGTAATAGGAGCTCTACTTACTACTTACATTTATGTTTAACTGAGGCATTAATTAGTATCTTCTTGTCTCTCTCATTACACCCTTGGAACACACTACATGATCACTAAAGTTTACAGTATTTTAGATATAAGCTTGCAAATTATGTGGCCTTTGTCTCCAATTAGAGTATTTATTTGTTCTGTTTTCTTAAATTTCTTCTTATATGACCATTTTTGAAATAACATAATTTGTAAGATATGTTTGATGCTGCTAAATCTTGGGGTTATCATTGAATAATATTGGAGTACAGAAAACTATGGAACAGAGTGAAAAATTATAAATCTTGCTTACAAAAATATAATGAATATTATTGTTAAGATTCCCAGTTAGGAATATTAGCCGTAGCTTCATTTATCATTGTCACCAATGTCACCTGCATTGTGTTATACCCACTTAATGATCAGTTTACGTGCAAGAAAAGCCAAAAGGAAACAAATGAGAGAAGATATTTGTTGAAGCTATATTAGATACATACCACGCTCTCAGGAACACCTTGAGGAGGCAATGTGAGATTTCTTGGAGGCGGTTTATCCCCGTAAGAACGTTTATCGAATCTCCATTCTCCAATCTTCCCGTACATTGTATTCCCCTGTAAGTTATTATATATAACCCATCTTAGTCGTCGTTTATTGAAGTTATTCACCAACTTTGTTGTTTAATGATTTACGTTGCGTTACCTTCATGTCGAAATCGCAGCCGTAAGTGTAATGTATTATGTACGTCTTCTTTGTTTCGGTGTCCCAAGGAGGCTAAACCAACAGAAAAAAACCATGACTTGTGTTATGTTGCAATTTTTTTTGAAACTTTTTGGTATATACAAGTTAAATATTATTGATCAAAACCTGAATCATGAAGTCTTTGTGTAGACTGTTGCTAATGCCGTGTAACGCGGAAGAAACAGCATATGCATACCTTGAAAATATAAATCAAACATAGAGAAATTAATCTTAACATTATATAGGTCTAGAATTTGAAGACAGATTAAATTAGAGTAGAGAGGAAATTTACATTTCAAGGACCCAACCAAAAGCTTTATCTGTTTGTGGGTCATTCTTCATAGCTAAAGAAACGTTCATCCATGTTGGAGCAATTTTCTTCAATGCATTCTAACAAACCAAAAGAAGATTGCAACTCATGGAACCATATATATATAGAAGACTTTAATTAGTGATGTGATTACTATACCTTAGAGACAATCACTGGAGAATTACCAATGGGATCAATTCTTGATATCGGGCCATTCTGTTTTGGGAAGAATTTGCGGAGAACCGATTCATATTTCTTCGGTTCAATGTAGAAAAAGGGAAATGCGGCCCCGAGATTGCCTCTGGCTAAGTTTGGTATCGGTTTAACTATGATATGATCAGGTTCCGCCATGAGAATGTAACTAATAAGATGATCAAGAAAACTTATGAACACCAAAAGTGGCTTTCTCCAACCTAAGTAAACAACAAACTCTAACTATGGGGTACTATCTAAAAGTAATTGAGAGCATATGTATCAAAGGAATTATTATGAGAATAAGGGACTGAAATTGTAAAATGATACGTACTCTTCCTCTATATGTGCTTGTTGAAGCCATTGCACAAACGCCCAAGGCCTATTTAGAACTACGTATCCCTGCACATCATATATACATTATTATGCTTTGTTTTTTTCTTATAAAATTAGTCATCATCATATTTATACATGCATTGTGACATCTCGCAATTATATCGCTTAATATTACCACTTGTTGGATATGCAATTTTGTTTGAATCCTATAGAATAATCAAAGGTGTTTGGTTATGTTTATTGGAAAGAAAGTCTTATTCACAACTTAAACATTACTATTTTTGGTTAATCAATCATATTCTTACAGGACTTGGGATTAGTTTTGCTTTTTCAATTATAAACCTTAAACTCGAAATGCAACATATCATGACCATTCTGAAATCTAGCTAGTATATGATAAGTTTTGAGCTATGTAAATTTATGCATGTATATAGATTATAATCATCACCAATAACAAAGAAGTTATAAAATAATGAAACCTGATCAACACCAGAGGGAAGAGGTTCAGCAACAAAGGTAGGGATCTCATCCATGAGCCCATCGGGTCGACCCGAATGCAAGATCCGGGTATACCCACCCATGTCCGAACCGGGTTCGTCCTTAAACCTGTTGTACCAATAGTACATGATCCGACACTGCCACGTGCTATACACCGAGTCTGTGGCTGTCACCGCCGTGTGAAATAGTCTCTTCGTCCTCTTTGACGGAGTCTTGACGGAAGATATGACGTCATCTCTAGAAGACTGACGTCCAGGGAGATCTTGCCGGAGAGGAGGATCACCGGAGACTATGTAGTTGTATCTGATAATTAGAAATAATGATAGAGTCATGAGAATTGGGAAGAAGTACTTCCCACGGAAACCCATTTTTGTTGTGTTTTTTTTTCCTATATCAAACTTTTTTTCATGTGCTAATGCATTTGGTTATGTATGTATGTTTGTGAGTAGGAATGAGGAAGAAGAAGATGACAATATTAGACAATTTCAATTTGTAATAAAAGTCGTCGCTTAATGTGTTATTGAGAAATGAAGTAGTAGTTGACAGAAAGTGGCTGGTCCCACAACGTTCCGGTGATCCGGTCTTCGTTTTCTGTCCATTATTATAAACTATGTGATTTGTATTTTTATAATTGTTTCTGTTTGTTATTCAATATGATTCCAATTATCATTGATTCTCTTTTAAATTAAGAGATGGGATGTTGTTACTTGTCATAGTTGTTTAGAGATAAATTGTTTGTTTCTTAATCGCCTTTGGAGCCAAGAAGGCTGCCTTTATTATTTGTCATAGTTCTTGAGAGATAGGACAAATGGTTCTTCAGAGATCCTATGGCCGAGAGCTTGGTAGCAGAAGAAGGCCATTACGTAGAACTTCTAGACTTTTTCGTAGATTTGTGTTTGAAATTTTTATACCACTTAATTATCGAGCTTGGCTTTAGCAGAGCAATATTGAGAAGTTCACACTGTCTCCGGTGAAGGATTATTGTTTAGGCTTGAGATTTGGTCAATGGTCATTTGTGACATAATACGGTAAAAGGAAAGTTGTTAATGTTTTGGTTGAAATGTTGAATGGTAAAATCGTGATGATAGGGGAAAGGTTGAGTGGTGTCGAGTTTTGGAATGTTTATATGTTTGGTCAAATGGAATGTTCCCTTTATGAGAACGTTAAGATTTTGATACCCTCTTGTGATTTTTCTTGTGTTCATCATATTGTGAATAAACAAATTGGATCACAGCATTGTAATTTTTTTTTTAACATATTTGTTGTTCATATTATTCAGAGTACATGTTGAATTAAGAATAAATGAGTAGTACTAGTGAAAAGGAGTGGACACAGAAGAATCTTGAGAAGGAGGATCGGGATTGCAGCAACATCCTGCGTAACCCAAACAAATTCCTCCAGTACTGAAACCCCTATCTTCACATTCTCCATCGCATGCCGTTGTGCTTGAACACGGCAAGCCAATCACTTGACATTTTCTACCTATATTTGATCATAAAGATTAACAATATCGTAAATATTTATCATGTAAACTGCAAATACAAACACAACTTGCATCTAATGATTTTTACTCAACCGGTTAGAAACATATCGACGTAGTTAAGAGAATTTTGGATCGGAAAATAAGTGTTGCCGTCTCCGAATATATAACCCTAAACAAATAGTTGTATTACCTGAAATTGTGGGTAGAAGGATGAAAGCAAAGACCATCAACAAAGGTAACAGAAGAGATGAAGTTTTATTTATTGCCATTTCTTATCTTTCTTTGAAGAAGCGACAAATGTGTATCTGTATATATTTCAAAGAAAACAAGGTTCAAAATCAGTATTACAAGAACTTCATATATAACATGGATATCTATAACAAGAACTTTAAGACATAGGAGTATAACAATAATAGACGGAATAACAAAAGCTTGTATATATTTTGTAGTAAAAGAGTAGATGTCTTCTCATCGATAAGAAAATTCAAACTTTTTCTATGAAACTAAAGTATAACCCATTTACGTACTTTTTGATATTTTGTTGCGTCCTAAGAACAGATTGTGTTCGTCTTGTGTGTGTGTGTTCATAGACAAATACACGCCTACATATATACATAAATATATATATATATATATAGATAAAAATCAATAAATCTTCCATATTAATTATGTAACGAATAGAGATATTAATAAATTCTCCATACTATATAAATTTGGTCAATGTGTAATTATGTTGACTATTTAGTATTTAGTATTTACATTTTACAGTATAGAATTTTATTTAGTGTTTATCAATATCTTCGTATATCACAAATGGAAAACTGGAAATACGTGGAAAAAATTAGTCTACATTACCACAAATTCACAATGGGTTTTGCATATAATCTGGAATATTTTTATAAGTTTTTTGTTGTCATGGAATATTGTCAGTAGGACGACCGTATCATGGCGTTTCTGACAAAAAAAAGAGTTCCATTACCATATCTTATATTTTTGAACTTTTTTAAACTTGTGTTTTATTATTACAGATATTTTCTTAAAATATAATAAATGTTTTAAGATCCAGATTTTAATAACTAGAGAAGTTAAATGGACAAGGGACAATACTAATACCACATTTGGGATTTCTTGTGACTAAAACAAATAATAGAGATTTAGTTGAGCAAAAAAAAAAACAAATAATAAACATAACATTTTACAAATACCACAACAATAACACGCGCTAAAAACTAATTATTGAATACCTTTAAGTTAAATCTTAATTTAAATTCTACTAGATTCCATTGTCCAAAAGTTCCTCAAAATCCAGAATTTCTGTATCATCCAGTATAAACTCAATACACAAAAAGTCTTGTGTAGGGTCATCGATATTCGAGAAAAGCAAATTTGTGTTTATTGTCTTTCTTCTCTCTCTCTCTCTCTCTCCTCTGCTTCACTAATCACTACTGCAACTCTCTCACTCTCTCCTCTGTAGGTTGCGTCACAGACTCAAAGTAGTAGTAGGAGCAATGTCTCTTCTTCTCTTCAGTTGTTTCTTCTTAATCTCTCTTGCTCATGGAGCTTCCACTATTCACATTCCTCCTACTCAGCCTCCCACAGGTTTGTGTTTCCCCTCTTAGGTCCTTTCTTCCTTTTACTTTCTCTCTGTTTCTCGAGAAAGCATTCTCTTTTCCAGGAAAGTAAAGATGAACTTGAACTTTTTAGATTTTCTCTGCTTCTACATTTCTCTGTTTGTTTGTTTTTTCCATGAAAAGGCCACACTCCAAAAATCAAAACTTTTCCGATTCTTTCAAAGATTTTCAACTGTAACACAATGGGTTATGCAATATTATCTGGAAAAATCATCAAAAGACTGAAGATTCTAGACTTGAAACTTAACATTGTATCTATTCAAGTTCTAGGGTTGACAAAAAAAAGAAAGTTTCAAACTTTACTATAAAATTTCCTGTTTTTTCTTTTACTTTCAGCTTCTGAGAAATCCGGTTTAGCAAATCCTGGAATGAAATTCATAGTGGCAGAGACGCCATTATACGGACCGGGTTACAACAATCCTCAAGTGATTGAAGATGATGCTTCAGTGGCTTTAGCTGCTCAAAGAACATTCAGAAAAGATCCCATCAATGGTTGGCAGAAATACACTGGTGGATGGAATATCAGCAATCGACATTACTGGGCTGTAAGATCCCTTTATTTCTCACTTCAATTAGTTTCATTTCAAAGTTCTGAGATTGATTAAGATATGTCTTTTGTATGTTTTGAAATTGCAGTCTGTGAGTTATACAGCTGCTCCTCTCTTTTCTGTTGCTTTGGTCTGGTTTCTTGGATTTGGCATCTGTTTATTGGTTATCTGTATCTGCCACATTTGCCATAGAAGCAAATCTATTGGATACTCAAAAGTTGCTTATGTTGTCTCCCTCATCTTCCTCCTCTTCTTCACTCTCATTGCAATGTGAGTCACCAACTTTTCTCAATCCACATTATGTTTTGGCTATATGTGCTTAGCATTTTGAGTTGTTTCTTATCACAGAATCGGATGTGTTCTGCTCTACTCGGGTCAGGTCAAGTACAACAAGAGCACAACAGAGACGTTACAGTATGTCATGAGCCAAGCAGATAGCACAGTTTCACAGCTTAAAGCTATTTCAGATTATCTTGCTTCAGCCAAGCAAGCTGGAGTTCTTCAAGTGAATTTAGCTGCAAATGTCCAAACTGAAATCGATCAGATTGGAACGAAGCTGAATTCTTCTGTAGCCACCATCACTGAGAAAGCCACTAACAGCTCCAATCACATTAGACATTTCCTTGATTCCGTGTAACAACTACAACTCACACTTCTTTCTATTTGTTACAGAGAAAACAGTAAACACAATGTGTAAATGGTCATTCTTGTTCTTGCAGGAAGGCTGCGCTTATCGTTGTTTCAATCGTCATGCTAGTTGTGACCTTTCTTGGTCTCGGTAAGTCAACAAATCCGAATCTTTTTTGTAAAGGTTTCGACTTTTGGAAAGACAGTCTTGCAAGTTCAACTTCTTGTTTGATTCGTATCTTCTTTTGCAGCTTCTTCAATCTTGGGGATGCAAGTCATCGTCTACACGTGAGTGAAACCCCGAAATGTTACTTGTGCGGCTTTCATGAGTAAAAACTATCTGAATCCTCTTCCTCTTGTGCAGCCTTGTGGTTTTAGGATGGATCTTGGTCACTGGCACATTCATCTTAAGCGGAACATTCCTTGTTCTACACAAGTATGTCTCAAAAACTCTCCATTAACTTCTTTGGTTAGTTCAAAAACCTTAATCTGTTTATTTTGAGCATCAGTGCAACTACAGATACATGTGTGGCAATGAGTGAATGGGTTGAGAGACCGTCAAGCAACACGGCTCTAGACGAGATCTTGCCTTGTACAGACAACGCCACTGCTCAAGAAACTTTGATGCGTAGCAGAGAGGTGACAGGTCAGCTTGTTGAACTCATCAACACAGTCATCACTAATGTCTCCAACATCAACTTCTCTCCAGTCTTTGTCCCAATGTACTACAACCAATCTGGACCGTTGCTCCCATTGCTCTGCAATCCCTTTAACCATGACCTCACCGATCGTCCTTGCTCGCCCGGCGAGCTTGATTTGAACAATGCCACAACTGTAAGTCCTTTCTGTCTAGTTTGCAAACAGAAACTTAACTGGTAACAACATTTTTAATGCCTCAACACACAGGCATGGAGCAGTTTTGTGTGCCAAGTGAACACGAACGGGACTTGTGGCACAACGGGTAGGCTCACGCCGGTGCTGTACGGTCAGATGTCAACAGCTGTGAGCATCAGCACGGGGTTGATCAGAGACGCACCGTTCTTGGTCCAGCTTCAAGATTGTTCATATGCAAAGCAGACTTTTAGAGACATAACCAATGACCATTGTCCTGGACTCCAGCGTTACGGCTATTGGGTCTATGTGGGTCTGGCGATATTAGCCACGGCTGTGATGCTCTCACTTCTGTTCTGGATCATCTACAGTAGAGAGAGACGGCACCGGAAGCAAGCTCTGCCGGAGTATGTAGAGTGTAAGGAGATTGTAAGAGTAAACTTTTGATTGTATCTCTCTTGTAGATTTTTAAGCAAAGTGTTGTCAAGTGTCAAGACACTTAATTTGTGCTTCCATGTATGAACGTATCTTCTGATGAAAATGCAAAAGTTAAGAGATATCAGTCAATGGATGGGTTTTTAGATTATTAAAGAGGATTTTAAACATAAACGATTGGTTTTATAAGGTTCTCTTTACATGATGACACTTTCAGAACCTAAAAGACCTTGAAACCGAAATGTAAAAACAGAATTAAGAGTTTTTGTGCACCAAGTTGTTGACTTTCTTTAGATCAAGTTTCCAACTTGGCTGCAGCAGATGCATAGCTGACACTGCTGTCTCGCATAGTTAGGCACTGGCTTGACTGCTCGTACCGCAGGAAGTTTATCTTCATCTTGCTTGAGCAATGTTTTAGCATCTGAAAAGTAGACAGAAACATAAACACACAAGCAATAAGCAGCTTAAGAACTTTTATCTTCATGAAGTAATGGACCAACGAAAAGAAACTGCTTACATGGAGAAAAATGCTGATCGGGTGGCGTCCACAAATAGTGTTGTCAAAATCTTGTTGATACTTCTTAAAGGCATCTGGATCTCCTGTCTCTATTATATCCATTCCCATCTTGTCCAGTGCCTCAATGGATTTGTGTATGGGACCATGATTGTGGTCATAATGCATGTAATTGAACCTACAACCAAAAACATATCAGCACAAATCATAACACAGACAATAAGCTCACTGGAGCCATCTAGCAAAGGACCTCAAGTAATGTCCATCAAGACAAAGACAAGACAGAGAAGGAGGAAAAGTTAGAAGAGAGAAGAAGTGAGCTAAGACAAACCTTGAGCCCCAGTGGCAAAAGTCAGATGACACTGAGAAAAAATTCTTGGGATCATCCACATATTTGGCAAGCAACTCACCGTACATGGCTTCATTTTCCGCACTTACTGCTCCAACCAAGATCGGTACAACTTTCACATTGTGCCTAATCAGAATAACAGAACGGTTTAAGTCTCAGCAAAACCTTTAACATTACTACTATACTCCTGTGATTGATTACCCTTTAAACACTTTAGCCAAATAAGGTAAGTGCATTTCCATGCTGTGCTCAGCCTCATCGACTCGGAGATCCATCATTCCGAATTTTCCCATAGCTCTTATCTCCTTAATCACTGGTGTTTCATAACAAAAACCAAAAAGAGAACATCTTTCAACATCAACTGAAAAAATTCTCTAATCCTTTTTAAAATAAGCCAAGACAAACTTACTCTCCACATCAACAGGTAGATCTCCTATAGGGGTCTTGTAAACTGTCGCAGTCGAAAGCGCACATTTTGGAGTGTAAAAATGGTGAGATGGACCAAGAAGAAATATCCGGGAACTGAAAATGACAAACACAGCACTAATCAGGCAGAATCATACTGAAAAATCCATAAATTATAGTTCTTGAATAGTCTTCCAAAGGCATAACTACTCTAAAAGCAGCATCCTAAGAGAATCGAAATGAAACAAAAAAAACCCGAAGCTTGTTTACATGTTTGTGGGATCAATGTTAGCAAAGGCGTAGGCAGCAGCACGACCGGAGTACGAGTAACCTGCGTGCCTGAAAAGTTAAAGGGACAATGGAATCGGTTTTAGCGACTTTTGGAGGAAGAAGATGAAGAGAAGCAAACACAAACTTACGGTGCAATTACGCCTCGTACATCAGGAGATTTGGTTAAACCAGTTGCTGTGAGCCATTCTTCAAGATCTGATGATAACTTCGTCGCTGAATCATGAAACAGAAAAATTAGCATGAGATTCTTAATCATCCATTCAAGCGGACCAATCGAGAGAGAGAGATTAAAAATTAGTCAAAGGTTGATACTTTTGGTTCGAAATCAATTTCCAGTAATTTTCTAGAAGCGAATCAGATCTTAAACCCAGATGGTGAACATCAATCAGATCAAACAAAACCATTTAGCAAACGAATTTCAGTAACAATAAATTTTAAAAACCTGAACTTTAAAAAAAAAAAAAAAAGTGATGAGCAAAATGAAGAAGAAGATGAAATCAAAGCTTAATACTTTTGGTTCCGAAACAATTTCACTAATTTTCTAGAGGGGAATCAAATCCTAAACCCAGATGCTGAACATCAATCAGATCAAATTTCAGTAACCATAAAGGTTAAAACTTTTAAAAAAATTAATACAGTGATCAGCAAATGAAAAACACCACGATTAAGAAATGAAATCAAAATTGAAAATTTAACACCTAATTCTCTGGGCTAAGAACTCACGATTGTCGGTATACCAAGAGCCTGCATGCGATGCTTCTCTCACTTTCTCCATTCTCGCAGAATTTGTCATAGGATCGTGATCGCAGACACAAAAGCCTCCTGATTTCGGAGCTTCTCTATAGTACTTGTGAGAGAAGACTATCGACTATGAGAAGATTCTATTTCTGTTTTATTGCTTCTCTTCGCTATGTTTACCAACTCGGAGAAGAAACTCAGAGAGAAGAACCGTGTGACGTTTTTAGTTTTTCATGGAAAACTTCATGCCGTTTGTTTTATAAAATTGGATTATGCATTTCAGGCTCGGTTTAGGGGTGGAACAAAAATCCCGAAAACTGAACCAAACCAAAACCGGACTGAACATTTTATTATACGTTTTTTTGATAATTTTTTTTTTTTTTATTATACGTTAAATCATCATGTGCCATCATAGCTAAGATTTATGATACGAAGATCAAAGAACATTAATAAATTCGTAATATGAAATTTTAGAGAGAACAAAGGAATTCAGATGATGAAATTTTATTATTTTATTATTCAAATGATATTATGAGAAAATACATCTTAAATCATCATCGTTAGAACGTTCGTTTGTGTAGTAATTTATATCTCTCTCTAGTCTCTATGCATTGACTTCTTGAAACATCCCTTTAGCCGTCCTTCTGCAAATCCATTGCCACCAAAAGAAACCATGTCAACAAATACACATACATACATGATACATTACATGACATAAACATTATATTTTATTATTTTATATGCATACCGAGGGAGCACAGGTGCCTTGTGGCATTTGGTACCAACGCAATCGTGAATGCACTTGTCTACTCCGACGTAAAAGATTTCACACTTGGAAATGCACCTCCTATAACAATCTTCATATGATTCACCCTTTGCCGATAATGGCATCGTCGTCAATGCCATCATCATCATCATTATCATCACCAACATACACTTCTTCTCCATCTTCTTTTGTGTGTGTGTGTGTGTGTGTGTGTGTGTGTGTGTGTGTGTGTGTGTGTGTGTGTGTGTGTGTGTGTGACTCTCTTTTTTAATTTACTCTACTTGGTATCGCCGCCAGCCTCTATTTATATAGCATTAACATTCTCCATTACTGGAAACATATAGGAATAGCTAGTAAGTTTGACTATGTAATCTTTGCATAGACAGTCGTCGATTTTAACTTGGTTTTTGATTTTGGTGTTGATCAGTGAATCATAGGATTCATAGCAAATTAATTATTAACATACGTTATATACAGTATTATTGTTATTATTATTTCTTGCTATTACAGCTAATTAATTTGACTAACGTAAAAATAGTTATACTTGAAAATATATATAGTTTCTACAAAGAGCAACGGAATTGCGTTGACTATTAGATTGGTGTCAAATGTCAATCATTGTAATCGCAAAAGAGATTTGTTACTCATCAGATAAAGAAAACTTGCAATATTTAATGTGAACAGAAACAGTGGAGCAACGCGCCGTTCACAAATTATATGATATACGAACTACAGTTCTGAAGTTTTGAATGCCACAAAACCAAAACCATTCACTATTTTTATATGAATGAATGAAACAATCAAAGATATACAAACTAATCAAAAGAATCAAAAAAAGAAAACTACAAAACTGAAAACTATGATGTAATTACAAACCCACCAAAATGAAATTAAAAAATAACAAATATTTTGATCCCATCTGCACAAAAAACTCCTCATTCTCATCTTCTTCACGGCACGGCAAAGAACAAATATTATTGCTTCCAAAAGTTTGAGAAAACAAAAAATTGCGGGCAACTCCCAGTGTATACAATACCTACAATAACAATACATTATGTTAAAACAGAATAACAGATCAAAAGATAAACTTCTGAGATAGATATAAGTAAATATAAGGCATACGACACTTTCCAGTAATTTTTACAACCTATACAAGAAAAATTACTAGGAAACTCACATCTTTTTGTGTTATCAAAGTAGCATTCAGTCAGAAACAGCCACATACTTACGGTGGGATCAAGTGAAATGAAAATGAGATATTTACCTTTTCACTGAGGTCCTGAAAACACATTCTCTAAAATATCATGAAGTTTCGGTGACCGTCTCCGGAACAAAGGCTCTAACCGGAAAGACGGTACACCGATCTGCCATCTTTTAGCATCATACATCTCATTCCACGCCTGTACTATCTCATCGATCTTAAATCCCATACCTGCACTTGCATTTTTTTGATTTGTCATATATATGATTTTGCCATTAGTATTCACAGATAAACTTTAGTTACCTTCAAGCGCATTCTCGTTCGAGCAATGGTTCTTCATCATAACAGCTACATCAGTTGCAGACGCTCCAGCCAATTCAAACTTCTCCACCGCAACCTCCAAACACTCATCCCAAGTCGGTAAACCAAGCTTATACTCAACAATAGACCGTTCATACAACAAAGAACCCCACAAAAGATTAATCTGAGAGCTCATATTCGCCGTCTGCTCAGCGTTCTCTTCATCAGACGCTTCACTAAACACTCCTTCCAATCCCAACTTCTGCAACAGCTCTTTATACTTATCAAAACTCGAGATCCCGTTCAAACGACGTTCCTCCATCTCTTCCCAAATCTGCATACCTTTCTCCATACTCTCTTCAGCCTTGTTGTACAGCTTCAAAACATCCTGTGAAGCCTCGCTCTCCACATCAATCTCGCCGCTGAGCGCATGGTACCAACAAAGCTTAGCCTGCTCAAACTGTTGCTGCCCGAGTGCTAACAGAGCTTCGTAGAAATCTGATTTGATCTTCACCGCTTCTTCGTACTTCTCTGCAGCTTTGTTGTACTCGTTCTTCGCCCATTCGAATCCAGCCTCAACCTTCTCTAGTACAGCTTCTCTCGAACCATCTTCGGAGAAATAAATCTGCCTTCTTGCCTTTGACATATGAACATTCCCCCAGTTAAACAGAGCAAGCGCAGCCATTTCTTGGAACTTATCAGCAGCTATATCAAACAGCTCTTGCGCATCTTCCCCAGTGACGATTTCCTCCATTGCCTCTGTGTACAGCTTCATCCCAAGGTTATGAAGCTCCAAGTAAGAATCAGAATCAAAACCTACATGGTTCTTGAACAGCTGCGCAAACTGGAAAATCCAGTGCTCAAGTCCAGTAGATGGTTTCTCAGCTGATTCCACACTTCCATTATCAGCAACACTACTCGATTCCTTGGCAAGCTTCTCCGTCGATTCTTCCTCGTTGTTCATCATCCCATCATAAGTTGGTTCTTGATTGGGGCTGACTTCAGCTATATACAATCTAAGAGACCCGAGCATCTCCCTCGTTGACGCAGCAGCGAGCTTTAGCTCATCCGTCGTGGTAATCGTCACCAAATCACTCTCTGAGTCTCTGTATTTGATCAAGAAGCCTCTCAACGCCGGAAACCGATCTCTGATCACATCTCTCACAAGTCTAACACTCGAATCCAGCGGCAATTGCGCCCACCGGATATCATCTCCGTGAACCAGCTTCACCGTCCTCGTCACCGTTAAATCTTTCTCCGAAGCAATGACCTCTTTGTCCATAACAGGACTCACTTTCTTCTCCTCCACCACAACCTTATCCTTCCCGCCGCTATCTGCTTCCTCGCCACTCTCAACCTTCGGATTCTCAACAACAACGGCTTCATTACTCTCAGCATTCGTCGTCGTCGTCATCTTCTTCTTCTTCTTCCTCAGCCTCTCTTTAACAATCCTCCTCAACCGCGCCGCTCCAACAGGCTGCACATTAGCGAAATTACTCTCCATCTCAACCACATCGACGCCTTTCTCCACCAAAACCTTCTTCACCCTCTCGAAAATCTCGTTGGCGGAGACATTCTCCGGCTCCATATTCAACACGATCCGCGAATCCCTAAACGCGAAATCCAGTTTGTTCAACGCCTCGTAACATCGAGCTCGTTTCAACAGAGCTTTGCTGTATCGAGGAGAAGCCTCGAGAGCCAAATTGCATTCGTTGATCGCGTTCGGGTACTCTCCTAATCCCATTTGCATGTAACAGGAAGCCATACTCGTTCTCAGGTAAGCTACATCTCCGTGATCTCTGGGTAAAAGCTTGACGGCTTTGTCGTACCTTAGCATCGCGCCTTCGTGGTCGCGTTTCTGGAATAGCTTGTTTCCTTCTTCTTTGAGCTCTGTTGCTCGATTGATGAAGATCTCCATGTCCTCGTCGAACATCGCCTTGGAGGAAGAGCGATCGTAGCTTTTTCCGGTCTTGTTACCTCCGCTGCCGGAAGAATCCGACGGAGTATCGGAATTCTTCTTCTTCCCCGTCGGTTTTCCCATTGACGATCAGATTTTTGTCTTCCGGAAAGAGAAATTCGAATTGCTGTAACAATTTGGATCGCTGCTGAGGAAAGAGAGGAACGTCTTTGGATGGAGTGATCTCTAATCCACGAATAAAAATAGAAGGAAGATAGTGTATCTCTGTGTATGTATGATAACAATTTGTTCCATTTTAGTGAAGTTTTTGGCCATTTAGCTATTCGATCTTTATTTAATAAGATAGCTTTGCAATTGATTTTAAAGTTTTAAGTTTTTGATATATTCATTTTTGGTATGTTTACAATAAGTCAATAACTCAGACGCTCCAAGTAATAATAATCAGAAAAATACAATATTTCAAAGTTTTAAGTAACTTTTACTCCATCACTCAAATTCGAAGCCGGAACTGAGTTTAACTGAGTCCTCTATTTTTCGTCAGTTATATAACTTATAATCATCTTCTTCCTTTTTCACTACAATTACTGGGTATATATATGCCCTATATTATAATGATAATGTGGTTCTAAACCAAAAGAAACTTTCTAAGAACATTCCAAGAACCTGCGCCTATTAGAAACGTCCATGAATACACCAGAGGTTTTGTTGGAAGAGACTGTTAAGAGTCGCTTGATCAAGCAACAGAACAAACCTTGTCTGTAAAAAATAAACACAGATACTCAGATTTCATGCACACATAAACATATATTTAGTCACACAATTTAAAGTTTTTTAAAGCAATACCTTGTCTGATGCTGCTACAGCAAAGGCGATTGTCGTCTATATAAGTTGCCTGAACACCAATCATCCAAGATCCTATTGAGGTATCATCAAATGCGTATGTCTTCAATGAGCCACTGCATTTATATAATACCAGAGAAGAGAATATGTGATGATTGTGAACCGGAGACATGGAACAAAGCCAATGACATACTTTTTACAGATTAGTAATATTGTGAGACCGACCTGTTTATGTGTATATACTGAGCTAAACTCTTGGATAGTATTAACAGCGAACCAGCTGCATGACGAAAGTACCTAAACGTAATGAAGATATGAATGTTCAATATTCAAAAGTAGATTCTGATTTCACAGAAGACCTTGACGTGTATGATAATTTACAGTCACTTACGATTTTTCGTCTCCAAATTTCCACCATTCCGGCTCATACCATTGCCCTCCCCTGAAAATCAAGAACCATGGAGATTAAAAAGTCTGCATAGATTGTTTAAGGCAAGAGAATTTGAGAAAGTTGAGTTATGATACGAACTCTTCAGCAACCACTTCCCCAGACTTCATGCACCCAATGTAAGCAGCATCTTGACCACGCCGACTTTCAAGAAGACCAATCAAGCCCTCTATCAGATTAAAAACATCTATTAGGACCACACAACTTCAAAAGCCAGGATATAAAAGAGGAAGTATTTACCAAGATCTAGGTCAATGTTGTCATCAACTTTGACGTAAAACTCTGCATCCCAGTTTTGAACAGCAGCACTGTAGAAGAACTTCACTTTCTTGGGTAACTCTTCTTGCGCCTCCTCGTGATTCTCCTGATAAACCAGTTGGTGCCATAAGAATATTAGAAGCCACATCAGTGAGCACAAACTATTTGTTCAAAACCAAGAACAGGAGAATCAAAACACTAACATAATTTGATCAAGCAACCAAAAGATGGTAAAGCTTCTGATACTGTTTACTTACAAGAATCAAAAAATCTCTCCTTGCTTTATCTTCCTCGTCAATTTTCCGGTCTAAGCTATCACCTCGGTTTGGACTGGAATTCTTAAAACATCAACATCAGTATTATAGTCCATATGATGACAAAAAGATGAATAAGTTTATACAACAAACAAAGATACAGTGTTAGAAGGAAAACCTTCGACCAATCACAAAACGTATGACAATTCCTCTTTCCTCAAGCTTCCTCAAAGCATCACCTAAAGAACAAAAGTTAGTAATCATACGGTTCATACCGAATACGGTTTCGATGAATCAATCACAGCATGATCTTGCCTTGTGGCATCCAAGACCCTCTAAATGTATTTCGCCTCAGATGACTTCCAAAGCCTGTATACACTCCAATTACAGCAAGCAATTTCTTCCCTGAAGACGAACCACTTTTCCGGTTTTTCAGATATCCTTGACTCTTAGCCAGAGTCAACTCCATTTCAGTCTCAACAATTTTCCTCTCAAGATCTCTAATTACAATTACATAACGTGTCATGTGTCATTGCAAGTACAAATACAAAGTGCAATCAACCAAAATGAATATCAGAAATTTCAACTTACTTGCATCCTAAAACCATTAACTTGTCATCCACCGAAAGAACCTTAGGCTTCTACATCCCCAAATAACATTAAAAAAATTGGATTAATAAGAATAACTTTTTCGTAAACACAAAAAAAGAATCTTCAAGGCCAAACCTGATCATAATTCTTCTTAAGCATATTATAGAGTATCACTCTATTCTCTGAATCTTGCCATAACCTAATCATACGAAAACAAAAACCGGACTAAGATTAGCATGAAGTAGATGGCTTAATTAAAAATTTCATACGGTACAAAAAAAGCTGATGAAGAAATTGGATTGAGGAAATTGAGCCAGTGATTTGGGAGATTTATCGGATTTAGCCGAAAACAATGATAAAAGTGTGTGACGATCCGTCACGAAATCAAAACTTCAGAGAGCGAATCCGGCACAATCCGAAGAAGAAATCAAAATTCATTCGGAGATTCCGTTATCAATCGAATCAACAATCAGAGGGGGAAACAAAGCAACGTACCGGCCAGCGACGTAGAGCCAAGCGACGCAGGAGAAGAAGGCCATAATCACTGAAGGCTTGGAGGTATTCTGAGACTTGGAGGATCTACCTCGTCGTTCTGATTTAGACGGAACCGTCGTGGGTAAGCTCTCCATCTCAATCCACGATCAGAGGAAAGAGATAGAGAGTGTGTGAGAGAAAGAGAGATCAGGAAGCAGATTCAGAATCTAATATAGCAAACAAATTGGATAAGACGAGATAGAGATTGAAAAGAGAGACGAGAGTGAGATTTCTAAAATCTGAGAGAGCAAAAATGGAAGAGAATCGGAGTGAGGAAATTTTAATTTCTTCGGTTTCTGTGTGCTGATTGGAGATTCGGTTACTCTCGTAAACTAGACTCGTAGAAGAATTAAATTTCCTGCCCAAAAAAAATTATTATTTGCCTAAGCGTAGGATTAGGCTTGGGATTTTAAACCGAACAAAAATTTCCGAATAATTATATATCGATTTTGGTTTGATTACTCCGGTTTAATCGGTTTAATAGTCACGAGCAAATTGATTTTAACGTTATGCAGAACAGAACAGAACAGAAGAGAGCAGTTGCAACTTGGTGTCCATATGATGTTTCTTGTTGTACCATTTCTTATCGATCTGAAAATTGCATTCATACTAAAAAACCTCTCAAATCTCACACGAATAATAATCTCTCGCTCTCCGGCAACAACTATGGATACAGATTCGGAGACGAAGCTCATTTCACTCATTTCTCAACTGTCCCTTCTCAACAACCATGTATCTCGTTATTGGGATTCGAAGAGCATACCACTCATTTTTCAAATAATATCTCTCATCAGATCTATGAATTTGGATTCGCAGCCCAAGCCGGAGTCGGAGCTCATGTCACTCGTTAAGCAAACAATCTCTCTCTTCAACTCTTTAGATTTGGATTCCCTGCCGAAGCCAATGTCCAAGCTCATCTCACTCTTTTTTCAAAAAAATGCTCTTGGGAACTCTGAAGATTCAGATTTGGATTCGAAGTTGGATTTGAAGTTCAGTGGACTTGCTTCCAAAGCATTGAGACTCGAGCCGGAGCTGGAGCTCATATCTCCCATCCATCAAGTACTCCTTCACGTCACCTCTATGAATTCGAAGTTGAAGAAGCTTATTTCCTTATCCCCTCAAGTAAAAGTATCACTGAGAGAAAGAAAATTTCAAGTGTGTGAAGAAGTCTTGTGGAGAAGCAAGAACAAGTGGTACTGTCTCCCCGGAAGTTGGGAAAAATTCATGTTAAGAAAAGGGGAGGACGCTAGCCATTTTCTCTGCGGAGGTTGCAAAGGCGAGAACCATATAGAATATGACAAGGCTCCAGTCGTAACCAAACACCCTCTTCACCCAAAACATTTTCTTCAACTTGTCTTGTTGGAGTACTATAGTGGAACGAGGAAATGCTACTGTTGTGATGAAGATCTCATAAAGGTATTTTATTACTGTTCGTCTTGCGATTTTGCAATGAATATAGCTTGTGTCGAGAATCCACCAGTCTTATCTATAGACCATCCAAAGTGGCATGAGCATACGCTTGCTCTGTTTCCAAGACGAGCTTCCTTGACCTGCAACGTCTGCGCCTTATCCGATTCAAGCTCTCCTATCTATATGTGTCCCCCTTGTGACTTTGTGGTCCATCTAAAATGTACCAGCTTACCACGTGTCATAAGAATATCTCGCCATCTCCATCGGATCTCTTTTACCCCTTCCTTTGATCAAGGAGATTGGTCTTGTGGAGTTTGCCGCACAAAGATCGACAGTGATTATGGGGGTTATTCTTGCATCAGGGTCGGTTGTTTATATGCTGCTCATTCAAGATGTGCCACACAAAGCAATGTGTGGGATGGGATTGAACTTGAAGGAGAGCCAGAAGAAACTGAAGAAGAAGAAGTTGCGCCGTTTGTGAGGATAAGCGATGGGATCATACAACATTTCAGCCATGAACATCATCATCTAAGACTCGATGAGAACACTGGCAGAGATTACGACGAGGATAAGCAGTGTCAAGCTTGCGTTGCGCCTATATATTTTGGTAACTTCTACTACTGCATGCAATGTGATTTTATTCTACATGAGACGTGTGCAAATTTTCCTCGAAAAACATATCACCCCATACATCCACATATGCTCACTCTAGCGATAGGATATGATGGTGTTTATGGAATATCTTCGGGACACATGTTCAGCTTGTAACTGGAAGTGCATAGCTGGTTTCTTCTATGAGTGTGGTAAAGAAGAATGTCATTTTCAGCTACATGTTCAGTGCACAACGACATCTGAGCCATTAGTCCATGGAAGCCATATGCATCCTTTATTCCTAACATCCAAACCAGGAGAACGAAGAACATGTTCTGTCTGTGAAATATTAAGTCCTTTTATGACAACTGAGACATTCAATTGCATTGAGTGTGATTGTGACTTTTCTCTGTGTTTCAAGTGTGCTACTATACCTCAAAAGGTGAGGTATAAACATGATAAGCATATGCTCACTATTTCTTATGGGGAAGAGACCGGTACCATGATGAACTAGTGTGAAGCTTGCGAGATAAAAATAAAGCCAAAAGAACGGTTTTATATGTGTGATGAGTATTGTTGTGTCACACTACACATTGAGTGTTTGATTGGGAAGGACTTATACATGAAGTCCGGATCATCATGGTACATCACAAGCAATACAATGGTTGGTGTTCTTCCCAACAATCATCACATGTCTAGACCTATTTGCTCCAATTGTAAGAAGCGTTGTCTTGGCAAAAATGTTTTACAAATTTATGGATCAGTGGTTTGTTCCGTTAAGTGCTTCTTCGATTTCTTTTAAATTATGTTGTATTTTGACTGGAGATGAGTGGCCAATGCAGTAGCTTGATGGTCATTAATCATGTTGTAGAACATAATTATAAAATATGTATTCCGTTTTCTTGCTTGCATTGATCTGTTCAATATTGTCTTTTTTTTTTGATGAAAATCTGTTCAATATTGTGTTATGAGAAATTTTGGTCGAAGTAGTTTGCTTAGAGTCATTGATAATTCTTGAACGAATTATTGACTCGATAGCAGAACGAATACAACGACAATCAGTTGTGTCAAGCATGCTATCTATTTTGATTATTTCTACTTTTGTATGAAATGTGTGACTTTTTTGTGGAATTATTTCAGTTTGTACCTTATCTTTTTGTGGAATTGTTTGTATCCGTTTTTAACCTTTTTACTTTCTTTTTCTTTTTCGCCAACTTGGAAGTATTATTCAAAATATTATTCCAACCAACGTACGTATACGAGGTACAAACAATTCCACAAAAAGGTTATTTTCAAACCCAATAAGAAATGCACAAAAATGGATAGAAAGAACATAATCTAATTGATAGAACAACAATAAAAACTTGAAAAAATCTGAATGAAAATTAGAGAGTTTACTATCTCTTACCTATTTTATATATCAATACATTGTTTCAATAGTAATTAATATAGCATTTTCACCTCACCGTGTATGATCACCGGCCAAAACGTTACTTCTCAGTCATCCCCGACGCCGCTTAATTCCTTCTCCGTTCATTGTGCCACGTCTCGCTGACATTCTCCCGACAAACTCAGCTGCCTTATCGTCGTAAGCACGCGCGGCCATCTCAGCCGTTGTGAACGTTCCAAGCCATTTTCTTTCTCTCGAAGTCGGATCCCATATCTCAGCCGACCATTTACCCGATGGCTTCTTCCTCACTCCTTTGTATTTCTTCTCCTCTTTTACCTCTTCATGCGGCCGCCGCTGGAATGCGCAACCGTAGCAACCGGTAAGGCCGCATAGAGGACAAGGACCAGCTTCTGGAGGCGGAAGATGAGCTTCGCCAGCGCTCATGTTACCTCCGGAGTTGGATATCACTTGTCGCAGAGTGGAGACCATGATCTCATGCTCTTGATCTCTTGTTAAGTACGACGAAGGAAGAGGTATGGTAGGATTTTCGTTTTGACCTTTAGAGGAAACATTTTCTGAATACATTTCGAACTTTTTGACTTTGGAAAGCTGCAAAAGGACCCAAGTGGTGTGAGATTAATGGATCGAATATGGCTTATATATAATGTACATATGGCAATGAATAGAGATGTAGACTGCATGTGGAGTGTGGTACCTTTTTAGCATTTTTTCTGTGACGCGTACATTTTGTATTCAAATATCTAAATTATTAGTTACATGCAAATGTGATTTGCATATACAGCTGGTATCACGGTTTTATATATGTGATTGTCTTATTGTTTTTTCCTTAAGAGAATATTTCTTCTTGATTTGTTAGTATATATCAATTTTGTTGACAAATGAAACATCATCGTAGTGAAAAAGGAAACGCGTCATGCTTTGCTCATAAACATGCACGTTGCAAATATATACATTGGTCCCACAGTCCAATGTAGTCTACTAGTCTGTGGCTGTTACACACACGCGGCGAGGATATTTGTTTTTTCTTATTTTCTTTTCTGGGCTTAAATCTATAGACATTTATAGACTGGTATCCAAAGAGACAAGTATTGTCTTTTTGTCAGCTTTTCAGTTTGATTCATTTCATACCATCCACGTTAAGTTATTTTTGGGATTTTAACTATAAACACTTTATGTTTTTGCTAATTAGAGTATAACTAAGGTTTTCAGAATTTAACCTCATTTAGAAAAAAAAAGATCTCGTTTTAAGGTCAGCTTCTATAAACATTTCTTTTGTCAACGCTTCTATAATTCGTATATGCAGAACAATTTGAACGTCTCACCTAAACTCACCTCTTAATCTAGATGTCGCTTTCCAATTAATATTCCATTTCATGCCAATTAAACTAATTACAACACCTTTAACAAAAACAACAAAATGACTGACTACAACACCTCCTAACTTTCGAGTTTTGAAATGGTAGACTCATTTATGCCAAGTTGGCTTGTGCAGAAAATATCATGTTTTAAATACATGTATATCCTTTTAATCAAACAATATATGCGCATACTAATATATTACTCAGTATCCAAGTCAACATTTAAATCAATTTGTACACCGTCCTAGATTGGCTGGAATTGATGAATTACATTGTTCAAAAGCCGACAATTCAACAGAATCATGACTGACTTAGTCAGATTAACGTTGACTTCACATGGTCATGTGGAATTCTGGGAATGCGGCTGGCTTTGAGAAGCCTAAATAGTAATACGATCTTCTTCTTCTTTGATATATAAACGTAATGTAGACAGATATTTAAGAATTAGTTAAGTACTATGCGTGATCACAAATTACGACTTAATTTTGACGATATCATATATCAACAAATAATTTTAACGTTAGCATAATCACATATCAGTCAATATAGAAATAATTCGTTCAACATCTCGACATCTACTATATTGCTACTCTTCATGGTTCAGGGTATATCTTTATCACTCAAAAGGGGCCTAATTGACACTCGTAGCTACGAATGCTATCCAACTTTTCAGTTCCTTCAGTCATCCTCTTAGTAGCAACAACTTCATATCCGTGATAATTTTCGTCTCTCTCATTTGGGATAATTTTTTTTTGTTTTTTGTTTTTTTTTTTTTTTTGTAAAAAGGCATTCTATTTAAAAATGAGAGATAAAAAGTTTACAGAGCTTTAGCCCAGAATTGGAAGCCCAATATTACAAGTGATAATTTTCGTCTCTCTCATTTGGGATAATTTTTTTTTGTTTTTTGTTTTTTTTTTTTTTTTGTAAAAAGGCATTCTATTTAAAAATGAGAGATAAAAAGTTTACAGAGCTTTAGCCCAGAATTGGAAGCCCAATATTACAAGTAGAAGGCCACGCCAATTAGAGAGGAAACCAAAATAATGAACCATTGAACCATTGAACCAGTGAATTGATTTGAACCAAACAAAGGGACCCACCACCAATTGAAATCAGACCGATTTCCTGATTTCCTGATTCTCATTTGGGATAATTTCTTTTATTATATTAAAATGCAGAAATTATGGTGTGCTATATATATGGATGCTGAAACTAAATGCATATGAAAAATTTGATCAACAATAGTCATCGTAACATAATATTGAGTTAAGAGTACATGATACATACTCAACACCCACTTGTTCACTTATATAAATAGAATGAGAAATATAAATTAAATAACGATAAAAAATTGTTTTTCCTAATAGAGAAATATAAAACTTAAGTAGATTTAAAACAAGGTATCCTACAAATGCATTTGCGCCAGAATCCTTGGCAGCGACCTTCAACAAAACCTTCACTTATGCATACTTGGCTGCAGTTCCTCCACTTCAAACACATTCCAGTAAAATCAGCACTTTCTGATTCACATATTTGTTGTCCTTTCACCGTTCTCATATCTATAAGATTGTATAAATTATAATTCAATACAAATCAAAGTTTTAAGCCAAAATTAAGAAAGAATTATGAAAAGCTCAATTTTGTCGATATATCAAACGTTTATTTAATGATGTATAGAGTTTATCAATAATAATGTATACCTGGTGCAGCAAGAAGTATGATAAAGAAGAAAAGTGTAGAAATTAACTGCATAGAACGTTTCATCGTTTTTTTTCTTTTTGTGATAGTGACTATTTTATGAGAGATATAGAGACGCAAAGAGGAAGCTAGAGCTGTTGATTGGAATTAACTTGTGAGAGCTAGTGCGAAGAGATGTCATGTTTTATAGTAAACATATGTATCAAACTCAATAGGTAAAAGATCTTCACATTTGCACCCAAAAAAACTCAATAGATAAAATATCAACATAAACACTATAATTAAACATACGATAACCGTATATGGAATAAAATCAGATATTTTGGGGAAAAACTTATTTCAACTGAATATCTGATTTTTTCTTCATTCTTCGTTAGTTAATGCTGCTTCATTTAGAAAGAAGAAAAATTGGATGCAAGAATCACAAGGTTGAAAATATATAAAAGAACAAAATCTTCTTAAATTGCATTACATTCACGTTCTTCTGCTCAAAACAAATCTATTATACAATGAGTATGCGTCGTCTCACACGAATATGACAAATAATACATTGAGCTTAACCGATGAACTCTTAACGACTAGCCCCAGCGCTTGGCAACAAGCTCGAGAGCGAAGGCACGCCTTGTCTCCTCATTTCCTCTTGTGCTTGCTTCATCTCCTCTGGATCTGTTCATCACACATATTAAATGAAAAACATCACACATATTTCCTCTTGTGCTTGCTTGTATTGTATAAATGATGAATACAATATATTTCCTCATCACACATATATCACACAATACAAGCAAAGCTCGAAAGATGAATGTGTTGCAGAAAATGTCAAGTCAAAAGGTAATAGAAGCTTACCTATGTTCTCCATCAGTTTCGGCATCAAGAACACAACCACAACCATAAATCCCACCATGAGACCCATCGGACTTTTCACTATTGACATAACAGAGAATGGTTCTCGAATCTGTAATAGTTTGCAAGATCCAATCAGAATTGAAGAAGCACAGCCAAGAATTCAATAAATAAAAGAAGTATCTCACCTCAAAGTATCGCTCTTCTGCTAATGGCTCCAAAACCAGCTCAGTAAGACTCCTCCTGGTTTCTGTTAATGTAGCTTGAACCTTGCCACGGTGACGAGCACTAACATCTACTCGTACCTAGTTTCGGTTTATTCATTCGTCGCATGAGAACCTGGTTCTTATTACCAAAACATAGCAACACAAGAAAATAAAACTTACCGGAGAAAAGAAGTAGCCCATTGCAGATACTTCGATCAAATGAGTCCCAGCAGGCACTTTGTGGCTTTACAAGCAGGTTAGTCAAGGACCGCAAAAAATTAAGAGTACCGAGTAAGAAACCGATTATCGGATATTCAAGGATCAAAAGGATACAAAGTAAAGTATCCATCAGGCCTGAGAAATGTAACACTCTGTCCACCGTTGAGTATAACTTCGACATTTGAGAATTTTGCTGTGTGACCAATCACGCTGCCTAGGAAATAACTTGAAGATCAGTTCCATGGAGAGTTTAATGTATCATTCATGAAGCAGTACAAAATCAAAACATATTACTCAGAGAATCACTCCTATGATCTAACCAATGCTGATACAACTCAAACTTCAGAACATACTTCAATTGAAGATCGTTGAAAAGATGAATAACCAAAATCCAATTACCAATTTAACTTCACGCCACAACACAGTCAACAGTGAAGTCAGAATAACAGCTAAATTTGTTTTAAAGATAAAGCTGATATTGACATTCATAGATTAACAGCTAAAGTGTAGAGATTTAGTTACATCGATAAGATAATTGCATAACCAGTAATCAAAACTAGGCCTTTCAGGAAAAAAAATCAAGATCGAGAAGAGAAGATGGGAAAAAAGCTGAAACTTACTTGGTGGAATTCTCACTCTACCAGTGATGGTGTAACTATCCTCAGACCTGCACAATAAACCAAACAAAGAGAATCTAAGAACGAAGAGAAACAGATCAATTTGCGAACTTGCGTTTTCGAGTTCACCAAAATTTCTCGGATTTTTGAAATCAAAGTCAATCAACTATATGAAATTGAAATCAGAGGCTCCCGAAATGGAAAGCAACTTCGCAGGTCATTTGCATAGATTAAGCTGGAATTGCTTTGAAAGCGAGATAAAATCAGAGAACGATTAATTTACCCAGAAGCGCATGGGAGAGTGGAAACAAAGAAGATCAAGCAAATCTGCAAAGCGAGGAAAGCGAGAAGGGAGCTGGATCTGATAATCCGCGTCATCGTCGACGTGAGCTCCTAAACGACGACGACTCTATTATTACTAATCGTCCGATACCGGAGACGAAGTTAAAGGAAACCGAAACTAAAACCTTCTAAAACGCTGAGAAGGTTTGTAAACGAAAGAACCGAACCGGAACAACCGGTTAATATCCGAGTGAAAATCCGAAGTTAAACTTTTACTGTGTGTGTGATTTCGAAAACTTACAAGTACAACAGGAACGTTCAATTTGCTATGGATTGGCCATTTCTTGATCCAAAATCTCTTACCAACAATTGAAGATTTTTAATTGATACGATTGGTACACTTAAACATAAAGAAATCAGCTTTTGACCCTAAACAACAAGATTCAGAGAAATCTAGGATCAAACATCTCAAAACAACTCTCGAAATGATGATTTGATATACCAAAAATGAAGATGAGATGTATAAAGAAACTACCTTTTAACCCTAAACCACAAGATTCATATAAAGCTAACACTTCGAAACAACTCCCGAAATGATGATGATATACCAAAAATGAATAAAGAAACTAGCTTTTGAACCTAACCAAGCAAAGAATCAGTCAAAGCTAGGAACAAACATCTGGAAACAGCTCTGAGAACCTCCAGACATAGTCTCGATACTACCATCGTCAAGCTTAAACACCTTAATCTCACACTCACCCTCATCACAAAAGTAAATAGAGCCTGGCAAGCATCCGTAGAACTCATCAGCCTTCACAGCTAAACAAGCCTCATCACCAATCACAAACGCATTATCTCCCAAGTTCTTAACCACAACCCATCGCCACAAATCATCATCCACCGTGTAAACCTTGAAACCAACCGTTGTGTAATAGAAGTGTCCTCTAAACGCTTCGCCTCTCGTGTTCCCAACATCGTCATGTAACATTTCTATATACCGTGGATCCACTGTATTACCTTTACTCCTCCGTTCATTATTTTCAACGATGCGATCAACAATGTAGAACTTCCCACAGCTTCCTCCCACTAAGCTTCTGAGTCTTCTCCAAGAGCAAGACTCAGCGACGTCGTCGTCCAGCTGAGGTCCGAACCTGAAGATACCACGACGGGAGCTGATCCACCAGAGAATGCCTCTGGAATCGAGCGCGTAAGGGAGTCCTTGGTGGATGATGATGTCGTGGAAATGAGCCACTTGGTCTTTGACTCTCGTCCATGTGACTCCGTTCCAGTATCTGATCCTACCGTCGGTGCAGACTCCGAGGACTTGGTGATTGACACCGTCGACAAGGTGTTCTCTCGCAACCACCACTCTTTTGAAACCGAGATCTGCTTTCTTCGAGCAATGAGAGTGAATAGTGTAGGATGGTTGGATCTCAGAGACGGTGAATTTCATGAGGTCGACGAATTTGAAACGGCGGTGGAAACGGAGGCGGGAGAGAGGGTTGAGGAGACGGAGAGTCCCGGGGTTGAGTTCGGCGTAGGAGTCGTACTTGATAAGCCAGCTTTTGGTAGATGAGGAGGAGGAGGAGGAGGAGGAGAGAGTGACGCGGGAGAAGGAGGCGCCTGATAGCGACGCGCCGCCGTGGAGGCCTATGAGTTCGTTGTCTTTGGTGCGGAGGATGACGGAGAGGGGATTGGGGTGGATGTGAAGGAGAGGGTTGTTGATGTCGGCGAAGGAGACGGAGGAGCGCCACGATGGGCAGATGCTACGGAAACGTTGAATCTCTACGACGGAGATTAAACGGAGGGCGATTAAGCCGAGAAGCTCCGTCGGTAACTTAGACCAATCAACGGCCATTTTTTTGTTTCTGACATCGGACGAATCAGCCATTTTAATTGATTTACTTTCGGAGAATAACCACAAAACAAAATTTACTTATACTGAGGACTTGATGCATTCGTAGAGGTGTTACCTTATGGAGAAATCAAATGAAGAGGTGTGAATAAATAAAATCAGTAAATCCTTAATTAGATATATTTTGGTGAGTCAACTGTATCAAAAATTTCCAAAATTTGATTTGAGTGACAATTTTGGAACATGAATTTTATTGCTTTCCTGGTTTGATTTTTTTTTTACTAGTAATTTGCTTTGAGTTATTCTTTGTTTCTGTCTTTACTCGAATTATGTGACAATGGATAACAAGATTCAATCAGCCCTTTTTTATTGTCAAGATAAAATACGTAATTAAAAAAAAAAAAAGGAATACAAAGAAGGTAAATTGTTTTCATAAAAATACGATCGTATATATTCCATATGATCACCATCATAGTTGATAACGATTACATCAAGTTAACGCCATAGGAAACATGCAATTCTTTTATCAATCCTGCATGCACTAGAATATCTTATATCCCAGTTACATTGAGTGCACACATCTTGATCTCTCTGAGCATCAAATATATCAAACCAATGGGACTCATTGTTCCATGTGAAATGGCAAAAGAACAATGTTGATTTCCATATATTTGGCTGAAATTTTATTTGGTAACTCATATTGGAAGGCACTTTGTGAACCCCCAAATCGTCGTCTTTGGATTTGCAATGAACGGTAACAAGTGGACCGTTAAGACGATTTGTCATCGTGACGACCGTCTCCGGCCAAAACGGTGGTAGACCATGACCCGTAACAAATAAAAGACAGATGAGCAGAAAAGCAATATAAAGTGTTTGTGGATTTCTCATCGCTATTGTTCTTTCTTTTTCTCTGTTTGTGTAAAGTAATAAGATTGCTATTAAAGTTGAATGTCTAGTATTTGGGAATGACTCTAAGTATAAATATAGCTTTGTAGAGACGTTATTTGTTGTGGCTTTAAGGATATATACGTTCTTTGTTAGTTATTGAGTTCAGAAATATTTATTTTCTCTGTCGGTTATTGTACGTTTGTTGATGGTTGATTCAACAAAATTTAATTAGTATGTTTTTAAAATCGTTATGTGTTCTTATACTATGTTTTCTTAAGGATTTAGTGATGTTAGATCCGATTCTGAACGGATTGTGTGAAACTTATCGTCCAAAGACGTGAATAAAACACCATGATAGGAACGCACGTACGTGTATTAATGGTTATGACAATTGGCATGCATCTTGGAGTTCAAAGAATCAAAATAAGAAGAAAAGTAATTTGACATTAGATTAATTGGATCATGAAAATGGTGTTATCTTTATAGTATTGTATATTCGAAAGTGAAAAAGAAAAAATAAGCATCAATTTTGAAATACGCTTTGTTTTTTTTTTTTTTTTTTTTTTTTTTTTTTTTTTTTTAATATCAGAATCCAAAATAGTTGGTGGAATGTTTTTAAAAATCAAAAATGTTTTTTAATATTAAATATATCTCTTACTTAAATCAAAAATGTTTTTAATGTTGAATATATGACAAGCGTAATCAATAATGCAAGAAAGTTGAATTGATCAAAGCATCTTGTGAAATTCCATGATTTAAGTGCCAAAAACGTTGCAAATGACTTGGAAGCCTTTGAAACCAATTCTTCTTGCCAAAGACTCAAACTCCTCTTGCGTCTCCGCTCTGCCACCGGCGGTGTGAGCCATCATGATGCAGTCCAAGTGAACTACTTGTTTAGTCAAGACTCAAGAGGTTCATCTCTGGTTCTACTGGGACTATGCACTCCATGACTATCACTTTTCCGTTTTCTGGTAGCGCTTCGTAACAGTTTTTCAATCACTTGAAGCAGTGTTCATCACTCCAGTCATGGCAGACTCACTGAAAACAAAACATAATTCAATATTAGTACAATAGAAACCAAGGCTCCGAATGGAGAAAGCGGAACAAGCGTTGCGTATCAAGCGGATCAGGCGGTTCAAATGCGGATCTAGCGGATCAGGCGGTACAAATGCGGATCAAGCGGTTTTAGCGGTCCAAAATATATGTTTGAATGGTAAAAGCGGATAAAAAGCAGTCCAAACTATTAATATAATATTACTATAATTAAAATGTAGTTATTATAATTGATTTTAATTTTACAGGTTTTTATTTAATATATGAGACAATACTAATAAAATAATTATTAAAATTTAGTTATGTTTTAAATATTCTGAGTGATCAAAGAAGTTATTTTATAAATATTAAATTTATGCTGATCTACAAATAAACAAAATATTTTTTATAACAATTTGTGGATTATTTTAAAACTAGTAATAGCCAGAAATAATAAAAAAAATGCTTTAAACCTATAGCACACCACAAACACAGCAAATATGGAGCGTTTCTACTGTGCATGGCGGATCACTTATTTCCTTCACAATTTTGATCCACTTTTACTGTAGCGTTTCTGATTAGTTTTTTATTGTTACTTTTTCTTGTTTTCTCTTACATGCATGAATGGCAAATTACTTGAGGTTCCTCCACTTTGTGTATGAACCGTCATTTGTTCTACTTCCCATTCAAGGCCCAAATCAAGACACGTAGAAGTGGAATTATAATTAAAAAAATTCCATTAATTTGCTAACCTTAAGGAAGATAGCACCTCCTTTGGGAACACTGACAAGTGACAAACACATGCATCTCCTTTAACATGTCCAATACCTGCATGGATCGTGAAAAACAAAAAAAAAACATCTTTATATAATCGTTCTTAAACAGAGAAGTTGTTTCAGAAAATGTTAAGAAGCGTACGTATAACAAAATGTGATGGGTGTACCTTTGTAATTTGGAATATCTCAAATAATTTAGTTTTCTTTTTTAACTATAAAATCTTAAGAAAACGTAAGAAATTTTGTTAAAAAAAAAAGATAGTTTATTATGGTATGTTCATAGTCAACAATGTTTGTAGATTATTAATTTAATTCTGGACTATGAACATACCATATTAAAATTAAGAATCTATAAACATTGTTGACTATGAACATACCATAATAAACTACTTATAATAAGAATTAAATTAATAATCTACAAACATTGTTGACTATGAACATAGTAAACTATCTTTTAATGATATGACTAGTATGGAAATAATAGTCAAGTCAATAAGACAATAACTGCTGTTAATGTTTTGCAATAATACATACAGTAGTTCATTTCTTTCAGAGTTATAATAATTAACTTTCCATAGACATAGTTAAATATATTTTTTATATATAGTTATCCGCCAATAGCAATCGGAGATATTCCCATATATTAATCTTATAACTTTACATATACAAAGAGAAAACAAAAAACAATACCGATGAGAAATCCGTCAACACTTTATATTGGTTTGCTGCTCATCTTTCTTCTATTGGGTTCGGGTCAAACAAAGGTACCACCGTTTTGGCCGGATACGGTCGTCACGATGACAAATGTTCTTGGAGGTCCACCTCTTACCGTTCATTGCAAATCCAAAAACTACGATTTGGGGATTCACAATGTGCCTTCCAAAACAGATTACTTCTTTAAACTTCAACCAAATATATGGAAAACAACATTGTTCTATTGCAGTTTTACATGGAACAAGCAGGTCAAATGGTTTAATATATATGATGCTCCGAGAGATGAAGCATGCCTTTATAAATGTAACTGGGAAATAAGAGCTGCTGGTCCATGCAGGATGGATGCAAAAGTTAAATGTTTCCCATGGAATAAATTGATGTAATCGTGATGAACTGATGATGATCATATGGAATATATATAAGAAAGTATTTTTATGACAACAATTTACTTTCTTTGTATTTCTATATTTTGGTACTTCTATTATGTTATTTATATTGACAATAAAAAAAGGTTAATGAATAACCGGTTACTATATTAAGAAAGATTAAAACAAGAACGGCTTCTGAAACTTCCTTTAGTTTATCTATTGCTTTAGACGAAACACCTCTGAACACTTGTTGTCATACTCATAATGGAATGTTCCTTTTCTGAATTTTGAAATCACACAATTTATATACTCGAAGAAGTCGAGTTTTATATCCTAGTTTTCATCTCCGATTTTATTCGGCCTTAGACTCCTACAAAATCAATCGAATAACATCTCCTTATAAATTCTCGTTTCTTTCTTCTTCATTTCTCTTTTATTGCCGAGAGCAAGAAACGTTATTCATGTTCCTTTGCACAAGAAGAATTATTTTGACCGTTTAGCGAGAGACTAAATCACACGAATTTATATATTTTGTTTTATTTAAGAGACATGGCTCGTCTGGTAGACGGCTAAAGCAATCCATCTTCCCTGTACATTAACTATACATGATAACAAAATCAGAGCAAATAAATAGTTTCTACTTTTTAAAGGGTTAATTGAATCTCGAGGTTAATTAAGTTGGCTTCTGTTATTAGATGATTGAATCCGATTGTAATTTAATTTAAGTAAAGAAGTCAACAAAGAACTGCTCAAAAGCAAATTACTGGAGGAAAAAAAAACAAACAAAAAAGCAAGAGTACACACACACACACAGACACACAAAATATTCATATTCCAATAAAGTTAACCTCGATCTTGCACTTCAAAGCTTTTGAAAGCCTTTGCAGGTCACTGTTGAGTATCCATCCTTCAGTCACGTTTGTTGCACGAGCACAGACTGTGACCAGCTCAAGACATGGCAATTTCTCTAGTATATGATGCAGTTGCCGCAGCTCTCCGCTGATTCCACCATAGTCGGTTATCTTTAAGACCTTAACAGGACATGAGAAACAAGAATATCCAGAGAAGCACTCACAAACAGATCCATATTTAAAAGCATGCAAGGGACCCTAATAAACAGGAGAGAGACATGGTTAGCGATTTTGAAGAATTGCGTCGTATCTAAAGGGTTGTATAGATTTTGAAGAATTACCTTTATGATGAGAGTATGTAGATTTGGGGACTTGTTTAGCAGAAATGGTAGAGATCTCCAGCATTCATGAGCTTTAGTTGTGATAGACAATTGCAATAGGTTCTTCAACACTACGATTGCTTCCCGGAAGTAATAAATGGTCTACAACAAAACAAAATCTAACACTGTAAATCTCATTACACAATTTCATAAATATTCATAAAAAGAAGAGAATATAGCATACTTTACCTCCAAGGTTTCAAAAGTCGTCAAGTCTAGTACCTCAACGTTACCTAACCCTTTAATCAGGACCGTTGAATTGCGATCATCACAAACCTCTAGTGAATTAAGACCAAGCTTAGCTTCAACAAGGGAGTCAAGATTCACAACTGGAAATGCTATTGGAACAACATCAGAGTACTCCAAGTATGCAAGGTTTGCCGTATCAAAAGCAAAGCTCTGGCGATCAAGAAAACGAGAACGATAGAGAATGAGACCGAAATCAAGACTGTTAACCGTAAGTCTTTGAAGGGTCGGGCAAGAAACGGTGCTACATGGTTTCCCATCGCTCGGCTGGTACGAAGACTCCACGTTGAGCATCACTAACTCAAGCACAGGGCAAGCAGAAAAAAGGGTTTCAAATGCACAAGGCTGAGGCATATTGAACATAATCTTGTCAAGGAAGAGAGTCTTGAGAACCGGGAGAAACATATTCTCAGGAAAGTTCTCAATAACAAAGCACCTTCCTAGTTTCAGCGTCACAATTGTCTTGCAAGCGAAGACCTCTATAAGCATGTTAGGATAATCTAAACCCCTTATTACCTCAAGATCAAGATCCGTGACGCCGTGTGTTAGAAACTTACGCATGCAGCGGTTGAGATGAGCTGGATCACCACTTGTTAGACATTTTAGGGTGATTTTTTTGATAGGGGATTCGCCCGACGCAGCCAATACTCGATCCACGAAATCACTGAAACTCCTCGTGATCTCTTCACTGGGAGAGGCAAAGTCTTTATTTTCGAAACATAGGTTTGGTGTGAAAGTAAAGATATTCCTCCATCTCTTTGAGAGAACAGAAGTTGAAGCAGCCTCTCTTGTCGTGAGGAAGGAGAAGATGTGGCAACCAATCTCATCAGGGAGCTTACTGATTCTATCCATTAAAGAGAAGAAAAAGGATGCGATAAACTGTGACGCCTACGTTTGCTCAAAATACGGAGGCGGAAGGAAAAATGGAGACCATTTCGGTTTTAGGGTTTTTTGTTGAATAATTAGGATTTTGCTTTTCTTCAATCATTTGGGTTAGGTGTGATATATATATATTAAAAAAAAAAACAAATTGATATTGATAAATCTAAACCGAAGTCAAATTTTATGGAACCGGACTGAATTGCATTTAAAACCAAATATTTTATTAACTACCAGGTAGATTTAGATTTACGTATATATGGAAACAAATTTGTAGATTCAGATTTAGATTTAGATTTAATAATTGTAGAAACAAATGTTCAAACGGAAGCATTGGTTTTTTTATGCAGTGTAATAACTAATAAGTAAAGATATTTTGCCAATAATTGCTACCTAGATACACAATTTACATAAAAGTCCGATTGTATATGGAGAAAGAAAATAACGTTATTTTCCAGATATTTTTGCTTATACAATCTGACTTTTATGTAATGATATGTTTTCCGGATATTTTTGCTTATTGACTTTGTAAGCATGGTTAACTCAACACTGTATTCGGAGTTTATAAATTCCGAAGTTTAATAAAAATTATAATTTTAAATGAAAAAGTTGCATTTCTGATAACAAACCAAAAATAAAGATGAAATGATACGGTTTTTTATTAGATGGTTGGTGGTTGGTATGCTTAAACATAGAGATAATAGATTTTATCCTAAACAACAACATTCCAGCGACGTTTAGGAAAAAACATTTGGAAACAACCCTGATAATATCCAAACATAGTCGTGATATCGTCTAGCTTGAACACCTTAATCCCATACTCCTTAGAACTTTCATGCTCGTCGGTGAAGTAGATAGAGTTTTCAAGGCATCCATAGTACTCACTAGCCTTAACCGAGAAACTCGCATCGTTAGCCATCACAAACGCATCACCTCCCAGAGACTTGACTTCCTTCCACTGGCACGAGTCGTCATCGATCTTGTAAACCTTGAAACCCAAAGTTCTTGGATAAAACCCTCCTTCTTCTCTTTCCAGCTGCGTGTCCCCAACATCGTCGCGTACCACTTTGGTAATATACCCGTAAGACTTTGCAAATTTTATTTGCTCACGATTATCTTCAACGATACGATCAACAATGTATAACTCTCCACAAGCTCCTCCCACTAAGCTTCTCTCTCTCCAGCTACAAGAGTTAACGATGTCATCATTGAGCGCAGGTCCATACCTAAAGATACCACCACGAGCAGGACTAATCCACCAGATAATCCCTCTTGAGTCCAACGCGTAAGTCATCCCTCAATGGACTATAAGGTCGCATAGTTGACCTACTTGGTCTTCGAATCTTGTCCACATCTCTCCGTTCCAATACCTAACCTTCCTGTCGCAGCAGATCACCACAAGCCGATCGTTTCTTCTCTCAACAACCGCTCTTATGAATCTTATATCCGCTTGCTTCTTGCGCTGCTTCTGAACAATATAGGTTGGTTGGATCTCGGTGACATTGAACTTCAACAGGTCGATGCTTCTGCACCGAAAGAGGCGGAAGGGGAAGCGGGAGAGAGGGCTTAGGAGACGGAACGTCTTGTCGTTGAGGTCGGGGTCGTGTTTGATCAGCCATCCTTTGCTCGAGGAGGAGGAGAGAGTGACACGAGAGAAAGTGGCGCATGACACCACGCGGACGTCAGGGATTCGTATTTTTTGGTCGGGATTTTGATTGCTGCGGATAACAAGGGGATCAAGGAGGATGAGAGGGCGGGGAATGTTGCCGGCCGGGAGAGAGGCAGAGGAGCGCCAAGATGTGCAGATGCTACGGAAGCGGATGATGTCCAAGACGGACAGCAAACGGAGGGCGATTAAGCCGAGGAGCTCTGTTGGTAGATTGGACCAATCAGCCATTTTTGCTCACTCTTTGTCTTTGTGGTTGTGTAGTGTGAGAGAATGAGCAACAAGGAAAGTCCTTAAATAGAGAAGAGTGGATGGCGTTTGTAGGTTTATTACCCTTTTGGGAAATGTAATGATTGTTTTGTCTTATGAATTATGAAAATCAGTGTGTACTGTTTTGTTTTATTGGACTGCCTGGCATTGTTATTCTGGAAACAAAATCTGAATATTACCATGTAAGGTAGATATCACACAGAATTCAGCTAATATGAGAGAAGAATTTCTTAAGTATAACCTCTATATAAGAAAATGAAATTTCTATATTTGTTTTTGGTAATAGAAATACAGCCAGGTAATAGTCTGGCATGCATGCAAGCACTTTCAGTTCTTATAAAAATAAAAATCTAATTTATTATTTCAAAATGAAAATGAAAATGCAAATTGTTAACAGAAAAAGAAACATATATCCAAATTGGCTCATTTTTTCGAATATTCTTTTTTTTTCTTTTTGAGGAAAAGGAATATCCAAATCTACTATTTATGAAATCAAATTTCTTAGATGAGGTTATTGTGTTTTTATGTATTCTAATTTTTTTTTTCAATAACCAACTATTAGTTGGCGTACTGGTTAAATCTTTTGGTTATTGAAAATGTAAGAACCTTGGACTTGGAGGTCACGGTTTCAGTTCACATTAGGACGGAGAAAAAATAGTTGTCGATATCAATGTACAAGAAAAGGGTTTGGTCTAAATCCTGCCACATCTTGCTCTCATTAGGATAAGTTTTTAATTTGTTTTCGCTGACGATAAGGGCCTTTGATTCATTTGTATGGAAATATGGATCCTCGTACTCTGAATATTCCTGATGGACCCGGCCCAGCATATAATTAGCTTTTTTCTCCAGTGATTGTTGATGAGATTAGTCAACGTTTTGTTTGCTCAACATTTTCTCTTCACTTCAATCTTAAAGATCTAGTAGGAGAGTGATGGCTGGAGCAGAGCAAAGCCAAAGATGGAGCCTACGAGCCAAGACCGCTCTCGTAACCGGTGGAACCAAAGGCATCGGGTTCGTAATCGTAATCTTGATTCAAACTCCAAATCTTTCCATATTTCTTGGAATCACTAGTTAGACTTTATTTCAAGATCTCTGCTTCTTTTATCAAAATAGGCATGCAACAGTAGAGGAACTTGCTGGATTTGGAGCAATAATACATACCTGCGCTAGAGACGAATCTCAACTTAACGAGTGTTTAAGCAAATGGCAAAAGAAGGGTTTTCAAGTCACTGGTTCAGTCTGTGATGCAACTTCAAGAACAGACAGAGAGAAGTTAATGCAAACTGTGTCTTCTCTGTTTGGTGGGAAGCTTGATATCCTCGTAAGCTTCCCAATCTTTTATCAGTTACTCAAAATCTCAAAGCCAAATCAGACTAGTAATATATAATCTCTGATTATTAGGTAAACAATGTGGGAGCGATTCGATCAAAGACAACAATGGATACTACAGCAGAGGATTTCTCTTTTCATATTTCTACCAACTTAGAATCTGCTTTCCATTTGAGTCAGCTTGGACATCCTCTGCTCAAGGCTTCAGGATGTGGGAACATCGTGTTCATGTCCTCTGTTTCTGGGGTTGTGTCACTTAGCATCAGCTCCATCTACTCAGCAACAAAAGGTAATATATACTAGTTACTAAATTATGGTATTGTGATAATAATTACTCTCAGAGCCACCAAATTTGTTATTTGCTAAAAAGTTATTGTTTTAAAATATTTTACATATAACTTCTCATATATTTTATAGTTACTATTATTTAAAATTTTGAACATTGAATATGAAAATGATCACAATTTTAATTTGGACTAACATTTTTATTGGACCGGTCTTGGTTGTGTGTGTATACATAGGGGCGATGAATCAGCTAGCAAGGAATTTGGCATGCGAGTGGGCTAGTGACGGCATTAGATCAAATGCGGTGGCTCCTGCAGTAATTGCTACTCCTCTGGCTGAAGCTGTGAGATTACAACTATACTACAATTCCTCCAACAATCATCTTTCTTTTCTTTTTTTTTGCTTTTGCTGATATCTTGACATTGATGATCAATCTTTAGGTGTATGATGAGGAGTTCAAGAAGGCGGTGATATCTCGGAAGCCGTTGGGGCGTTTCGGGGAGCCTGAAGAGGTGGCGTCGCTTGTGGCTTTTCTATGTATGCCTGCAGCTTCTTACATAACTGGTCAGACCATTTGTGTTGATGGAGGTCTCTCTGTCAATGGTTTCTCGTATCAGCCACAAGGTTGATTAAAAACAAACACAAAATAAAAGTTTCTATTTCAGAACTTGTACGTTGTCTTTTTTTTGGGCTAAGTCACGCTCATATTCATCAAATAAAACTGAATTGAAATGGGATTTATAATGAAATTGATACATACCTAATTTTACAACATTTTATCTTTCAAATATGACATCCATTTGCACCTTCTATTTGAACTGAACTGCGGTTAATAAAATGGTTTAAAAAATCGAATTCATAAACATTTGTAAACCACTGACATAGTTAGAAAACCAAAATTGATCACTGCACCTAATTTCTTTGGCCAAATTAGGAAACCAAAAGAGATCATTGCACTCTTTTCAACTGTTAGTTCTCCATTGGCATAACACCTTTTACAACACTTTTTTGTTTCAAAATGAAATTTCTGCATCTGTATCCCTCTATTTTTATTCATCTTCTACTTTGATCCCCCAATGGTTCCAACAGCCGAAAAAGCCCCCCGGAAAATCTCAGACAAAAATAAATATATATGGAAAATCAAACATTGGTGATGTTGATTGATTTTACCTCTTAAAAACAAACTCAAAGAGGGCCATTCTTTTGTTGTAGTCTTCCTATGAAAAAAAGATGTATTTTTGTTTTTTAGGTGTGGTGGCCAAACCAAGGCCTGACCGAACCATTCACATGTCCGTTTGAGTGAACCCCTGAACCATTAGGGAGATGCTGAGGCGACAAACCGATCGGCATTGGAGGAATCTGAGGCGGTGTGGTCGGGTAAAGTAATTGACCGTGAGGGAGACCATGTGGCAAACCATGTCCCTTACGTTGTTGCAAGGCATGGATCTGTCTTAACCCTTCCTCATGAATCCGAGCTATTGTGTCAAGTTCCTTCATCGATAGAGACTCTAAATTGGCACCGTATAGAGGCGCATGCCTTGAAATCTCTTCTCGAAGTGAGGACTCTAGTGTGTGGATGTATTGCTGCTTGAACAAAATCAGTTTAGTGAGCTCCACAGATAACATAAACAGATTATGAATAGCAAAATTTGATTTGTCTGCTATCAAACCTGGCAAGCTTGAAGTTTGGATTCCATGCCATCAATGTAAGCTTCACAGCGAGCAATCTGATCTTCTTTCTCTCGTTTCTCTTCTTTCGTTTGCCCTACTGTCTGTGTCAGTCGTCTGATTTCATCCTCAAGTGACTTGCGTTGTTCTTCACGAGTTACATTCTCCGAGGCGTAACGTTTCAGCTCTTCTTCAAATCTTTTCCGGGCTGCCTCTGTTACCTTTAGCTTCTCGGTTAGAGCAGTTTTCTCTTTCGCAACTTTCTGTATTATTCACAAAGCAAATAGCATCGCTTAGCTTCTAGGGAGCAAAATAAAAGAATAGCGTAAAGAGACAAGACAAGATGGCTGTAAGATAAAAGATCCGATCATTAAATTTTTTTCGAGTCCGTACCTTAAGTTCATCACGCTTTCGGGTTTTTAGCAAAGAAAGTTGCGTCTCTGTCTCGTGAAGGCGATCCAGAAGAGTTTTCTTCTCAGACGAGAGCTTAGATATCTCATCTTGACGTTCTGATCGGATCCACTCCAGCTGACTCTCCACGTCGCGGAACTGTTCTACCAGATCCTTCTTTTCCCGAGCAAACCGGTCCATCTCAGCTTTCATTTCAGACTGCCATTTGATACACAGTTATTAGTAAGCTGTATGGTCGCCAAAAATCTCCAGCATGGAGACAAAATGAAGTAATTACATACCTTAAGACGAGTGTTTGCAGCCTCAGATTCACTTAGTTTTTGTGCGATGCTGGATTTTTCCTTTGTCATAGTTTGAATCTCTGTCTTCTTTTCTTCCTTCAACCGGACAAGCTCTTCCTTGTTTGCGCGCAGTTGGTGCCACAGAGCGGCCCTGTCAATATTCGCATGCTCCACAACCTTTTTAAGCATGGCTAAAACGGGTCTCACAACCTCTTGGTCCTGGAAAATCAGGATACTAAGAATCTCCAACTCTAAGTCTGAATCTTGGCTGCTACTCGTAGGGCTGGTGAATCTATCTACAAGTCTCCTCAGTATTTGAACCCTAAAGGGCTGATCTGGAAACCATTTGTACATTATTGCGTATAGCATTTTCACAAATCCCCTCACTTGAGGATTTTTAGAATGAGCTAATGTCTCAGCAAGGTTTAGGATTGTCCTGAACTCAATCCCTCCAGCGGCTTGTTGCTCACTGGCTTCTCCCTCCAGTACAGGATCTTGATGCTTAAAAGAAGCATCCCCACTTGTAGGACTCAGTTTTGGGCCCTGGTCACATCTTTTCTGAAGGACCATGGCAACAGACTGACCAACAATGGCTCCACGAGCAACAGCTCTTTCGAAAATTTGAGATACCTCCACAGCTAGGCACGGTATGGACAACATTTCCAGAAGAATGTAGACATCAAAAAATTGCCTATTCGAATGGTATTCATGCTCATCCATCAAAGCCGCCATTTCGGAGGCAGTCTCGTTTTCACCCATCAGAAACGGCCCGTAGGGTATTGACTCCAAACTGCCACCTGGACTGTCGTCACAGTTTATGTCCCTAAGTATCATTTCGGCAACTTCAGCCCAACTGTGTACAGTTTTACTCAAATATTCAAGAACGCAAACAGCCACATCAGCACCTAGACTTTTAAGCCGCTCACGGACCGATCTTACCTGTATAAGGAAACTTTTTGGTTAGCCAAGATTAGAAATATATATTGATCGCAACAGAAAAAAAAAAAAAAAAAACTGAGAAACGGAATGCTTACGGCTTCAGGTAGTTGCTGGTACTGGGAGGCAGTTCTAAAAATGAAATGAATGGTCGCCATAAGATCCTCATCATTTGAGTCATTCAGAAGCTCAAATGACTGGAGTAGAATGTTCTCCCATACTATACTGTCACACTCTAACTGGCTAAGAGCACTGAATACCTGTGCCATAGAAAAACATCAGATGGAGGAGACGTTAAATACTTTAGTTCATGAAATAAACTTTCTCAGGGATTCTATGGCTCCAACACATGATAAAAGAGTGCAGCAAGGGAAGGAAAGGCTATGCAGAGACTACTTACTGGTTGACGCAATGATGGTTCAGCTTCAGGATTTTCAAGACGTTCAATAAGTGCATAAGCAGCCACTGGGTGCTCCGAGTGCTCAACCAATTTGGGAACCAGACTAACTAAATCCGGTTGCAAATGTTTGGGCGCTCTGTCTATAACAAGAGCAATCTTTTGAGCAGAGTGTGGTCGTCGTCTGGGCTCCGGACAGCCTTGTGGAACAGCCGCATCAAGGGTTTTAAGTGAGTTAACAATCAGTCCCAATAACTCCTCAGACTGTTCTGGCCACTTTGTCTGAAGACCAAACCAAAAATTTTACAGCTGGTCAGAATAACAATGGCGCAAAAAGAAAAACACTATTAGATAGCTTTTAGAAGTAAGAGAGTCCCACCTTTGATTGGACTGTAGCATCAGAAGACTGCCCAGCATATGTTTCAGGGGGAGAAATAGGCTCCAATGCAAGGGCTTTCTCAAGCATATCGATCCCATTCATCCCAGAGCTTTGTACAGCTGAGGTACTGAGAGTAGCATCTGTATCGGATTTAAATCTTTCGTCAACAAGATGTTGTGAAGGTTCTGCTGCTCCATTTTCCCTTGTTGACTCCAATGAAGTTGCAGCCACGCAGCCATCTGTCTTTGGGTCCAATAAAGAAGGCTCAGAGTGAGAGCCTTCCTCCGAAGGTTGGCAACACTCCACCATTATATCAAGAAGTAAATCAATAATTGCTTGCTGTAGAACTTTAACACCCATCAGCAAATTCATCAGGCTGGGTGAAGATTCATCATTCTTTGTTAGCTTGCTTCTATCATTACAAGATATTTTAGTCGGAAGAAGTAACCGCTTTACTTTAGTAGGATCGTCAAGATAAACACGCAATCCAGTCAGAAATCCAGCAATTGCACCTGCATCCATTAGAAGCTTCTCTCGAAGGGTAACTTGTGGTTGTGAAGGATTCTCCCCAAAGGTGAGATGGAATCCAGCTTGAGAAAGAAAATCTCTGAATGTGTCTTCCTCGTCTCCGCTTATGCCCTCACTTTCCTCAGAATCAATAATTTCATCAGGATCAGTGGTTAAAGCATCTTGGTCATCATCTGAAGCCAAAACCTGACAAAACATAGAATCCGTAAAGTAAGATCTCCAAATGTGCATGAAAGAAAGAACTCCACGACGCAGGCTCATATTAGATTGTTTAAAGAATATATGGAGCATGAACTAACCTCTAGATCTGAAAACTCAAACCAAGGACAACAATCCAATATTTCACACACAAAGACAACAGTGTCACGCACAAGAAACCCAGCATCAGCCTCCAACATGTCAGACACCTTCATAAACTGTAAGACGGAATTATTCCACGTCTTGGTACATATAGATGACTCCTTCCACACACTTTTAGCCGGGTTCTTTTGGTTCAGAATACCCATCTTGTACTTAACCCAAAAATTATTGTCAACATCTGTACCCGCAGATTGATCACTCTCTAAATAGATGCATATGGTGTCAAAGGATTCGTACACACCTGCATTATACAAGGCACACATGAAGCAACTGGAGTTGATAAACATTAATAAATAAAAGAGAGGAGAGAAGGAAAAAAAATCAATCCACTCACCAATCCGGAGTTCACATCCACCAGCCTGAAAGAATTTGCTAAAAATCTTTCGTGTTTCCATTATTTCTTTAAAGGCCAAGAAATTCTCGACTTTCCATGTAAATGAGCTTCTTTTGACGCTATTATCAATCTGTGAACCTGACTTTGCTGACTCCGGCTCCACATAGTCTTTCGCTACAGATGTCTCTTTCAAAATAAGAACCTCTGCTGAGAATACAACAGTGTCTTGAACAAGAAAGCCAGAGTCTTGATCAAACAGACTAGTAAGTGTCACAAATTCACGCCAGCCCCAATCCTTTGCAGCTTTCGAGTAGCGATTCTGAGATTCCTTTGTCACCGACTTCTCCTCCAGTTTCTGGTTCACAACTGATAGCCTGTGGCTAACAAAACAGCTCCAATCACCAGAGCTTCGTGAATCTGTCACTTCGAGAAATACTGAAAGATGGCACGGTGGCTGGGACTGCCCTGAGGCCATTAAGAGTAAGACCATCAGTTCAGACATTAAACTCTACAAATACAGCAATCAGACAGCTCAAGAGGAAGGAAAGACAGCATTTTGAGACCGAGAATACTGGTTCCATGTCAACCATTCAAAACAACATAGCATAAAAGATTGTGAATTGATTACAATTCCATGGTAGATACAAATGAGAAGAGCTAGTGCATTTACATACCTCGGGGATAAACAATAAGACGACAATCCCGGTTCCCAATTTGAAACCTTTTGCTTTTGATGCAAAGACCGGTTATCTTCCTCTTCTTCAGAAGATCCTTCAACCTTGTGAAATTCTCAATTCTCCAAGTAAACTTCCCCAGGTGCCCATCTGATTTCCTAGCTCCATTCCCATTTCTTCCTCCAACCAACCCACCATTCTTAGTAAAGCTACTGAACTCTTTAATAACATGAAACGAGGTGCTAAAGACAGCAATATCATCCAATAAGAACCCTGCTTCAGGGTTCACAAAGTCAGACATCTTCATGTAATCATTCCAGCCTAAGCTCGTATTATCACCGCTCTTATTATCAGCAGCAAACCTCCCATAAGAATCTCTATGCATGTGACTGCACCCAGGCTTCTGATTCAAAGCTGACATCCTGAACAAACACCAGCAGCTCCTATCAGAAACCATAGTCTTCTCAGTCTCTTTACTCTCCAGGCACATTGATATGTATTCCTGAGAATTGACCACGCTCTGGTACACACTAATCCTCAAATTACACTCCCCAGCTGGAAACACAGGGCTCATTATCTTCTGCGTCTTGATCATTTCCTTAAACAAGCTAAAATTATTCACTTTCCAAGTAAACTTCCCACTCAAAACATCTGGCATTGGCCCAGCGATGGAATTTTCCTTGTACAGAGCTCCATTATCGTTGTTACTATCACGACTAAAGCTCACAGACTCATTGAGAATCAAGATATCAGCAGTGATAAGCAATGAATCATTGTTGAACAAAAAACCCATCTTTGGATCCAAAACACTCGAGTTAAGAGTGAAATCACACCACCCGTGAGATTTCTTCTTGCTAGAGAATCTATGCCAAGAATCCTTATGGATTGTGAGGGAATCATCGACATGGTTGACGATTGAGAGACGGTAGCTAGCGAAACAATCCCAACGAGACGAGTTTGTGCTACGAGGGTCCATGATCTGAAGGTAGATGCTGATGTAACCAGGGAGAGCCTGAGAGTCACCTCTAGGGTAAACGAGGAGACGGCAATCGTAGCCTCCTACATCGAAGTACTTGCTCCACAGTGCCTTGGCTTTGACACGTGTGAAGTTCTCTACCGTCCATCGGCACATAGCTGTGTATTCTCCTGGCCGATCGACGGCTACGATCTCCTGCGCACCTCCGCTTCCATCTCTCGACGATCCGACCTGAAGGTCTTCCGCCGGGGAAATCGAAGATGAGGAGAGAGGCTTCTCCGACGAGGAAGAAGTGGATGCTGATGACGACGATGACGATGATGATGAAGGAACGGAGGGATGAGATAGGTCTAAGGCTGATGAAGAAGAAGACGAAGACACTGCCTCCGATGAGCTTTGCTTCATCATTTCTATGGCGGTTTTTCTTCAATTTCTTCTCTTTGTTTTTTTTTCCTCACAGCTCTCTGTCTATTTTATCTAGGTTGATCAATTTTTTTTTTTAATTGTTTTTTTTTTTTTTTTTTTTGCTTAGAGAGAAAGGGCAAAGACAGGGAAGGATTTAACGTGCGCTGGGTAAGATAAAATGCGCGTCCTCGACTCCACCCCATGCCTTTTAATTTGTTTTCATTTTTTGTATATAAATCAATTTGACTATTGCTGTCCAAACTTGCTTTTGTTTCATTTTTTCCTTCCTTTTATTGTAATAATTTATCTGAATGAAAATATTTTTTTATTTATACAAAAATAAATCTTAGTAGTTGTGATTTGTAAATCTAGACGGAATTTAAAAATACTTGAAATTTTCAAATTTTAAATTAACTATGGGTTTGAATAATGTGTAGTTTTTTTCATGTTTCGTAACATTTTGAATTTTGATTTTTGTAGTATACATTTCATTCGCAAGACAAAACACAGAATGATAAAACATGAAAACTAACAAATGGTTTTGAGTTCCATCTCACACGTTTTAATTGTATAACTAGATTAGATAAAAACATTATTTCATTTACTAGTTTGTTTTTGTTATCCAGCTATTTTTATGATTCTGTTTTAGTTTTTTTCAACTTATCAGTTTTCTCGTACATGTGAGTCTGTTGTTTCATTGATTGAGGTGACATACCATACCAATCAAGCCCATATTTTTTTTGACAACTCTAAAACGTCATGCAAATACACAATCAATGGCTATAGGAAGAACATCTTTGTGCTTCCAAAACAAGAATTGTTCAATTCGATTGGTATACAAGAGGTTTGAGTAAATCGATTCCTCTCTCGGTGAGTTGGTAAAGAGATCTTATTAAAGGCAATTGTCTTGGGCCTCTTGGCAATGCAAAATCCTAATGGACTTATGGTACGTAAAGGAAAGTTAATCTATGTTTGTGTTTACATGAGAAACAAAAAAAAAAGTCATTTAAAAAGGAACACACACCCAGTGGGACTCGAACCCACAATCGCTTGATTAGAAGTCAAGCGCCTTATCCATTAGGCCATGGGTGCTCTCTGTTTTTACAGTTTGGAAATTACTTTTAGAATTTTGATTGAGATTGTGGATTTATTTGATAAAATGTAACACATAACACAAATGCAAACAAACAATCGAAGCCTAATCAAGTTATATTGGCTTCATGATATGGTTGGCGATTCTTGATAGATTTTTTCACATGACCTCGAAGGCTCGAACCCAAAGTTGGGTTTTGTGGCGAACCAGATAATACAAGAGATCATTTCTTCTTTGCTATTCCTTATTACACGTCCTGATCAAGACTTCAAGATTACCTCTTACACGATCCTTGAAATTTATGTATAAACCCCACACACACAAAGTCACAAGCATAAATGTTCAAAGATATGGTCACAACAAGACTTCACACATTCAATGATCCTAACCAACTTCCACTTTCACACGTATTCCATATACAAACAAGAATTAGCTCACTCATTGTAGTAAACTAGTAATCATAGAAACACACAAATCCACTGGAAACAACGGATTTGAAGCAATCAGAGGAGCAAGTAAACACACGGAATCACACAAGACAGATTGGCTTACTTAAAAACAGGAAGGTAGAGTTGGTCCATGGCAGACGAAGGCCACAACAATGTATAGGATCACCAACAATACTATTATCAAGAGTACTCTGCAAAACACAAAGACAGAGAGGTTGTTAGATTATGTTTGATGCAAGAGATCATGTTGATTTGCTGCTTAATCCAAAACATACATGAGCTTGCAGTTTCTCCACCACATATTGCTTCTGAGACGACGTGTTTGCTTTCTGAATCGGGTAGTGTTCCCTTGCATATTCTCCGTTGCATCCACAAGAAGCTCGAGACGTTCACCTCTATCAAGAACTTTGTCAATGTTCTCTATCATGACACCTCTCACCTGTTTACAACACAACAAAATTCGTTTTAACATTCCGGAAAAATCAGAATTCAAAGTGAAAAGATCTACAGAGAAAATCCAAAACCTGATTCATTTCACCCTTGATTCGGTTTATCCTATCCGCGTTAGGATCATTAGAGTAATATTCGAGCTGTTGGCTTAGTACTCTTGAGAACTCATCATTCATAGCATAAGCTTTCGCCGAGTGAACCGCTCGGCCATAAGTCCGGACAAACTTCTGGTGTATATCCTCCAGAAACGAAAATGGAATTCTCCCTATTAAAAATAACACCAAAAACATATAAGAAGACTTCACAAGAAGCAAATCGAAAGTAAAGAAAGGAGAAGGAGGAGGAGGACGACGAACTTCCGGCGTTTTCATCGGCCATACAGAGAGTGGTGAGTCCATCGGTACGGTTGACATGGAAGACGTAGCGATCTTGAGAGTAAGACACGTGGCTATCGCCGTCTCCAGGGATCTTCTCCAAGATCTGCTTCGCGATCGTGTTTGCGTTCGTCGACGTTGCGCTGAACTCGGCAAGAATCAGAGTTCCACGCGCCACCAACGCGTAAAGAATCGCCATCTTCGACGGAATCGGACCAACCAAACAATTCTATTTCTACCGTGAATCATAGAGTTCATTTTCATCATTCTGCATATTTAATATGGTCTCTCTCTCTCTCTGTTTCTTTCTATCTTAGCCACTAATCGACGTGGATGTGGAGCCACGAGGTAGACACTTTTGTCGACATGTTTTTAAACTTATAAGAACACAAAAAATGAAATGGATTTTTTAGTGTTGTGTCGACATAATATATATATGTATTTTTAAAAAAAAAAAAATATATATATATATATATATTTTTTATTTGTAAGAACAAACAACTGTCCAAAAGGACCAAAACTACAAAAATATCACTTGAACAAAAACAAATCAGCAGAATAATACTATAATAACTTTGATCATGATAATTTACTAATGTAAGAGGCTAAAGAAAAACTATTTGTATCCTCAAATTTATTCCCATAACTAATATCACTATCAACATGACTACACGATTATGGATCTAACAAACCAGTGGCAGCTCGAGAAGATGTTACACCTAAAAATCAAAAAAAAAAAATCTGCCCATTTACAATAATGTATGATTAAAAAATCCAGCGAAATCAGTAGTAGGTTTTGGACTCGAACTGGTGACCTTGAAGCAAATATAGACATGAGCACTACAAACTTGGATTTTGGCATCCCTAAAACTTTAATAAATGTTTGCGTCTAAAGCACTTGCTTCATGAGCTTTAGGTTAGGGTTGGTCCTGTAACAAACAAATATATTTCCTAAAGTAGTTTAATGACATTTTGGCAACTTAATTAACTTTTAAATATATATATGGAATTTGACTAAGTATTTCTAGATTTAGCAAGTTTATGGTTATATATTTACAAAAACAAAGTCAACAAAATTTATTGTTCTATCCACATTGAATTTCTTCCTATATTAGATTGCTATTCATTTTTTTTTTCTTGTATACTAATGGTAAGTCCAGTTATGGTAGGATGGATCTTTGTAGAATACCTAAATGAAATGGATTTTTTAGTGTTGTGTCGACATAATATATATGTATTTTTTTTTTTTTTTGTAAGAACAAACAACTGTCCAAAAGGACCAAAACTACAAAAATATCACTTGAACAAAAACAAATCAGCAGAATAATACTATAATAACTTTGAGCATGATAATTTACTAATGTAAGAGGCTAAAGAAAAACTATTTGTATCCTCAAAATTATTCCCATAATATCACTATCAACATGACTACACGAATATGGATCTAACAAATCAGTGCCAGCTCGAGAAGATGTTACACCTAAAAAAAAAAAAAAAAATCGGCCCATTTACAATAATATACTAGGGTTTGACCCGTGCCCTGCACGGGGTGATAGTTTCTGAATTTGTATTTTTATTAAAAAATGTTTATTTAAATATTTCGACATTTTATGCGAGAGATTTTTAACCTTTGTTATTCGTTTATAGTATGGAAATTAGGCATTTTAATCCATTTAAAAAAGAAATAAATTAAAGCATTGATCGTAACCACATATTAAATATGATAGATTTAACCGAGATACATAAAACTCAAATAACTATAATATAATAAGATAGTTTAAAGAAAAAAAATTGAAAATAAAACATTATTCTTTAGAAAAATTATACATCATGTATTTCATAAGATAAAAAGTTTTAGCTGTGTGGACACGGATTAGAACTAATTTTTTTCTTTCTTTCAAAACTAAAACATGCTTTATTATAATTTCAAAACAATCCAACCAATCAGAAAATAATATGCAGAATCCAAATTGTCAAAACAGCAAAAATATAATTAATTTTGTATAGAAAGTTGAAACAGATAGAGTAATATTCAAAAGTTTAATCAAAATAAAATATTTATAAAAAGAACTTTTTTTATTCGATTTATTATAGATTTTAATTAAAAAACCATATTAAATGAAAAAAAAAATTACCTTTGGATACCTACTAAATGAGGTTATATACGAAACAATTTATATTATTTTGTTTTTAAAAATTCAAATCATAACATGTACAGAAAAAGTTTTAGATTTTTTTGATAGATTTTTTATATTGTGATTCAAATTATTTTATTAAATAAATTTAAACAAAGATGATAGAAGATGTATACTGATTTTAAAAGAAATTATTATGATGAATTAAATTGAATCTCATATCTTCCTTATTTACTAATTTTCGTAGTTGCCAATTAAGGAAAGAGAATGATAAATTTAATTTCATTATTTGGTTGTAAGCATAATATGCAATGGCATATATTGTAATTTGTCTAGTAAAGCTTGTCTTAATTAGAAATTGCTCTAAGAGTGAACCTAGTGATGACACCTAAGCAATGACATTCTTGTTAATAACACATTAGACAAAGGTTATTTAGTTAGTGTTTTCTCTTTTAATATATTAGGGATGTTTAAAAAATCTAGCGAAATTAGTAGTAGGTTTTGGACTCGAATTGGTGACCTTGAAGCAAATATAGATAGACATGAGCACTACACTAATGCAAAGCAGTTGGATTTTGGCGCCCCTAAAACTCTAATAAATATTTGCGTCTAGAACACTTGCTTCATGAGCTTTATGTTAGGGTTGGTCCTGTAACAAACAAATATATTTCCTAAAGTAGTTTAATGACATTTTGGTAACTTAATTAACTTTTAAATATATATATGGAATTTGACTAAATATTTCTAGATTTAGCAAGTTTATGGTTATATATTTACAAAAACAAAGTCAACAAAATTTATTGAAGCTTATATGAAAAAATGAAGTCAAAGTTAATGAAGTTTAGTTTGTTTCTAGAGTAAGTTTTAGTAAGGTATTGATGATGATATATTTCACGACTTTTGTATAATTTTTTGGTAATCTAATTATATATGAAGGATCTCCATTTCACCTATAAATATCTTCATATATTATTCACATCAAATCATTCATAAAAATAAAGAAATAAAAATACTTAGAGGACGAAAAGAACTTGTTCACGCTACCTTTCAATATTATCAATAAGTCTTTCTAATTCATCAAACACTGGTATTATGCTAACTAGAGATTATACCCCCATGCAAGCGTAGGGTTGTTTTATTATTTATTCGGTTAATGATCACTCATAGAGTTTTTAAAATATGTTTCTATTGTTTTTTCTTTGTTGTTCTGTATAATACTGAAGTTTTATAATATGTGATGTCGTTGTGTTTATTTTAAATGTTTTAGATAAAATTTCCCCAAAAATTCGAAAACTATTTTTATGATTTGTTAGTATTCGCATGAATTATTATTATCTTTTTAGTACCAAAAATAGTTGTTTAGAGAATTTAGAACTTCCTCTAATCATCATTAACCTTCTAATTTTCTAACCATGGTCAAAGTTCTTATTAACATCATCACAAGCTATGTCCGGCTCTTAACCACACTCAACCACCGCCTCAATCACCTTTTGAGCCGTGCTCTTTGCCATTTCTCATGCATATTATGTCTCTGTATTTTCAACTTTTCTTCGTTCACATATAATACATTGTAGCATACTGATTCTCAACATAATTCAAAACTAGATACTTTATTTTTTATCTTTATGCATCGATGAGTTGAGAGTAAGAAAATAATAATTTGAGTTTTTAAAATATCTTAAACATAAAATCTGTTTTTTATAACTATTTTATATTCTAAAACTTGTCATAAGTATTTTTCATTGAAAAATAAATCTTTTCATTTCTATTATAAACCTTATCAAAATAAATTTATATACAGTTATAAAAAAACTTATAACTTTTTATTTTCTTATTAATTTGTAACTCTTAGAACATCTATGTTGTTTTATTTATTATTCTAAACATGTTATTATTTTTCTTATTATAATTATTTTAATATATTTTGAATTTTCAAGTTATGTGAAAAATGTTTCTTAAATTTTATAAAGCATCTAATATCTCTTCATTTTCTTAATTTTTCTTAGTTGATGTTTTCATTATTTTATTTTGTGAAATATATTTTAGGATTTTTGGTAAATAATATATTTGATATTTGGAAAATATAATAATTGAAAATATGTAAATTAATTGATTGATAATTTTAGTTTTAATGTTTGTAAATTTGTCATTTGTCATTTCTCATTTTTTTTCTCTTGTGTTTCATTAATAATGAGTAAATGTGGGATCCATAATCTCCATAAAATTAGGCCGATGTGGATAGCTTTAGGTGAGAGAAAACTCTCCTATTGTATATAAGATATAAGATTATTAGCTTTTATAATCAACAATCACGATTTCTTATTGCCTTCGAGTTCATAAAATCTAGATTTAAATTAATTTTTATCAAATTATAAATGTTTTTTAATGTAAGTGAAGAAGTTTATTCTTGTTTTTTTTTTCTTGTAGCCATACAATTTTGTGTTCTCGTGGCTTAAAGAGAAAAAGTTAGGAGTAAATTAAGTGGGCTTGATCAATCACATAGCAAATATTTGGTGGCTTTATTGCAGTAACATCTTGTATAAGAAAATGGCCAGTAATGAAGTTGCTAACACATATCCTGAAATCTTAGGCACAAGTAAGAAAAACAACTATTGACTTTCATTATTTTTCAGAAACATTTTCATGTGATAATGTTTTTTCTCTTTTTATTGAGCAGTTGATACCTCAAAGAGCTATTTGTACGAGGAAACATGGAAATCATGTGCTGGACTTTCGGGTGATCTAGTAAAATCTGGAGAAAAAGTTTATTACTTTCCTCAAGGACAATTAGAGCAAGTAAGAGCTTAATCTCTATATCTTCTGATTAAATTTTCTCTTAAAATTATATTTTGTTTGTGAAATAACATTCTACAATTTAATGGCATTTGTAGTTGGAAGCGTCTATGAACCAAGATATGAACCATTTGAGGCAATTTAATGGCGATCTTCCGTCGAAAGTTCTATGTCGTGTTAGTGGTTATCAGCTTGAGGTACTGGCCAATTACTTACATATGACATACATTTGCGTAGACTGCATATAATATTGTTGCTGATTTTTGTATTTGATTTTTAGGTGGAAAAAGATACTGATGAAGTATACCAGATTACTTTGATGCCGGACTCCATGGTAATGACAAAATTGAAAATTATTTTTAATTACTTGCACATTTTTTAATCCCTTTTAAATGTTTTTTTTTTAATTTGCAATATCTAGAAAACTGCAATTCCTATTCCCAATAATGTCAACCGTCGATTGCCAGTAGTTCGTTCTTTCACAAAGGTCCTAACTACATCAGATACAAACGGACATAGTGGATTATCTGTGCTGAGAAGACATGCAACTGAATGTCTTCCTCCGCTGGTATATGCACTTTGTTTTTAATCGAATAAACTCATATTTCATTTTTCAAGCTTCCATATGACTTTTATTGATTGATTTCTTTTTTTTTAGGATATGTCACAACCAACACCGACTCAAGAGCTAGTCGCTAAAGATCTCAATGGTTATGAATGGGATTCAAACATATTTTTAGAGGCAATGAATCATTTATCTGATCAGTCCATTAAAAAATAATAATAATGAAAATGATACTTTATGTATGTGTTTACTAATATTTGGTCTTCTATTTGTATGGAAACAATCTCATGCAGGCACACCCCAAAGACATCTTCTAACACCGGCTGGAATGTGTTTGTTACAGCAAAAAAATTAGTCGCCGGAGACGCTGTTGTATTTCTTCGGTAAATTTAATGGTTTTACTTCTCTCTTTTCTTTTACTAGATTACGGACTTAATTTTTTTTTTAGAGGAGAGAATGGGGAATTACGAGTTGGTATCAGAAGAGCTGTGCATAAACAAAACAACATAGCTTCATCAACAGTTTCAATAGATACTATGTACCATGGAATAATTTCTACTGCAAAGAATGCTATTAATTCCCCTTGTATGTTCACTGTGGTCTATAAGCCAAGGTAAATAAAAACATTTTGTTATTTTATTAGATATAACATGGAATTAGTTTCTTCAATCATTGTGCTTACATTATGGATCTTGATATGATATTAGGTCAAGCCAATTTGTCATCAGCTACGAAAAATATCTAGATGCTGTGAACAATAAGGTCAATGTTGGCTCGAGATTTAAAATGCGTTTTGAGGGTGAAGATTTAACTGAAAGAAGGTAAACCATATGAACATATTTTCTTTTTTTTCTTTTCTTTTGTTTCTTATCTAAAATATATTTTTATTATTTTATTATAAAAGATGCTTTGGGACAATTAAGGATGTCAAAGATTACTCCCCTAATTGGAATGATTCAAAATGGCGATCAGTTGAAGTAAAATTCTCCTATCTCTACTTTATTTTTTTTACTTTTTCCAATCATAATAAATAATAACAATCACCAACTATGTTTTACTAGGTACAATGGGAAGAACAAGCCGTAATTCCAAAATCTAACAAGATTTCACCTTGGGAAATCGAGGATTTATTGCCTTCAACAAGTGTTTTCCAATCAGCTTTGCTAAAAAACAAACGTCCCCGTCAAGATAATGAAATTGGTATAAACACATCATAATCTTTTGTTAAATGAGTTAAAGCTTTGAAATCTTTCATATTTATAATTCTAAACTTCTTATAAAAAAATTCATATTATAATTCTATTTATAGGTTCAACATCGTTGAATCTATGGACTCCGACATTAACTCAAGGCCAAGAAATTGGACAATCGAGTAAGAGCTACCCAATAAGTGTTGCTCAGCTTAGTTATGATAACTCAACTGAAGATCCAAAGATTCCTTCTGGTTGGCTAATGAGCAGCTGCGAGGTCCCAACCATGCATAAACCAAAATACAACGACCAACTGATTATATCAGTGAAAGAAATTTATTTACTGATTTAACCACTAGTTGTAGATTGTTTGGAGTCAATTTGACGACTCCTTTGAAGACCAAAGATCTCTTGGGAGGAATTGACTCATACCAAAAATCTGAGATTTCCAAACTCTCTGAAGAAAAAAAGCATGAACAGAACCAAAGTATAGCTTCATCAAAGGAGGTCCAAACCAAACAAATTAATTATCCCCGAAGTCGTACCAAGGTAAGGAAAATATAGTATGTCTTTTATTATATTCTATACACCCGATGAAAAACTTAATTTACATTTAATATTTTAGAAATTTATATATAGTGGGAATTTATTTTTTATAATTTAATAAGAAACTTTCATACATTTACCAAATAAATTGAGATGCTATGTTCGGTTTTACATGATCTTTATATGTGTTTATTTAACAGGTGCATATGCATGGTCTAAGTCTATGCAGAGCGATAGATTTAACTGTTCTTGATGGATACAATGCGTTGATGAAAGAATTGGACAAAATCTTTGATCTCAAAGGCGAGCTGTGTGCCGGCCATTTATGGGAAATAGTCTATATAGACAATGAAGGAGATATGATGCTAGTCGGGGAACGATCCATGGCCGTAAGTTTCCCTCTCCCTCCCTTTCTTTCCCCTAATGACTTTTTGGAAATGAGTGATTTCGATTTTTCCTGTAGTGATTCTGCAACATGGTGAAGAAACTAATCTTATATTTAAAAGAGGAGGTTAAGAAAATGAAGTCAGCAAACGATTCTTCTGAAGGTGAATCAACTTTAAGAACGTTGATTTTTAATACATTATGATGTACCACTATATATCAAAACAAATATTTAGTTCTCCAACTAATTTATATATTTCTTACTTATTGCTGATGTGATTTTTTGTTTGTTATATTTTAGGTGTTTAATTATGAGCAAGTTATGTCAAGAGAATAAGGGAAGATGGAAACAAAGATTTACAAATGGGGGGAAAAAAAGTCAATAATGGAAGAGAATGTTTGGTAAAATGTTTTATTTTGTTTGGTGTTTTAAAAAAAAATGTAACAATGTCTTCTTTTGTGTTATGGGTGTTTGAGTGTCTTCTTTTGTCTCTTTTTTACAGTGTTTGTCGTTAATGTTGTATGTGTCTGTTGTTTAAAAAAAAAAAATGTATGTGTCTGTAATGTGTATTCACCCTTTTTAAATTATTTTAAAAACTCCCCTTTTTCGCATTACTATGCTTTCTTATATTATTATAATATATTTTTTTTAATTTATATTTAAGCATCTATTATCGCATTTTGAAAAGAAAAAATCAAATAAATACTACGAACGAATTAATTGTTAATAAAATAAAATTATTAGTTTATAAATTCATGCATATGTGCCTTTAGTTAACTGGTATGCGATCACTTTATGGCCTTCTCTAACACTGCTTAAAACAAGCATAAAGTTAAACATTCATTTGTATACCTTATATGAAAAGAAGACCTTTGAGGTCTGTGGTGATAACTCATTACTTAGCGTTAAAAAATAAATCTTTGAGGTTAATGAGATCTTTTAGCTAGAGACTCTTAAACTTATACAAATAGCCTTATAAATAAAATCTGAAGCATGTTTACTTACGAAAACATTGTGGTTTTAAGGTTAAAGCTTGATATATAAACACTTAAGAACTGAGCATAAAATATTTTAAGGCAACATACTTCTCGCCGAAGCGATGAAAGCATCGACCATGCGGAGCCATGCTCGTCGCCATGGACAATCAAACCACATAAGTACAAGAATGCCTAACAACACAGTCACGTAAACTGAAGTAGTACTAAAATAGAAGGCCATCATGTCAATAGCTTCTTCTTCTTCACCATCTTCTTCTCCTCCATTAGCCTCACAACTTCTATCTGTCGGTGGTCCACAAAGAAGAGGATTGCCTAAGTAGTTTCTCTCGTTGAAGGTGTTAAACTGCATTCCTTGGGAAATGATTCCAGATAAATTGTTGTGAGATACGTCAAACACAACAAGAGAAGTAAGGCTGGTTAGCTGGTGAGGAATGCTTCCATGTAACATGTTGTAAGAAAGATCAAGGCTCTCAATATCCTTCAGATTGGAGAAGCTGGATGGTATAGAACTCGACAGTAAATTGTGAGATAGATTTAAAGCTCGTAGTTTAAAGAGTTCTCCAAGCTCTGCTGGTATAACACTGCTTAAAGCATTGTTTGAGAGATCCATGCCATACATATAATCAAGTATTCCACTGCTGAAGTCAGATCCTCCAGTATAAGAATCATACCTTTTCTTCGTTGTGAACTTGATTTCAATTTCTTGATAGGTAAAGTAATCTACCAAGAGCTCCTCTACCACAAATGTGAATTTATAAAACTGCAAATGAAGATTCTCTGGAGGGGAAGCTATAGCAATGTAGTTACCTATCTTTTCCTCTCCCCCGGCCATACCAAATGTTAAATTATGGAGGCAAGAAGGAATGGAGCCATTGAGCTTGTTATCCGAAAGATCTAAGAGTCTGATGTTTCTCAACTCACATAGTTGCCTTGGAATAGATCCTGTCAAATTATTCCCCCTCAGAAGAAGAATATTTATGTCCTCTGCGTGGACAAATTGAGGGATACCTCCATAGAGTTCATTGTTCCGGATATCAAGTATCTGCACATGTTCCAACAATGTGTTCGGAATCAGCCCTGTGAAATTGTTGTTGTGAAGAAACAATATTTTCTTGGCCATAGCATTATTAACATGTGATGGCAAGGCTCCAGAAAATAGGTTTCCAGAGAGGTCAAGAAACGAGAGATAAGGCATGGCCAACAAAGAAGGTGGTATTAGACCTTGCAAGAAATTGTTTGAAATCAATAAGAACTCCAAAGCGTATAACTCAGATATCCAACCCGGAACAGCACCTGTGAGAAAATTGTTGGACATGTCAAGAATTGACAATGTATTGTTGGAGCTAAGCAAACCAACTCCGATCTCCCCTGTAAATAAGTTATCATCCACTCTCAACACGTTGAGTGCAGGGAAGTTTGTTCCCTTTGGAAGAAAATCGCCGCTAAATTTGTTTCGAGAGAGCTTCAATATGTTTAGTGAAAAACAACCTCTGAAAAAGCTTCTAGGAAGCATCCCTGAGAAGTTGTTATAAGACAGGTCCAAGAAATAAATATTCTTCATCTCACCCATTGACGATGGAAAAGTCCCGTGTAACTCATTATTGGAGCCATTCATATGTACCAGATTCGGAAGCGTGTGGCCAATATTGTCAAGGAACACCCCACCAATGTCATTTGATGAAAAATCCAAGACCCGCAAATTGTGCACTATTGTAGGCATCTTGAATATAGTGAATGAATTATTCTGCAACTGTAAGACTTCGAGTTCTGTATTATTCGCCAACAGCCACGTAGGAATGTGTCCGGATAATATGTTGCTTGATAGATCAACTAGACGCAAGCTCTTCTGGTACATGAGAAAGGATGGGATTTTCTCCAGGCTGCAAAGTCGTAGTACAACAACACTTAGTTGAAAATTTGGCTGCCATGTACTTGCTGTCTCTACTTGTAACAAATGAGATGTTGATGAAAGTTTGAACACCTTGAGCTTTGTGAGGTTGGTGAGTGGACTGAGAGAGAATAAGCTTGTGAAGTTGTTATCTGACAGTGAGAGATATTCGAGGGACTCAAGTCTACTGAAACTAGATGGTAGATCTCCATTAAATTGGTTGGATGAGAGGTCAAGAACCTGTAGCTTCTTCAAGCTACCTAAACAAAGAGGAAGTTGACCTACAAATTGATTTCCACTGAGGTCAAGCTCCTGCAGATTCTTCATTTCACAAACTACTGCAAAAAAAAAACATAATTTGGAATACTTGTATATATTGTTCAAATAGATAGTCTTGGAGGTCAAGCAAACACACCTTCTATAGGTCCGCTTAACCTATTCCAACCAAGACCCAAGACTTCCAAGTTAGTCCAATTCTTTAGTTCTGAAAAAAAAAAAAAAAAAGTAAAGGAGAAAAGATTGTACCGTTCAAAAAATGATCATCCTCGGTATAAAAGAAAACAAAAAAAAAGTAGCAAACTTGCCTTGCAATTGCATTGAGCCAGAAAACTCATTGTAACTTAGATCCAGAGCTTTCAACTTTTTCAGGTGAGTAAACTCTGCCACAAGACAAAGAGGCACAAAGCAAGACACTATTAATAAATATACGATTCTATTTTAACAATTATGTTAAGTCTGTTAAAATAGTTCAACAATTATTTTACTCATAAGACAAAAGACAGAGACAGTGACAATTGACATCGATGCTACCATGTACGGTGCCGTTGAAGGTGTTTCTACTCAGATCCAATAGTTCCAAGTTTGTCAAGTCTTTTAGTTCTGAAAGGGGTGTCCAAGAGAATATAAGAGAATGATAAAAACACAAAAAAAAATGAAAAAGAGAACAAATTGTAGTGATTGCTTAAATAAAAACCAAACATACTTTAGGCACCTCGTTACAAAAGAAAAAAAAAAACACACCTTTAGCTTGAAATGGACCATCCATGTGGTTACCCCGAAGAGACAGAGTTGTAAGTGATGTGGCAGCATTAAGAAAGGGAAATATGCTATTGTTGAATTCGTTTGAAGAGAGATCCAGAATCTCCAGATTCTTTAATCTACTTAAGCTTTTATAACCTGCATACGGAAGATCTTGTTAACAACGTATCGCCTTAAGCTGATCACCCTAATAACTTCAACAAGTTCAGTTATAATCTTCAGTCCACTCTACGTGAAAATGTAATTATGGAGAAAAAACTAGAGACCAAAAGGGGAAAAGTAAAACATTAAAAAGCATGGTATATACCTTCAACATCATCAAAGAAGCCATTAAATAGGTTGACGTATTTTTGCCCGGACATGTTAAGACTTCGAACCTCTTCAAAGGGATGCAGCAAAGAAAGATTTAGGAGAGAACTCTCTCCGGAATAGAGTCTACCAAAGGCAATACCGGTCACACGTCCACTTGTGCTCTTGCACTCAACGCCTTTCCATTGGCAACAATTGCTCTTTGTGTCATTAGTCCAAGTAGGGAGAACTTGGTCTTGGTCGAAACTCCTTGAGACCATGTAATTCTTGAGCTCCAACAAAGCTTTCCTTTCTTTTTCAATACAGATTTTGTATCCATGTAGCTGCCCCAAAAGTAACATCAACACCCATATCAGGTTTTGACCCAAGAACACCTTCTCCTTCATTGGATTCAGCAAAATAAAAACAAATAACTAAAGATTATTGATTTATATGTTTGATGTCTAAACACATTCATGTATATAAGCAGTTAAATTGCAGTATGAACACAGTGGAAATGGAAGAAAGAAAAAGAATATAAAATTTCTTAATCATACCATTTCCCAATGAGCGTTCATAGGATCCTTTTGCTAATCTAATCTTTAAAGCATGTGCTGTAAATCTCTAGTTTTGCCAAAAACTACTATTTTATAATATACACCAACCAAGAATTGACTTGAGTCAAGATCTAACCGGCCACGTCAGAAATATGGATGGATGTTGTCGTAAGAAGTGAAAACGGTGTCGTTTAGATCCCATCGTCATGACAAAACACCACCAACTGCCATGGAATCATATAGAGGCTACCATAGTTACGGGCTCTTCGTCGGAGTTTGAAACAGAAATTGGATGTGAAGAAATGTTTTCCAGCGAGCATTTTTTTTATTGGAGGATGAGAGACCCATAACGGCCAGGTTTTTTTTTCAGAAAATTTGGAAAAATGCTCTTATAGTAGACAGAAGAACCACATCGGTTTACTAAACCGAAACGAACCAGTTATAACCAACGATTCTAATAATACTTGGTTTTGAGTTCTCAACTTACCGGTCGTCTTCAACATCCCAAAGGATTAAACTTTAGGTTTAGGGTTCTTCTCTTTGCTCTGTCTCCTTGCATTCGATTTTAGAATAGCTCTCCCGCTAACCAAACTCCATCTGAATCTGATTTCTCCGTCTCTACCAAAGCTCACAGTTGTTCTTATTAGCGAAGAAATCAAATGATGGGTACTGAAGTTTCTAGCTCGCCTAAAACCCTCATCGATCAGATTGTGGTTCGTTTTTTCCCCCAATTCTTTGGTTTTTACCTTTAGGTTGTGATTATAATGAGAAAATTTTAAGAATTTTCTGGGATGGGTTTTCAGGTTCCTGGTGATGTTGTTCTCGATTTATCAAGCATGTCCAATCAGACAATCAAGCTCGGAAGTGGCCTCCGTCAGGTTCTTGTCTCTCCCAAAATCACTTTATTTCAGAAATCTTTGTTATAGTGACTTTGGAGTTTGACATATTTGGTTTGCTCACTTCTCTGTTGAGTGACTCAATGAATTGATTTCTCACTAAGACCAAGAGAGTTAAATTGCAAAGGTAGAAGCTTTACAAAGATATTTGTGATTCTTTCAGGATAATGATGCAATATCTGCTATGAGAGCTGGGAAATTGAAGTACTCTAAGCCAAATAAGTACTGGGTGGAGAGTTCTCATAAAAGGGTGAGTGAAAAACCGTATTTTACCTGAAAGCTTTCAAATTGTGCAAAGACGTATTGTCTTTTGCAGTCTATTGGTACTTTTTATGCTTTTGTGGAGCTTCTTGTAGGCAGTTATTGGTTCCACTGGTTACTGCTCTTTTATATGTATTGGACTGTTCATCTGCGACTAATTTGGTGTGAAGAGTTGGTTATCTGGCTCTCTAGTAGTGGAAAATCATTTTGTGTAACTTGATTTTGACCATGGTTTTATGGTTTTTGCAGTATGTACCTCGCCCTGAGGATCATGTTCTTGGCATTGTGGTAGATTCTAGAGCAGATGTAAGTACTCTAAAGCAGATCCTAAGCTTTTGTTATAAATCACTCTTCTTTAAGCTCAAGCATTTGTTTTATGTATTCAGTTGATATCATACAAACATCATATATACATATAGATTGTTGATCTCTGTTTCGTTCTGTTATTACTCAAAACACTTCAATCATTGTTTACCTTGAAGAGGATGGTTTCTTATATATGGTGTTGCCACTAGAGTTATCAGCCAAAGTTTAAACATTTATAACATATTGTTGAAATCTTTTGTGGCTCATGTTTCATTGCAGAATTTTTGGGTAGACATTAAAGGACCTCAACTAGCTCTTTTGCCCGTGCTTGCATTCGAAGGAGGAACGAGGAGAAACATACCCAAGTTTGAGGCAAGTACCTTGTAAAAAATGCATGTCTGAAGTGATATAAAAAAGAGGATCATGTGTTTAGAGAGTCTAATATCTTCTTGATACAGGTAGGCACTCTGCTCTATGTTCGGGTTGTGAAGACAAACACCGGTATGAACCCGGAGCTGTCCTGTACCGATGGTTAGTCCATTGCATCCTATATATATTCTCACAAAAGCTAAATCATTTTCCTTGATTCTCTTGCAATAACGCAATTTGCTGTTTGACATTGTTATAGCAAGTGGAAAAGCTGCAGAATTTGGTCCTTTAAAAGATGGTTTCATGTTTGAAACTTCAACTGGTCTATCAAGAATGTGAGTTTTCTTCTTTCGTCTTCTCCTCTTATATAGCCATCTCTTCTTGACTCTCTCTCTCTGTCTGTGTTCTTGTTAGGTTGTTGAGTTCACCAACTTGCCCTGTCCTTGAAGTTCTTGGGAAGAAACTATCGTTCGAGACTGCAATTGGCTTAAATGGGAGAGTCTGGGTAAGAATCAAAACATCTATAGCTTCTTCTTGAGAATCTAATCAATGTGATTTAGTTTAATATCTTGTGTCTGGTTTCAGGTGAATGCGGCTGCTCCTCGTACAGTGATCATCGTCTCCAACGCGGTGATGAATTCTGAAACTTTGAGTGGGACACAGCAGAGAATCATGGTAGAGAAATTGTTGGAGAGAATTTCAGACTAATATGCTTTTGTATGGTTTATACAATGTCACTATTTTATAAAATTACATTTTTGATTCCTCTTTATTATCTACACATTACAGTCCTTTTATCCACTTCACTAGCTGCAAACACAAAAACAACTCAAAACTATATCATTCAAGACCAACCAAAAACAACCAACTCAAAACTTTTTTTTTTGTTGTATACGTTTTCACTAAACCCGCATATGTCGTGAGTCGTGACTCGTGGACGTTCTTTACTCATTTGTCAAAGAAGTTGTACGTACTAATAAGAATTTGACCTTCTAGGTTTTTTTCCTATTGATTCCAAACTAGGAGAAGCCAAAAAGCCGATTATAAAATCCAAAACTGATTATAATAGAAGGCAAAACGTAGTCTTAACCAAAAAACGAACCTTCTAGATTCTTACTTCAACAGCATAATATCTCTAAAAAAAAAAAAAAGGAAATGTGTAACATAATAATGGCCATAAAAAATTTAAGAAAATTGATCGACACTAACCAAAAAACGGTTCCAAATATTAAAGGGTCTTTTATAACGAGCACTTAATGAAAAAAAAAATTGACAGCTTCTCAAGCACGCTATACTCCTCTCTCTCCCTATATAAAGAGTCAGATGTTCACGAGAAAACTTTGAGACCAAACGACAGTCATGGAAAGAAACGATTCAGAATTGATTTCCAAAAAACGTCGGATAGATTCTCCTGGAGACATCCCAAACCCTAATGGTGAAGGACAATCTGCGGACAATGTCGTCCACAAGTTGTACTTCAAGGGTTTGGTGAGTGACGAGGTGGTTGCTGACGGTGGAGAAAGGACCGTCAGGGCTGGATATGGTGTCGCGATTTGCGATGAGAAGGATAACTTGTTGTTTGAGATTAAGGATTCACTGAGTGACGGCGAGATTAGCAGGAGAGGAGTGGAGATTAGGGCATTGATTCATGGGTTAAACAAAGCCTATGATTCGGGGATCAGACATGTTAGCATCTTTTGCGATGACTATATGATATACCAATACGTAAGTGTTTTCTTTTCTTTGTTATTGCTTTGGTTAGTTTAGTCTGAATCATGCGGATGTGTAGAATCTGAATCGGTTAATATTGTTTGCCTTTTTTTTGTTCAAGAGTAATTCTTGTTTTAAGAAAGTTTATGAATTGGTTGGTGATGATCTGATTTGTCGTGTTACAATATTTTTCATTTTGGAAATTGCATTTGGTAGTGTTACTCTAGATTTAACATCACAACAAAAACTAAAAACCTTTATAAACAATATTCTGAATATCTATAAATATATTTTTTCAAGATAATATTAGTTTTACATATTTAGTGCTGCAAGTGATCAAATTTTTGTTGACTCTGGTTATGATGTTAACTTGTCTTGTTTTTTTTTTCAAACATGTCTTGGTTTAACGAGGTTGAATCTGATTTTCAATGCAGGTAGATGGAAGAGATAAGCCTACGCAGAAGAAATTTCTTCAGCTAGTGGAAGAAGTCCAAAGCCTTAGAGGAAAAATGGCTTATAGTGATCCGCTTTTTGTTGCCCGGAACGATGTTAAGTTTGCTTTTAAACTTGCAAGAGAGGCAATAGGCTCTCAAAGCAGCAGCGTCGTTGCGAAGAAGCTATCACAGGGAGAGACTTGTGCCATTTGTCTTGAAGAGATCGTTGCGGAGAGGATGTTTTTAACTGACAAATGTGTTCACCGTCATTGCTTTTCTTGTGTGAAACAGTACGTAGAAGTGAAGCTACTCCGCGGAGATGTGCCCACGTGTCTTGGTGAAGGATGCAAGATTGAGCTTACTCTTGAAACCTGTAGCAAGATTTTGACACAAAGGGTGATTGATATGTGGAACAAGAAGGTGAGAGAAGATTCGATTCCCGCTGCGGAGAGAGTCTATTGTCCATACCCCAACTGCTCAATGTTGATGTCCAAAACCGAGCTTTCGAGCTCTGCTGGCTCTGACCAGTCCAGTGTTCGGGAATGTGTCAAATGCAATGGGCTGTTTTGCATGGATTGCAAAGTACCATCGCATACCGATTTGTCGTGTGCTGATTACAAGAAACTTCACCCTGACACTTTAGTTGATGACATGAAGCTAAAGTCTCTTGCAGAGGACAAGAAGTGGCGTCTATGTGTCAAGTGTAGGAACATGATTGAACTTTCTCATGGCTGCAACCACATGACTTGCAGGTACTCACTTCGTTGTCATTTTAATATTAAAGAAAAATGAATCTTTAATATTGAATTTGAACCAAACTAGAGTTTTTAGTGTTTATGTTGTGTTTAAAGTTTTTTCAGATTTTTAATAAAAAAATTCAAGTACATACTTAACTAGGTTAGGCAACTTCATATGAAATTTTTTTATTTTATTGTGGTGTGTGTAGATGTGGGTATGAGTTTTGCTACAAATGCGGGACTGAATGGAACAAGAACAAGCAGAGTTGTCCTTCTGGTTGCCAACTTACTGGCCTTGGTGATTATGATATTGAAGACGATGATGACTCAGAACATACTTGCGAAACGGATATGTGTCAATGCTATTACGATGAAAATGGTCGTCGTTTTCGTAACTATGAAGAATATATTGATCGCCAAATAGTGCAAGTTTTTCTGCTCTCTTATTACAAGTCATTTGATTCGTATAACTCCATTGGATTCTTGTATTTGATTTATGTTGGTTCTTGCAGCGATTATCCCATGCCGCCGCTTCCCCCGCTTCCCCCGGGTGAGGTGCAGGAGTATGAGCAGTTTGACATTGTAGAAGGGAATGGTGACGACTATGATGATGATTACTACAATTATGGAGGTTTAACTGAATCTGACGATGAAGGAGGGTTTAGTGAGGCCTTTTTCATAGATTATTATTCTCTTTAATCTCTCTATATTGTGATCAACATAGAGATTTGAATAGAGTTGTTTTTGATTATTTTTCCATCTTTTTCTTTTGGTATTTTTGACTTTTTTTTCTTTGTTTCTGTCTTTATTATGTTAAGACAGGAGATTAAAGTTTAAATTGATAATTTCAAGACAATGTTTAAGTAATAGAAAGCTTTGGGCTTTTTCATTATTATTTTTTTTTGTTTTGTATATAAAAATCGCTATTATTAGCTTATTTTAGTTCGACTATATCATCTTTTCCAATATTGAATGTTATAAATGGCAACTCTCTAAAATAACACTAAAATCATTGTCTTAAGTTTTCCAAAAATAGCATAAAATATAGGGCTGTTTTCAAAAGTAGTACAAAATTGAGTCAAATGCAAAAGTATCCTCTTTTTTCTTCCTTTTTATCCTACCATATTTGTGATAATAACGAAAATGCCATTACTTTCGTCTTTGAAGTCTAACCGTGAAGTCTAATACGAAAAAAAATGTCCAAAGAAACCTCATCTTCTTCATTTATTCACGAAAATGCCATCACCATCAATTCGTCCAACAACCATTCTCAACCGAAATCAAGCTTTGAATGCATGATTTACTCTTCAAACATATATACAAACTCATTATATCATCTCATAAACTTGTATTGGTCAATTTCTTCTCAATTTTCACCCCAAGAACACACATTTTCATCTTTTCAAAGTTTATGTTCTTAGATCTTCCCATTTTTGGTGTGGGAGATCATTATAACGGTTGGGGAAGTTTGCTGAAGCTCTAAATCGAAGTTATAGGCCGTCAACGAAACTTAAGATCACGGCAAGGTAAAATTCCGGTAGATCTGAGTGAATTTCATATTTTTGCAGGTCCTTAGACTTCATAGCGAAGTCTAACAAACTAGTTTTGCAATTGATTTTTCAAAAAATTTAGAGAGTAGACTTCATATTGTATGTAGGCTTCAGAATGAAGTCTACTCGAAAAGATTAGTTTTGCAATTGACAGAATAAAAACTTTTTATGGGAAATCTATCTGTGAAGTCTGCTTGAATAAAAGACTAGTTTTGCAAACTTTAAGTAGTTTGTTTTATCGTGAAGTCTACCCCTGAAGTCTATTAATGTTGTATTAGGCTTCATTCAAAGTCTAATACTTCATTAGACTTCATTGCGAAGTCTAATAAAGGGTTAGACTTCATTTCGAAGCCTAATTCTTGATAGACTTCACCAAGAAGTCTAATAGTCAACGTTTTCGGAGTAGACTTCACGATGAAGTCTATTTTCTAAATTCAAAAATTCGATCAATTGCAAAACTAATCTATGAAGTCTAATTTGTTGTAGACTTCACCGGTAGACTTCATTATCGTTAGACTTCATTTTTAAGCCTATTCACGATAATGAAGTCTATTTAAAAGTCAAAGCTTGGTCAATTGCAAAACTAGTCTTTTTTTTTCGGTAGACTTCACGTGTAGACTTCATAAAAAATTCATAATTTGAAAAATTGCAAAACTAGTCTATTAGACTTCACAGGGAAGTCTACTAAATAGACTTCCTCGTGAAGTCTACTATTTAATGTTTTATTTGAAAACGCTTTTTTGGAAAATATATAACGAATTTTTAAGATTTTCTTGAACAATTAGTTGAGTTAGTCTGTTTAGTTGCTTGTGTGTTAGTTTGACATGCTTATTCGTTGTATATTTCGTGAAAACGGTTTTCTTGTCAAAATTGAATATTAGACAATACTAGGTAGACTTCTAGGTGAAGTCTACCACTGAAGTCTATAATGAAGTCTAATGCGGTTGGTTTTTGTTTACTTGCAGAAAATGGTTTACATTGCATCTGTTTATGGAGAATGGGTGAGAAAGGACAATTTGTCTTGGCATTTTGAGGTTGATTATCGGAAAGGAGGTAGAATGTTCTCGTTGAGGGATGGTTGTACACATGATGAGCTTATTCAAATGGCTTTAGATGATTATTCGCCCATGTATAACGTTGAGAAAATCCCTTGGAAATGCATGCCCTCTCAGGTATCCTACCCGTAGTCTTTAAATTTAAGATTTTGTTTTTGGTAGACTTCTTCAGTAGACTTCACACAATATTTTTTTTGGATTATACCATAATTTGTATTACCGGATATAAATTGATCAATTTCTATGAAAAATTATTTTTCATAGATAGTTCTTGTATTTGTTAAAATTATGTGTAATTACCTTGATCAACATATTTTTAATAGATTTTAAACTTTAAATTTACGATTTTGCTATATAGTAGACTTCCGGAGTAGACTTCTCGCAGTTTATAGGTTACAAACATAATTTCTCTTACTTGAGTTAAATGGATTCATTTTTATGCAATTTTATTTTTCTTGGATGCCAAATATTATAATCTTATTTATGTATAATTTTGTTTGATCAAAATAATTTTCTATAATTTTATAAATTAAATTTGAGTTGTGATTAGGAATTAGACTTCATGATGATGTCTAATACGTTGTAGACTTCATGAATAGACTTTAAACAGGGTAAAACATACATTGTGACTAACATTTTTTTATTTGTTCATAAGGGCTTGATTTGTAATTTTACATGCGCAAAAGACTAGTTTTGCTCTAAATGCAATATAGGATCTAGTTTTGCATTTCAAATCAAATTGTGCACTATATTTAGCAATTCCCCCTAAAATATATTAAGCGCCCCCTTTACTAATAACATGTTATAAGAAATCATAATTACATTAGTGAAAAATGTCAACGAGCACCCATGGCCTAATGGATAAGGCGCTTGACTTCTAATCAAGCGATTGTGGGTTCGAATCCCTCTGGGTGTGTAGAACATATTATTTTTCGTTTTGTTTGCCTTTTATATAAGGTCTTGATAGTAGTATTATTAACACACATGGCAAAGACAAATGTAGGTGCATAGTTTTTAAGTTATGAACGACAGTAGTTGGCAGTTGGCACGACTGTTATGAACAACATGAACAAATCACAATATTCTAAGTTATCTAATACGTAAACAATGATACTTAATCCCACGCTACACAAACGTTTTGTTTTTTTATTCATATGCTTACTTGCTCTTGATAGTTGAATAAAAGTTGATTTGATACACCACCAAACACGAACTTCACGAGATATAATTAACAAAAACCTAACAATAATGCATGCCACAAAAAGTCTCTCTGATCAAACTCTATAACAGAGAATCCAAGATTGATTACTTGCCTCAAAGATGGAGGACTTAAATGTGATCAAGATCTCCCGAGTTAGCCCTGCAACCGACTCGGTCGAGCCGCTCATTCTCCCACTCACTTTCTTCGATTTAATGTGGCTAAAACTCAACCCTACGAAGCGAGTCACCTTTTACAAACTCACTGAGTCATCTCACGACTCCTTCTACTCCGTGATCCTCCCCAAGCTCGAGAGATCTCTTTCCATTGTCCTCACACACTTCCTCCCTCTCTCCGGCAACCTCAAATGGGACCCACAAGAACCCAAGCCGCACATCGTCGTCTTGCCGCAAGACGCTGTCTCTCTCACAGTGGCTGAGACCGAAGCCGATTTCTCTCATGTTTCCGGCAAAGGGCTCCGTCACCAGACTGAGTTATACCATCTAGTGCCCGAGTTACCGGTTTCCTCTGACTCAGCCTCTATTCTTGCCATGCAAGTCACTTTGTTCCCGAACCAAGGCTTCTCCATCGGAACCACAGTCCACCATGTCGCGATGGACGGCAAAACTCTGGTGAAGTTTCTCAAATCTTGGGCTCACATATGCAAACACGGAACAACACCGCAAGATTTTCACTTGCCTATGCTTTTGGATCGTACGGTCGTCAACGTTCCGGCCAGACTCGAACTGAAGCTCTTCGAATTCCTTCGTTATCTCTCGCAAGGGAAAGACTACGCAAGAACCCTAGATCTTCCTCCCGCAAACAAGATCGAAGATACCGTGAGGATCACGCTAGAGCTGACCAAGGAGAACATCGAGAAACTCAAGAAGAAGGCCAAGAACGAATCAACTCGCTCCGATCTTCACCTGTCAACTTTCGTAGTCACTTATGCCTACGTGTTGACCTGTGCGTTGAAGGCACGTGGAAGCGACTCAAACCGACCGGTTGCTTTCGATTACGGTGTTGATTTTAGAGACCGGTTAGACCCGCCGGTTCCTGTGAACTATTTTGGCAACTGCGTGATGCCTATAAATGTTAATGGATACGAAGCGAGGACGTTTCTTGGAGAAGATGGGTTTGTCAATGGTGTCGAGATTCTCAGTGATTCGCTCAGAGGTTTGAGTTCGCAAGGGGTTGAGTCATTATGGGAGTTGTATGAGGATGCATTGAAAAAGAGGGAACAAGGTACTGAGACGTTGTTCCTTGCTGGGTCTAACAAGTTTGGGATATATGAGTCGGATTTTGGGTGGGGAAGACCCGTTAGTACTGAGAATATATCTGTCAGTGGAAACAATCTCTTCTCTATGTCAGAGATGAGGGATGAGATCGGTGGTGTGGAGATTGGTATGTGCTTGAAGAAGTGTGAGATGGATGTTTTTATTTCTATATTTCAAAATGGATTGTAAACCTCATATTTGTTTTTTTTATGGCTTTTACAGTTTTACTCATTCAATATTGTTGTTGGAATAAATGTTCACATTCAAAAAATGAAGAATCAAAACATGTTTTGTGGTCATTACATGAAACTTTATATTATTTTGTTTCCCTTGTAAGAAGACTAGCCATTTTCATTCATAAACATCCACATTCCACAACATGGACAGCTCTCGAAAATAACATAATGCTACAACATGGACGGACAGCTCTACTCTGTGTTGGAGAGAGGAGGGATGAGACCGGCGGTGTAGAAATTGGCATATGATTGAGAAAATATGAGATGAATGATTAAATTCTGTATTTCAAATTGGATTAGAAAACTAAAAGAGATAATTATTCGATATTTTTAAGGTCCAAGTGGCATTGGAGGAATTGCATAATGTAGTTGAACTTTTTGTATTTTACACCATTTGGATACGTGAGACCATGTATAAATTTGCTTTGCTGTAATACTTTTGAAATCTTGTAAGACCTTAGATGCAAAGTTATAAACGTAAGGTGAGATTAGATCTAGCTAGGAGTGTTTTCTATAGCAACTGGTTGACCATTTATTATAAGAGAAAATGCATGCTATAATCCTAGCTCTCTAGCGATCTGAGAAATATTTTCTTCTTTCATAATTTCATCAATAAAATACCACACCATTTCATCAAAAACCTTTGCTTACATCTAACTTTAACTTAAAAACTAGCCTGTTTATGGCTTTTTGTTTGAAGAGAATGCATGACCTCATAAACTAGCTAGAAGGATATTCTCTGAAACTTGCCAAAAAATAAAGTTTGTGTTTGAGTCTTTACTTGATTAGTTTAGTTTGCTAATATTTTTAAAATAACTTTGGACAATGCAAAAATTGATAAACTAATTAGCCAATCTGTCATACTTTGAGGGACAGGTGGTGAAGATTCAGAAACATCCGATAAAATGAGACTAATACAGAAAAAAAAAAACTTATGATCCCATAACATACATGCACACAAATGGAAATTGTTTCTGTTTGTTATTAACCAATTATGCTCCATCTTTTTCCATTTAGTAAAAATTTCCTTAAATTATTAGTTTGCCGACCACCAAAAAAAAAACTTAATTTTATCTGTTTTTTTAAAAAATTATTTTGAGTGTAATGATGATAAGCAGGTGCTCAGTGTAATGATGATAAGCAGGTGCACTGATCACTCTCCTTGTTTTCGGCTTCTCTTCCACATTCATTGCTTCATCAGAGTGGAGTGAACAGTGGAGTGTCCATTAGCGGATTTAACGAAGACGAAGTCAATCTTTTCTGACTTGGAAGCTTTTATTTTCTTCTTCTTTCTCCAATCTCGAGAGGAAACAAAAAAAAAACTCAAAATCGGAAGTTTTTCGAACCCTAAATCAAGACCAAGGGAACAATAAACCCTTCAGTTCTAATGCTTGTTTGGTTCTTATCGGTTGCTCAACGATGATCTCCGACGAGACAGATCGGAAAACTCTCATCTTCCTGATCCTACAGTTCCTTAACGAAGAGGGCTACAATGAAAGCTTACACTTGTACGGTGACACTTCTCCCTGCTTTTGTATCAAATCGCTTGGTTCAAGCCTAAAATCTGAGCTTTTTTGTGTTGTGTTTTGAAAGATTGGAGCAGGAATCAAAGATTTTGTTCAATTTCAGCTACTTCTCCGATGCTATCATCAACGGTAACTGGAAAATTGCAGAGGATTATCTCTCAGCATTCACTAGTCCTGAAGAAAACACATTTTCAAGAAAGATGTTCTTTGAATTGTACAAGTCTAAATTCTCCGAATCACAGGACAGGCAAGCAAAAATCTCTACTTCTTCTTTACATTTCAATTTTGATGACATTTCTGTGAACAGAATTGTACAAGTTATGTTTGATGCAGAAGTGGTGGCTCTGAATCTGTGAACATTTTCTCAAAGGAACTAAGAAGGATTCCTGTTTTCAAAGATGATGGCTATGAAGATTTGGTTGAGGTGATTGCAGATATGAGGCAAGAATTAAGATATAAATATGTATTAGCCATTTGTAAATTTCCCCCAATGCAGAGTTTTTAGTGGTGGCTTTCTTTTGTTTACAGAGTTTTAGAGCAAACTAGTATCATGGACAAAGCATCGTTGAGAGCCAAACTGTGTGTTGATCTTCATAAACTGGGAACAAACAATCCTTCTTTGTTTGGCAAACTTGATTTTCCGGAGCTCGAAAAAAACGCACTCATGTCGCTTATCGTCCTCATTTGCCCAAATGGGACACATGGAGGTTTAAAGGTAAGGTTTGTTTTACATTTTCTCTTAATCTTATTTTGAAGTACCATAAAACTATGTTGGAATTTAAAAATGAAATGTTACTTGAGGGTTTGTTTTCTCATCAGTGCGTTTCTTGTAGGAAGATCTTATTTTCTTGATCCTTCAGTTTCTCTTTGAAGCCAAGTACAAGAACACATTGCATAAGTAAGCTTCTGCATGGATTTGTTACTTTTTTATATAATTTCATTTCTTATTTTTTGATGACATTTTTTCTTTATGAAGATTAGAGCAAGAAACAAAAGTCTTGTTCAACTTAAAGTATCTTGCGGAGCTGATGACGCTCGGTAAATTTGACAAAGCTGAAGAGTACCTGACAGCTTTTACAAACCAAGACGAGAATAAGTACTCGAATGCTATGTTTCTTGAGATTCAGAAGCTGAAATGCTTAGAATCTGCAGAATGGTTTGGTTTTTATTTATTTATCTGTCATTTTACATTTATTTGAAAGGCTGCATATGAAGTTTTTTTTTCACTGCAGGGAGGTCACAAGGCTAAAGCTTCACCGCTCTGTTATCATGCTAGCTAAGAAGAATCCAGTGCTGAAAGATAAACTCAATCTTCCTAGCATGGGGAAATCAAGACTCTTAACGCTGATGAAGAAGACGTAAGGCAAAAACGGTTGTTTTTTTTTAGTTTCTTGATTTTCTTTTTAGTTGGTTTTGATTTTTCTTCAACATCATGCAGTGTAGCCTTTTGGGGAGTTCATACATGCAACCATCCTAATTCTCTGGAGAATTTTCCAGTAGTACGATACCTTTGTCGCGCACCGTCCTCTTTAGGAAACAATGTCAATGAAACAAAGCTAAAGGAAATCAATGATCCATCTGAGTGCAATGCACTGTTTCTTCCTGATAACTTTCCAGGAGGAAGGGTATGGTTACTTTCTCCAGAATCTTTTAAAGTTTGGCATACTTCTTGTCACAATTGCTTTCATTCACACGTTTAGTTGATCTTTAGAAGGGCAAAAAAACATCGCTCTAAATAACTTTTAGTCATTAAGGATTTTGCTTTGTTGCTTTTGGAATAAGAGTATCACCTACACTTGTATTTGATGCATATAGTGAAATTGTCTTCACTACCTTCAAATATTGAGCTCTCATTGATTTTGTTGACTTTGCTAGATTGCATGTTTGACCTATTCTGCTTCTGGAGATTATGTACTGGCTTTGGCAGAAGACGCTACACATAAACTCTGGACGTGGTCGAGTAGCCCATATGAATACTGCAAGGTTTAGTCTCAGATGCCAAACTTATCTCTGCTATGTTTCAGCCATGATGTCATTGATTACTTACTCTTATCTACTTGATTCTTCTGCGTATAGTATACTCCTCGAGTACTGAAGGAAAATGCATTTCCGAAGCCGCGGTTATATCAACCTCAAAGCGGGATAACTATGAAAAACGAGATAGCCACCACCACATCTGCTGAGAGTTCCACGTCATGCTTTGCCATCAAGGGTTCCTATCTTTTCTCTACCTCAGGAGGAAAAATTGCAGTTTTTGATGTGAAGAGTTTTGAGGTAATAAGCATAAACTTTTCATGTCTCGGCCTTTGTGTCTACATCATCAAATGACGTTGTTTTCACATTACTGCAGAAGGTAGCTGCTTTTGGAAGTCCTACAGCTTCAGCTACGTGTTTTATATTCATTCCCGGTGATTTACTTGCGGTCGGGCTAGATGATGGTTCTATCTTTATCCACTGTCTATCCTCAAGAACGGTAAAGTCTTTGTTTCGGCTGTAATAATCTGAAACCGTTGTCTGCTGTGAAAAGATGACATAAAGCTGTGAAAATGTTTCAGATCAAAGCAAATTTGGAGGGCCATGAACAGAGGATAACTTGTCTTGCGTTTTCGCGGTGTTTCAGTGTCCTCGTCTCATCAGGAGCTGATGGAAAGGTTTGTAACATGCACTCTCTCTTAAGTACACCAAGATTGTTGCTTTCATGATTTCTAGATTGTTTTTTTTTGTTTTCTCCAGCTCTGTGTCTGGAGCACTAAAAGCTGGAAGAAGCTAACAAGTAACAAATCCATACATCAAATGTGCACCCGGAACAACCATGATGAGTCGTCCTCTTTAGTTACTCACATTCAGTTTGACCCGTATCAAATCGAGCTTCTCGTGGTTGAAGAGCACTGTATATATACACTCAAAGCTCCAACTCTGGATTGCCTTCTGCAGGTAAAAAAAAAAGGCAAACACGTTCTCTGATTAGATATTCTCATGCATTTAGTTATCTTATTGACTCCAAATGTGATGCAGTGGGTACCAGATGAATCCGACGGTGCAATAACTTGTGGTACATATTCATCAGATGGTGAGATAATCTATGTTGGCTTTAGAAGTGGGTCTATAAAAGTTTTGGACTGCAGAACATTTCGGACCATATGTCAAATCAATCTGACTGCTTTTACTCAACCCATCCTCAGCATCATCAGGTACAATTTCCTTGCCTACAACACTTCTTATTTGGTCAGATAAACAAAAAACCATAAATTATGTGACTGGTACAGGCTCAAGGTTTATCCGACTGTTGTGGCTGCTCATCCTTCACATCCGAGCCAGATTTCTGTGGGGCTTAGCAACGGTAAGGTCATGGTCTTTCAGCCGTTGGGGAGAGGAGAATGGGGCGAAGAAGTTACACTTGAAGCCCCTGAAGATAATGGAGATTATTATTCTGATAGTAGTTACTGACCACTCTGACCATAGAGGTTTGTCTTAGTTTTTTTGTATGTATATGAATGAGTTGCTCTTTTTGTCTGTCCTTTGTGCATTTTGTATGTTTGTCTATGTAGCCTGGTTTGTAATTAGTATCTGTCTTTTTGTGTAATTATCGTTAAGTATCTGTCAAAATGCTTATAACCTATTTACATACTGAGCACCTTTTTGTTGTAGTTAATGACTCCATTATTAATTATTAAATGGAGAAGAAGATTAGTGCTTGTTTTGAAAAGTGTTTTGGAGTATAATTTTATTGAATTTTCGTTTGTATTGTAATCATATTATGGTTATAAATGTGACCTACCAAATGAATTCAAGTGCGGTACGGTTTTGTCACCATACACCAACCATTAAACAAGGAAACAAATCATAAAATACAAATTCAAAGTAGGGCCATTAAAGTATAAAAAGATCATTCATACAAAATTTGGAATGTGAGCACAAAATTAAGGGGGCTGGAACTACGGTAATTAGCGTAATTAATGGCATTATTTTATGATTAATTAGTATTTATTGATCCATGGGAGAATTGCACCCCTCTTAATAAATGTATCGTCCCATACGCACATGCATCAGAGTAGATTAAAACCAATTACGAAAAAAAGAAGACTCTTTACAATCTGATAACGAATAATTAAAGTTTTATTAAAGAAAACATCGTATCTACCATTTGGTAAAAAAAACATAATTTCTACTAGTACATTGTTTTCAATATGTTACTTATCTAGTTATCTTATCTAGTGACTACTAGTAACATTTTTCTAAATTCCAAATTAAAAATCATATTTTCTGCTTCTACGCATAAAACAAAAAGAAAATACTTCCTCCGTTTTTCCGTTTTTTTAAGATGAATTTTCTAGAATTTTCACACATATTAAGAAAAAGTTGATTTTCAATCATTAGTGTATAGATTTTGGCAATAAAACAACTTTCTATAAATTTTAGACCAATAAAAATCTAACAAATTCAATTATTGTTTTTTGAAAACTGAAAAAATACTTCAAAAAACTAAAAATTTTATCTTTGTGAAATAACAAAAAATGTCCAGAAAATTCATCTTAAAAAGAATAATATTTTATGCTTTTTCTTTGGGACCTACAAGTTATAAAGACTCGAGTTTATGTGGCAAATACATCCATATTTTACCTTCCGACAATCACACATCTCCTGACAACAGCTCCGGTAAAAAATAAAAGCATCTTACACCTCCTTCTCTCCAGATCAACGGCTTTAAAATTGCCACGTCATCACGGACTCCAACTCTCGTCTTAAATCCATCTCTTTCTCTCTCTTCAGCCACCATTGTCTACTCCTTCGTCGAATCTAACACCGCCAAATTTCATTTCCGAGATCTTCTTCTTCCTCCTCCTCCTCCTCATCATCCTTCACAGATCCAAGAAACCGAAGTAAGCAACGCTCCGATCAATCCGACATCGTTTTGAAACTCCGACCTCGACAACGACGAATCTTCCTCCGCAGATCTAGCGAAGAAACCTCTCCCCAACGGTAATTGCTAAAAATAGCTCTAGAAAAAAAATCGAAATCCAAACCCATTTCCAATATTCAAATGTGTTTCCCGTTGGATTTCGAAACTGTTTAACAAATTTTCGAATTTTTACTTGCTTTCTCAGAAAAAAAATCGAATCCAGATCGGTTCAAAGAGATGGCTCCGAGCATTCGGAAAGCGATCGGAGCCGTCAAGGACCAAACGAGCATCGGGATCGCGAAAGTCGCCAGCAACATGGCTCCAGATCTGGAAGTAGCGATCGTGAAAGCAACAAGCCACGACGACGACCCCGCCGGCGAGAAATACATCCGCGAGATCCTAAACCTAACCTCCCTCTCCCGCGGCTACATCCTCGCCTGCGTAACCTCCGTCTCCCGCCGACTGTCGAAGACTCGCGACTGGGTCGTCGCTCTCAAGGCCCTCATGCTCGTCCACCGTCTCCTCAACGAAGGAGACCCGATTTTCCAGGAAGAGATCCTCTACTCGACGAGACGCGGCACGAGGATGCTCAACATGTCCGATTTCCGCGACGAGGCGCACTCGAGCTCGTGGGATCACTCGGCGTTCGTGAGAACCTACGCCGCTTATCTGGATCAGAGGCTCGAATTAGCCTTGTTCGAGAGGAAGAGCGGTTCGAAAGTGAACAGCGGTGGGAGTAGTAGCCACCATAGCAATAACGATGATCGATACGGTAGAGGAAGAGACGATTTCCGATCTCCGCCTCCGCCGCCGAGATCTTACGATTATGAGAACGGTGGTGGTGATGGTAATGGTTACGGCGGTGTGCCGAAGAGATCTCGATCTTACGGAGATATGACTGAATTCGGAGGGAGAGGAGATGAGAAGAAAGCGGTTACGCCGTTACGGGAAATGACGCCGGAGCGGATATTCGGGAAGATGAGTCATTTGCAGAGGCTGCTTGACCGGTTTTTGAATTTGAGACCGACCGGTTTAGCTAAGAACAGTAGGATGATATTGATCGCGTTGTACCCGGTCGTGAGGGAGAGTTTTAAGCTATACGCTGATATCTGCGAGGTGTTGGCGGTTTTGCTGGATAAGTTTTTCGATATGGAGTATACGGATTGCGTCAAGGCGTTTGATGCTTACGCGAGCGCGGCGAAGCAGATTGATGAGCTGGTTGCGTTTTATAATTGGTGTAAGGAGACCGGTGTGGCGAGGTCGTCGGAGTATCCGGAGGTTCAGAGGATAACGAGTAAGTTGTTGGAGACGTTGGAGGAGTTTGTTAGAGATAGAGCGAAGAGAGGGAAGAGTCCCGAGAGGAAAGAGATCGAAGCTCCTCCTCCGGAGGAGGAGGTGGTTCAAGAAGAACCTGATATGAACGAGATCAAAGCGCTTCCTCCTCCGGAGAATTGGTCTCCTCCGCCACCGCCGGAGCCGGAGCCTCAGCCGGTAAAACCGGAGTTCACGGAGGATTTGGTTAACTTGAGGGAGGATGCAGTCAGCGCTGATGACCAAGGGAACAAGTTCGCGCTCGCGTTGTTCGCCGGTCCGCCGGGTGGTGGTAACGGGAAATGGGAAGCGTTCCCGTCGAACGGAGTGACTTCCGCTTGGCAGAATCCTGCGGCGGAGCAAGGGAAAGCGGATTGGGAGTTGGCGTTGGTGGAGACAGCTAGCAACTTGGAGAAACAGACAGCGGCTTTGGGCGGTGGGTTTGATTCGTTGCTGCTCAACGGTATGTACGACCAAGGAGTGGTTAGGCAGCACGTGAGCACCTCGGAGTTAACCGGCGGCAGCGCGAGCAGCGTGGCTTTACCTTTACCGGGGAAAACCAACACTCAAATGTTGGCCTTACCGGCACCGGATGGAACCGTGGAGAGAGTGAACCAAGACCCGTTCGCGGCTTCGCTAACCATCCCACCGCCTTCTTACGTGCAAATGGCTGAGATGGAGAAGAAGCAGTATCTGTTGAGCCAAGAGCAGCAGCTGTGGCAGCAGTACCAGCGTGAAGGGATGAGAGGTCAAGCGAGTTTGGCGAAGATGAATACCGGTCCGGGTCCAGTTGGAATGCCTTATGGAATGCCACCGGTTAATGGGATGGGACCGCCGCCGACGGGGTATTACTACAACAATCCTTACTGATTCATCATTCTTTTTGTTTTATTTTTGCTCTCTCCCAGTGTCATATATGTGTAGATGACTCGTCTTCCACCTTTGATCTCGTGTGCTTTTTTCTTCTGTATCTGCGGATTGTCGTAAAACGATAAAATCTTTGTGTCTCTGTGAGTCTGTTCTCGAGTTTGATTTATAGTTTTATGTACACTTTTTTGAGAATCTTGATTCTTATTTTGTATAACACATTTTGAATATCTTCTTGGATGTTTCCACTGTTTGTAACTATAAGAACACTTTTGTCGGATTTGAGAGTGTGTTTTAAATTGACTTGTTAAGTCTCCATAGGACTTGGATTGTGTTGTGTCCTAATTCTTTGAAGTTTGAAACTACTATTGGCTCATTTGTAATAGGTGTGTGTCGCTTTCTTATACTTTCTTTATATTATTCGAGGAGAAATTTATTCTTAACCATAAATAAATTCTTCTTTATATAGTTGAGATTGGAAAATGAAAGCATGAGATGTATATGGTACTCTCTCTGTTAGATCAAAAAAGTAGGTGTGTGTGTTTGTATTGACAACTAGGATGGGACCCTCCATTACCAGTCCCTTTGAATTATGGAGAACAATTGATAAAAAAAATGAAGGTAAGCTGGAGTCTCTTCATGCCCAACATATGTAAGGCTGTCTCATTTTGGTAACCATGTCATCTTTCTGGATAAATCTGTTCGATTAGTATATTTTTGCACCGTCTATGCGTTGGAATAATTATGGTTGACTAGTTTTGGGAGGAGTTGGGCTCGTTTGTACTTAGTTTTTCGTAGAAATGAAGCCCGACTTGAGCTTTTGTTTGAATATTATAGAGAGGTGGATGCGATTTTGTGAAATCTGAATATCATTCACTCATTTAGTTACACTACTTTTCTGCTCGTACTAATCATCAACACATCACCTTTATTTACACTTTTTGCTCAACACATTATTGTCTCGAAGTGAAGATTATTAACGAACCATATGCACAAAAGACTCTCTTCTAATCTCACAATCCTAACAAAATCTACCTGAAATCTACACTACCAAAAATAGTCAGAAAAGTAACAAATCTCTAATCACCAGTCAACATAATATGATGCAAATCAATCTGAAGTTTCTCATGAAGCAGAGACACACCCACTACATTCCCTTTCTCCTCCTTAGCCGCCAACTCCGCCACCGGAATCGCCGCAAGAAACCTCTTTATATACTCTCTGCAACACTCTCTCCCTTTACAAACCACCACTGCCGACGACTCTTCCTCCCCTGTTTTCTCATACATCAAACTCGACTCATCAAACTTGAGAATGTACGCTTGCTTGCATCCTTCGAACAATCTCTCCCCTAACGAATCAATCACACAAAACCCCTCTAAATCTGCTTTCACCACAAAGAAATGATCGTTCCAGCTCACGATATAAACCCTAGATTCTCCAGACGCTATCGCTACTTCTTTCTCCACTTCGTCCCAGATCTGATCAAACGACATTAAACCTTCCAACGAAGCAAATCTCTCCGGGCTGAATAACCCAGTAAACGATTTATCATTGCAAACCCTAACCGGCCGTAATTTCGCGGAGACGATCGTTTCCAGATCGAAATGCTTATTAGGGAACAATCTCAGATACGAATCTTCGTTGCAGAGAGATTTCCATAACGCAGATCCTTGCATGATTAGCGAATCGAATTCGGTTTCTGACGGATTGGTTAGCCGAGGGTTCGCTTGGAACCAATGAGAAACCACCACCGCAACCGCCGCGCAAGCTGCTTCTCCGCCGGCTTGTTCGCTTCTCTGATCAATCGACGCAGTGTAAACTTCCGATCTCAGCTTCGATTTTCTATCGCGGCTCACTAAATCCTTCGTCACCCATTTGTTCGCCTCGATCGATAAATCCTCCGCCGTCGCAGGCTTTTCCGGTTCCGGCTCCGACGGTTTTGATGGTATCTTCGTCGTAGCTTCATCCTCTCTCTGCAAAATAAACCAATTTCGGTTAAGGCCATAACTCGAACCGGATTTTTGAAAATTTGATTTAAACTGAAATGCGTACCGGTTCTCTTCTCCATGTCATAGAAAAGCTTAACCGTCGTCTCTTCCACCAATTAAACCCGGCTTTTAGACCCGGTTCGGACTGGTTCTCCTCCGGGCTTGAACTTGACCCGGTTCCTAAAATGGGGCTGACTCCGCTGGAACTTGACGCTGTGGCCGGAGACGAAGATGAGTCGAAATTGCTGCTGTCGCGACGACTCGCCATCTTCTTCGGTATCACTGAGTCAACCGAGATTGGACCGAGCTGTATAAAGTCGTCTGCTTCGTGTCTTACCTCGGAAAAAGTCAGGTTGACCTGATTTAAATAAACAACCGCGTGTCTTAAATAATTAAGGATAAGGATTAGATTATTAATTTACATTTTCATTGGACAAAAGGAAATTCTCAAATGTATCCATTATGTTTCCGAGATTAATATAATTATCCAATGAAGAATAATTCAAATTCAAATTCAAATTCAGACCGACTTTTGGATGATTAAATTTTTAGTTTGACCAGCTTACCACAAGAGTTGCTTCCTTCGAAAGTAAACCCTTTGACCTAATCGGAAGCTTTCTCTCCACCGTAAGTTCAAGCTTCGACGCTATCTCCGATATATCCAACGTTGCTTTTCCGATCACAGTCTTTTTGCTTTTCGCGTCCAAGGCCTCTCCCTAATACCAAAAAATAGATAAAAATCCAACTAATTAAATTGTGGTTTTGCTATTAACCATTTGTAGATGAGTTGAGTTTAAATTTAAGAATTAATGATCCAAAAATGATAATTAAGAAAACTCACGTAGAAGACATTGAAGGAGATGTTCCATGGGCCGACAATGCAACAAACACGGTCGAACTCATCCTCCCATTCCACATGACTAGCTCCCAAAGAAATGGGTTTAGAGGCCGTATGGTTAACCGGTGGGTTCGACCGATAAAAAGGGATGAGTCCCAATCCGAAACCAGAGACCGGTCCTTTCCATTTCAACTCCACCATCGCGAAAAGATTCTTGGCGGCCGTTTCTTCACCGGGATTAGCCGGTAAACCATCAAGCCTCACCGGCTTCACCTTGACGTGAAGCTTCCTTACCTTCTTCGCCATTGATTTCAGAATTTATTCCTCTCCTTTTGTTTTCCTCTTCTTTATTTGGTTTTTTCTCTTTTTATTTGTTTTCTTTTAGGTGTTGAGATAATATGCAAAGGAGGGGATATTTGTTGTTTTTATATGTAGATGTGTATGTAAATGTGTATGTAGAGGCGTATGTGTTCTAAATAAGGTATAGGAAACGTATAGAATATTGAAAAGGTATCAAAGACAGCAAAGAGAGAAACCATCCAAGACAAAATAAAGAAATAAAAAGAGGCCTAAAAGAGCGACTTGGTCGTAATTATGCGGCAAACGCAGCAAATCCGCGTTTGAGGAAATGAGAAAGAAAGAATGAAAAAACATCACGTGTGCCTCACGTTTTCTGTTTTCCGCGGGTTAATGCTGACGTGGATGTTTCTTATTGGGTGGATGAGTTCTTTTTTTGGTAACATTTTTATAATTGGGTGGATGACATCGTACCTTGGTTTTGTTTAAACAATTAGAAACTTGGTCTCTCCTTATATAACTTTTGCAAGAGGAGAACATAGATTCGGACTGGTTCATCTAACTTCATTTATCATTTTAAAATTTTCTTCGAATTGTTGAATAAAGTTGCTGTTATTATTTTAATTAACTAAAAAATTTCAGAAACATACTGAAAGTTCGTGGGAAAATACTATTTGCATTTTTAATTAGATGTTAAAATAACAATTAACTCGTTCGAAAAGGACAAAACTTGGGAAAACGGCCAAAACATGCCCAAACTTACACCATATGTTCAATTCATACCTCAAGTATAACACCCTAAAAATGCATACCCAAACAATTGAAAAAATCAAATTTCATATCTAAAGTTTTTTTTTTGTCGATATCATACAATTGCGGTGACCTGGCTAATTATCAGTTAACGGTTGATGACGTGTCTAATGGTCCGTTAAAAATTGCTGACATGGATTAACTGTAGTCAACGGTGTTGGTTTGATATAAACCCAAAATTAAAGAAGTAGACGAAACGACGTCGTTAAAGTTGTTTTGTTCTCTAGCAAATTAAACGACATAGTTTTTGGGTATCTTCTTCAACTCTTTTACCCGATGAACTAGACAAATTGGGAAAAGTAATTTACTGATTTCAACATGATCTTGAAGAAAGCAACAATTCTAAACTCGCCATTGAGAAGATTCAGTCCACGGACATCAAATTTCAATTCATGGGTCTTCATAACCAGGAATCTCGAAGATCTTTGTCCAATTCAAATTTGATTTTTGTACTTGAGCAATATCGATCTATTAAAGAATATCTCAGAGAGAGATACAATCTCGAAGACCTAATTCAGTTCGTTTAGAGCCCAATACAGTGATTGTTATGTAGATGAATTTCCAGCAATTTCCGATTGTCTAGCTCTTCGGTTGGCTCCGGCGTCGGAGTCGGGTTCCGATATTCCAAAAGCTTAACCAAACACTCAATTTCATTTTTTCTAATACAATTGAACTATGAAAAACCCTTTATTGATTCCTTTTCTTTCCTAGACAAATAATTCTTTGTCATATTAATCTGGGAATCTGTAATTTCTTTATCTTCTTGTTCGTTTGAGGTGGAAGCAGAGCTCTGTTTTGTGACGTTACCGATGAACATGGATGTGAGATGAAATGAGTTGTTGTTACTAAATCTCACCAATTTTGCGACTTAGATTGCAGAAAGTTTGGGCATTCATAGATAAAATAACTCAATTCTCTTTTCTTTAAACTTCACTCTCCAATTTCCCAGATCCAACTTTCTTACCTAATTATCATCTTTTACCTTCTTCCTAAGCTCCACTTTGACTCGTTGGCGATTGTGTGATAATTGACAAGTCGATTAGGCTAATCCATTCACCATTAATGGCAGCTTCACAAGGAGCAATCTCAACAAGAACAGGAAACGCTAAAACGGTACCCTCTTGGAGGCTCACGAAAGAGATGAAAGACGAAATAAAACAAGTCTCATAAAACAATGTTGTTTTTCTTGTAATTTTTAATTATGTTTTCCAATTATGTTTCCTTAAAAATAATTCAGAATAATATGTGGCATCCACGTCATCAATATTTAACGGATTGTTTAAACAGTGCCGGCAACTGTATGATATCAGCAAAAAAATAAACTTTAGGTATGAAATTTGAATTTTTCATTGTTTGGGTATGTATTTTTAGAGTGGTATACTTGAGGTATGAATTGAACATATGGTGTAAGTTTGGGCATGTTTTGGCCGTTTCCCGACAAGACTCCTAACAAGTACTCTGTATATACTTTCCGGTAGAGGATCAGGAGAAAACCACTGAAAAGTTACCACGTGTCACACGGATAAAGATACAAACGCAGGTGAACAAGTTATGTACTTCCTTCCTTCTGTAGACGAAAACATAAGATTCTCTTACCACGTGTGTCTGACGCAGTTGTTAAAAAAAAAACGTGTGTCTGACGCTTTGTTAACTATAGGAGCACGTGCTTTACTCCGTTACGGCGTTAGACTCCTTTTTTCAGTAAAAAATATACTCGAGTATCCGGTTTGGAGCTCCATTGTCTGCACTCTTCTTGGGCTTAGTGAATTCAACAACTGGCCCAAACGTGAACCCGAAGGTCCAAAAGCTTTTAGGTTTTTATACACTATTCTTGTGAATCCGAAGGTTCAAAATTCCCATTGTGAAGCTGATATTGACATGTTGGTCTTTTATTTTAGTTGCTTCAACTTATGTGACAATTTCAATAGGATTTCTTGTACTTTATGTGCTTCGATTGTCTATGGCGTCGTGCATGGCTTCGCATTGTCGATGCTTTCATAGCCATTGTGAAAAGAACTATGTTTCCTTGAAATCAAACAAAACAAATAGTGATATTACCTTTGGAAAGAAAGTTGCCTTACAGCTCAAGCAACTAACACGAAACAAACATTGATACAGCCAAGTCGATAGTTTTCACCAAGACACATCTTCAAAAAATACGTAACGAAACATGATCATAGAGAACATCTAAGATGAAAAAAAAAAATAGGAAAGAAGAAAAAGCATACCTTCCTATCAAGTATGGAGAAATCTGTAATGGTTTCATTATACAACAGCCTATTTTCCATGCATGCTAAACCAAATCAAATTCCGTTTTAAACATCATCAACAATCGTTATCTTGAAATGATATTATTCTAATTGTTTTTCTTTCTCAACCCAACTAGTCCAAATTATTTAATACAAACAATTATACGAGTCCAGAGCTAAACAAAGATCTTGTTTTTTCTACGTATAAAAATTCATTTACCTACCAGAAGAATCTTGAACGTGCTAAGGCGTTGCTTTCAATGTTATCTTCATTTGATAATTACATATTTACATTGGTGGGCGAGAATCACGTTGAAGACCAAACACTTATCTTACAAGATATATTTAATGCGAAATAACTACGTTGCCCACAATAGCGAAGAGAGTCCAAGTGAAGTGAGAAAATACCATCTTCAACAATGGCGAATAACCTAATCAAGATCTCTCGAGTCGGCCCTGCAACAAATTTGGTCGACCCTCTCATTCTCCCACTCACTTTCTTTGATCTGGTGTGGCTGACAGACATTCCTACGAACCGAGTCAACTTTTACAAACTCACCGAGTCATCTAGCGACTCCTTCTACTCCGTGATCCTCCCCAAGCTCGAGCAATCCCTTTCCCTTGTCCTCACACACTTTCCTCCTCTCTCCGGTCACGTCAAGTGGGACCAACAAGATCCTAAGCCGCACATCGTCGTCTTCCCGCAAGACGTGTCTCTCTCACAGTGGCCGAGTCCGACGCTGACTTCTCTCATGTTTCCGGCAAAGGGCTTCGTCACCAGACCGAGTTACACGCTCTAGTCCGAGTTACCGGCTTCCTCTGACTCAGCCTCTATTCTAACTTTGCAAATCACTTTTTTCCCGAAGCAAGGCTTTTGCATCGGAGCCACAATCAACCATGCTTGCTATGGACGGCAAAACTGTGGTGAAGTTTCTCAAACATGGGCTCACATCTGCAAGTACGGAACAACACCGCAAGATATTGATTTACCTATGCTTTTAGATCGTACGGTCATCAACATTCCAGCGGAACTCGAATGGAAGTTCTTCAAACTCCAGCCGTATCTCTCACAGGACAAAGCCAACGTAAGAACCCTAAAGTTTCCTTACGCCAAAGACGGAAGATCTCGTAAGGATCACCCTAGAGCTTACTCAAGAGAACGTGAAGAAACTGAGAGAGAGAGTCACAAGCAAGTCGTCTCGCTCTGATCTTCACTTGTCAACTTTCGTACTCACTTACGCCTACGTATTGACATGTGTGGTGAAGGCACGTGGAGACGAAGGAGATCGACTAGTTCCTTTCACGTTCGTTGCTGATTTCAGAGACCGGTTAGACCCGCCGGTTCCTGTGAACTACTACGGGAACTGCGTTGTACCTATCAGCTTCTCTGGAGACAAAGCCAAGATGTTTTCAGGAGAAGATGGATTCGTCAATGCAGTGAAGATTCTAAGCGATTCGGTCAATGGTTTGAATTCACGTGGGGCTGAGTCAATATGGGAGTTGTACGAGGAAGGATTAAAAAAGATGGAGCTAGGTAGCACACAGAAGCTGTCCGTTTCCGGGTCTAACAAGTTTGGGATATACGGGTCGGATTTTGGGTGGGGAAGACCCGTTAGTACTGAGAATATATCCATCAGCCACAATGTTCTGTTTTCTATGTCGGAGAGGAGGGATGAGATTGGTGGTGTGGAGATTGGTATGTGTTTGAAGAAATGTGTCATGGATAGTTTTATTTCTGCGTTTCAAAATGGATTGTAAAAACTAGAAAAAGAAAAATTATGTTTTTTAATCATTCATGATAATATTACGTCTTGTTGAACCTCTTCAGGATCACGTAAAAGGATTTTTTTTTTTATATATGTATACTTAGCTTATTTTATGAAATAATATATTATTGTTGGAATAAATAAATATTCACATTCATAAAAATATCGAATTAAAACATGCAAGCTCTGGAAAGTTTGAACTTTGAAGCATTTTGAGTAATAAATATCCGAACATGAACCATGACCATGACCAAACCAAAACTGAATCAAAATACTTATTCCTCATCCCGGAAAATACAGAACCGGTCAATTCCTGACCAAAATCAATCCATACATATATGTTCAGGCCTATAAAATACTTCTTATCCAAATTTGTTTATACAAATAATAATGAATTCATAACAACTCCATTATCCAGATTGGAGATCAATAGCTCCATTATTCCTCTTCGGATAAGAATTTCAAAAATATACTACTAATATTTATTTTGTTTCTTTGTGGAATCACATCAATAGCTCCATTACCGAACATCAAGTTCTTGTCTTTAGAATATAAAAAAAAAATTACATACTGAATATAAGTCCACAAAAACTGATTCGATCAAAAAATCAGACCAAGATTTGAAGCAATTTTTTTTAATATACTTTTAATTATTCCTTTATTCTTATATATAAAAGAAAATCGAATTTGAATTTAAACATAACCTTTGCTTTCTTATCAAAAGCATCTTCAACCTGGTGATGCGTTGCTTCTATTGAATTAATAATCACAACGTTCATTTTGTCTCAAAATATAATGACATGAATTTAGCCAATCATACAAAAAATTTAAGAACTTGAAAGTGAAATAATCAAATAACATTAAAATTTGCATGAAAACTCGTTAAACATCTTATAAATTAAAACACAATTCTTTTTATTAAACATCTTATATTATGAAAAGAGAGAAAGTGATTGATAAAGTTTGTTTTGGTAGACCAAACACAACCAAACACTAATCTCACGAGATATATAATTAATAATTGGTCCCATTAATAATGGATAAAGTTTCATAACAACTACGTAGTTGTCCACAAATGCATGTCCGAACATTTATATAAAAGAGCGTCCAAGTGAGACATCACTCTCTCATTCTCTCACTCACTTTCTTCAACAATGGCGAATAACGTAATCAAGATCTCTCGAGTCGGTCCTACAACAAGTTTGGTCGACCCTCTCATTCTCCCTCTCACTTTCTTCGATCTGGTGTGGCTAACAGACAATCCTACGAGCCGAGTCACCTTCTACAAATTCACTGAGTCATCTCACGACTCCTTCTACTCAGTGATCCTCCCCAAGCTCGAACAATCACTTTCCCTTGTCCTCACACACTTTCTCCCTCTCTCCGGTCACGTCAAATGGAACCCACAAGATCCTAAGCCGCACATCATCGTCTTCCCACATGACGGTGTTCCTCTCACAGTGGCCGAGTCCGAAGCTGATTTCTCACGTCTCACCGGCAAAGGGCTTCGTCACCGGACCGAGCTACGCGCTCTAGCGCCCGAGTTACCCGTTTCCTCTGACTCAGCACCTGTTCTTACTCTGCAAATCACCTTGTTCCCTAACCAAGGCTTTTGCATCGGAATCACAATCCACCATCTTGCCGTGGACGGCAACACTGTGGTGAAGTTTCTCAAATCTTGGGCTCACATCTCTAAGTACGGAACATTACCGAAAAATGTTCATTTACCTATGCTTTTAGATCGTACGGTCATCAACATTCCAACAGAACTCGAATCCAAGATCTTCGAATTCCCGCCGTTCATCTCACAGGACAAAACCTACGTAAGAGCCCTAAAGCTCCCTCCAACCAAAGACACCGAAGATGTCGTCAAGATGACACTCGAGCTGACTCAAGAGAACGTTGAAAAACTCAAAGAACGAGTCAAGAACGTATCAACTCGAACCGATCTTCACCTGTCGACTTTTGTAGTCACTTACGCTTACGTATTGACATGTGTGGTGAAGGCGCGTGGAGACGACGCTGATCAACTAGTTCCTTTCACGTACGTTGCTGATTTCAGAGACCGGTTAGACCCACCGGTTCCGGTTAACTACTTTGGGAACTGTGTGTTACCTATCAATTTCTCTGGAGACAAAGCCAATACGTTTTTGGGAGAAGATGGATTCGTCAATGCTGTCAAGATTCTCAGCGATTCGATCAGAGGTGTGAGCTCGCGAGGAGCTGAGTCCATATGGGAGTTGTATGAGGAAGGATTAAAGAAGATCGAAAAAATTACACAGAAGAAGCTGTCTGTTGCTGGATCTAACAAGTTTGGGATATACGGGTCGGATTTTGGGTGGGGAAGACCCGTTAGTACAGAGAACGTATCTATTAGCCCAAACCTTCTCTTCTCTATGTCGGAGAGGAGGGATGAGACAGGTGGTGTGGAGATTGGTATGTGTTTGAAGAAACATGAGATGGATGCTTTTGTTTCTCATTTTCAAAATGGATTGTAAAATACTAAAACCAATTATGTAACATCTAAGTTTGGAAGCGTGAAGAGACAAAATTTCGAGGTGTAACTTGTGTATTACGTTTTTAATGAAAAAAAGGAAATACGTTTCCTTGTAACAATTTAATATAAAAAAGGAGAAAAAAAGGAAATTCCTATTCAACATTGGGTTAGAAATATATATTTGTCTAAAATTGTTTTAACAACAGGTAACAAGACAGTAAAGTCGGATGGTCTGAAACAGGATTTGAAGCAAATGTTTTTAATATCTTTAAATTGTTCCTTTATCTCTATATCCACAAAATCGAATTGGATTTAAACATAATTTGTGTTTTCTTACCAAAAGGATCTTCCACCTGCTGGTGTGTACGCTTCTCTTGAAATAACTACAGTAATCACAAAGTTTATTAATATTCATTTCGTTTTAAAATACATGATGTCTTGGATTCAGCCAGTCATACAAACAAAACTGAAAATTAAAACATTAAACTATAAAATAACATATAATTTTAAACAAATATTGATCTACCGAAAACATACATAATTTCCAATATGTGCGTAAAATACACCTAATATTGATCTACCGAAAACATACATAATTTTCTCTAAATTTGAAATTAATTATTAACTCATTAAAGTCAACCATACACCCGCGCAGTAGGCGAGGCAATCATCTAGTTATTAAAATGATGATGTCAGATTTGGTACACCTAACACTAATCTCGACAGATATATAACTAATAATTGGTCCCATTAATAATTGATAACGTTTCATAACAAGTACGTACGTAGTTGCCCACAAATGGATGTCCGAACATTTATATAAAAGAGCGTCCAAGTGAGAGATGAGATCACCCTCTCATTCCAACACACATGCACTTTCTTCAACAATGGCGATTAACGTAATCAAGATCTCTCGAGTCGGTCCTGCAACAAGTTTAGTCGACCCTCTCATTCTCCCACTAAAACTCAATCCGACGTACCGAGTCAACTTTTACAAACTCACCGAGTCATCTAGCGACTCCTTCCACTCAGTGATCCTCCCCAGCCTCGAGCAATCCATCTCCCTTGTCCTCACACACTTTCTCCCTCTCTCCGGTCACGTCAAGTGGAACCCACAAGATCCTAAACCTCACATACTCGTCTTGCCGCAAGACGCCGTCTCTCTCACAGTGGCAGAGTCCGACGCTGATTTCTCTCGTCTTACCGGCAAAGGGCTTCGTCACCAGACTGAGTTACACTCTCTAGTGTCCGAGTTACCTGTTTCCTCTGACTCAGCCTCTATTCTTACTCTACAAGTCACCTTTTTCCCGAAGCAAGGCTTCTCCATCGGAGCCACAATCAACCATGTTGCCATGGACGGTAAAACTGTGGTGAATTTTTTCAAAACATGGGCTCACATCTCTAAGCACGGAACAATACCGCAAGATATTCAGTTACCTATGCTTTTAGATCGTACGGTCATCAACATTCCAACGGAACTCGAATCCAAGATCTTCCAATTCCCGCCGTATATCTCAGAGGACAAAACCTACGTACGAGCTCTAAAGATTCCACAAACAAAAGACACCGAAGATGTCGTCAAGATGACACTCGAGCTGACCCAAGAGAACGTTGAAAAGCTCAAAGAACGAGCCAAGAGCGTCTCAACTCGCAGTGATCTTCACCTCTCGACTTTCGTAGTCACTTACGCTTACGTATTGACCTGTGTGGTGAAGGCACGTGGATACGACGCAGACCAACTAGTTCCTTTCACGTACGTTGCTGATTTCAGAGACCGGTTAGACCCGCCGGTTCCGGTTAACTACTTTGGGAACTGTGTGTTACCTATCAATTTCTCTGGAGACAAAGCCAAGACGTTTTTGGGTGAAGATGGATTCGTCAATGCTGTCAAGATTCTCAGTGATTCGATCAGAGATGTGAGCTCGCGAGGGGCCGAGTCAATTTGGGAGTTGTATGAGGAAGGATTAAAGAAGATAGATAGTACACAGAAGAAGCTGACTGTTGCTGGATCTAACAAGTTTGGGATATACGGGTCGGATTTTGGGTGGGGAAGACCCGTTACTACTGAGAATATATCCATCACCCACAACGTTCTCTTCTCTATGTCGGAGAGGAGAGATGAGACCGGTGGTGTGGAGATCGGTATGTGTTTGAAGAAACATGAGATGGATATTTTTGTTTCTCAATTTCAAAATGGATTGTAAAACCAAATATGTAACATGTAACTTGTGCATTACGTTTTTAATACTAAAACCAGATACTGTATGTAACACCTAACTTTGGAATCGTGAAGAGACAAAATTTCTAGGTGTAACTTGTGTATTACGTTTTTAATGGAAAAAAGGAAATACGTTTCCTTGTAAGTTGTAACAATAAAAAAAAAAGGAGAAAAATAGGAAATTCCTATTCCACGTCGGGTTAGAAATATCCCTATATATATTTGGATAAATTTAGTCAATATACATAGATAATCTGACAATTAAATATCTCACTAGAATAGTTGTTAATTAGATCAATATAAATACATATAGGAAAATCATACATATTTACCCCTATGAGATAAAATATAAGAAGTGATATCTTGTAAGATTTCGTGTTAACAAATACTAACAAATGATATAACATTCAAACCATTACGTGCTAACATCTAAACTATTACTTGCTAACATTACTTATTAACCAAATTAGTAAAATCATGTTAACATTTGAATCATTACACGCTAACATTCAAACCATTACAGGCTAATGTTCAAATTATTACTTGCTAACAAATTCATTAACAACAAAATGTAAACAATTTGTCATAATCTGTGTTAACAAGGTAACATAGTCTTTGTTAACAAGATAATGTGATGTTTGTTAGCAAAGAACATGGTATTTGTTAGCGAAGTGACATATTTTTTGTTAGCAAAGTAACTAAAAACTTATTAGCAAAGGGATGTAATATCTGTGAGAGAGATTTAGTACTAATTGTTAACAAGATTGTTGTGATTTTAGTAGGGGTTTTAGTGTCTTCAACCATATGAACAGTGCACATAAAAGTTGTCAGAAACAACCATTTAATTTCAGAACTATTGGTGTACATCTATTGCAATTTCCCTATATATTTAGGGCTCTCTTCTGAAATTGTTTCAACAACAAGTAACAACAGTTACAACACCGAACACCGATATTAGATCATGGAGATGGGTAAAGTCGAATGGTCTGATTTACATGAAGACCTCATCGATTTAATCGCCGATCGTGTATCCGGAAACATCGACATCGTCCGTATGAGTAGCATCTGTAAACCCTGGCGTTCCACGGTTGCGAACAAGGAGCGTTTCCCGTACCGCTTTAATCGCAACCTTCCTAATTTCAAGAAGAAGAAGACTGATCTCTCTCCCACCGCTTTCTTCCGTGTAACTCTCCCTTCTTCTTCATGCCCTAACAAAGGATGGCTGATCAAAACCAAACAATTCTCCGAGTCCAGTAAGATTAATCTCATGTCTCCTTTCTTTAACGCGGACAACACCACTACGAAACAAACCCTAGACCTTTTGAAGGTAGGGGTTTCAGAGATTCGTCAAGCTTACAACGTTGAATACGTGAGAGTGAAAGACGATAGAGGCTATGATTTTTTTGCAAATTCGGTAAGAGCTGTTCTCGTACACAATATGATTTTCAAAGTCGAGTGGAACAAGGAAATCTGGTGTTGCAAGATCGTAGAAGAGAGTGAAAAAAAAGAAGAAGAGAAAAAAGGAAAAATTGAATGGAGACGCATCGAAAGCAAAGAAGCTGAATTATTCTCAGATATTATAGTCCAAAAAGGTCAAATCTATGCCTTAGACTTAAAAGGCGCAATCTGGTGGATTAGTCTCTCAGAGCTCAAGATTTTTCAATACAGACCTTCGACTCCAGTAATACAAGACTACTTCCACATGGGTGATTACTGCAAAGACAAGAGACTCGTGGAGTATTGTGGAGATTTATGTGTTGTTCTTCGTTTATGTAAGATATTCCGCGAATGGAGAGGTGATAAAGAGAGGACGGTTGGTTTCACGGTTTATAAGATGGACAAGAATTTGGTCGAATGGGTTGAGGTTAGTTCCTTGGGAGACAAGGCAATCATTATGTGCATGGAGAGTTGTTTAGTGGTCTCAGCCTCGGAGTACTATGGATGTTTGGAGAACGCTATCTACTTCACTGATGATGATGGAAGAGATAAACGGAAGTGTGAAGATATTGTTAAAGTGTTCAAGCTTGAAGGTGGCATTATCGATTCTTCTTCTCAGAGTTTTTTAGAGATGTTCACTCCTCCCTTTCTCTGAAGATTATCTTGAATTGAATCTGGTGTGTTTGATTTCAGATTTGCGTGTCTTGCAGTTGTGAATGTGTGATCAATGTCTATAATCTTTGAGTAAACAATCATAATCCAATTTTATCTTTTTAACATTATTTTCAATCACCGGATCAAAATCTTAGTCATCTTGGTCGAGTCTTCTATATATGGCCAAAGTTTGAACACAAATGCCATGAAAAAGGCTTAGCATAACGATTCTTATTGCATAATAACAGCTTGAGGATACAATCAAGTACCAGAAAGAAAAATAATAAAAAAGTTTAGAAGTTCACAATCACAATACAATTTTAAGACCAAAATATGTCTATTTTGTAATCTTAATTTGATTTGGGGAAGTTGTTCAAAAAAAAAAAAAAAAAAAAAAAATTGATTTGGGGATATCGTAAAGAGAGCACAAATGGATTATTTAGACGCACTACACAAATGGTTTGAAGAAGCATTATTATGTTGATCATAACTGGAAACGAACGGGAGAGAAATGCAACGGCGTGTGCAAGTGTTCAAGTCTATGACCTCTTGACTGGGTCTTTGTCCTGCACAAGCTGATAGATTGAAGACACCGCTTGGACGAGTGTCATTAGCAATAGTAACGTGGCGGCGACGGTGGCCGTCCCAAACCACATGTTACCGAAATAAACGCGTTTCAGGATGGCTACTGACTTAGTGCGTGGGTTTGTATAGTGAGCGTTGACTTTAACCGCTGTATCAGAATAGTAAGAGCCAGCATTTGCGATGCCCAAACCAAGCTTGTTCACCATCTTTGCAACTGAACTGGGTTCCCCAATCCAGTTTTTAATTATCCCTTAAACAAACCAACACAAACACGCATCAATAATACACACAGCACACACACACATATAGACCTATATAAAGGATAAAAGGGGTACCTTTCTCGACAAGCAACTCAACATCTTTATCGGTGTCAATGAGGTGATCCAGGAAGTCGACGTAACTACAGACATGTGCGGTGTAAGGGTAGTGGCATTGTTCAAGCGCCATTATGTTTCTCAATATCATCTCCGAAGTATCATGGATCACAAGACGAGGCATCTTTAAACAACCATTCTCAAATCTCACCTCCAGCGAGGACTCGTCTTCCAACGCCTCGAATGTCACTCCCCCATTATGTAGCTCATCCGCGTTAAACATATGTTGTAAGTGCTTGAACACCCGTTGAGCAGGCGCTTCAAGTGATTCAACGCGGAGACACCTGGCCAAATCAGTGAAATGTCTGAAATTTGAGTCGTCTCTGATCTTATTTTTATATCCAAAGCAGAAGATGATTAATTCGCGGAATGTCTTATTCGGCATGACTCTACTGAAGATTGGATGAAAGAGATTATGGAGGATAAAGTAAGGAAGCTGATTCTCTAGCAACATGAGATCACTGATGATTGTCAGTTCAAGACAAAGCTCGTCAATGAGAGGATCCCCTGTTTTCATTCTACGAATTCTTTGATTCCTCCTTAAAAGGAACTCAAGTATGAAAACAGAGTCGAGCAGGATTATCTCCACGAACTCTGAAGATTCAATCCAAGTCGTTGACTCCGAGTAGCTTTCTCTGATTCTCTTTTCGTCTTCTTGGATTGTTCTTCTGAATCCAGTAATGGTTTCATTCCCATCAACCCTTTCTGCGAATTTAGCAAGGTAAATCTTCTTATGCTCTTCCAAGTTTACGTAGCCCATTGACTTTGTGTTTGTGATATCTCCAAGAGACCTGAGAGCTTGAGTTTTTAAATAATGGTGAAGAGGTCCAATGATGACTAGTTGGGGAGTGTATGCTTCAGCGTTTACTTTACGTAGTACTTCAGGGACTCTGTAGATGCAACAGTTCGCGAGATTATAAGGAAACTTCCACATCCCAGGACATCCCTTTGGCTTTATGGTTGACTCGGATTTGAGGATCCTGCCCAACCGCGTAAAATCCATAATCCAGAATCTGGACTTTTTACATGGAAGCAATAGTCACAACTCACAAGAGGAAGAAGATGTAATTGACAAGACCAAAAGTTGGAAAAGCTTGAGATTAGCTTTTTTTTTAATAACAATTCAAAGCGTTTTTTTCTTTGTTGCATTGAATTGAATGTAAAATAAATTTAATAAAAAAGTGGTTTAGAATGAAAATTTATTACTTCTAAAGTTTTTTGAAAAATAATCTAAGCTAGGAAAAGTCTCCCTCTGTTTTGCAATGAAGCTTTAGGTGTTTGTGCGCATAAATAACTTAATTTTTAATTCTTTCAAAACTAAAATATGGTATATTATAGCTCTAAAAAAATCCAACCAAGAGGAAAACATTATCAGAATTCAAACTGTTAAAAATAATAATAAAATACTATCAGTGGTATTTTGAAAGTTGAGTAAGTTGAAAAATCAAATCTTAAAATTTCATATATTGTGAAATAGATGGAGTAGCAGACAAGTTCTCATCATGTAGCAAACCAAGTTCTATATTATTTGTAACTTTTGTCTAAGATCAATAGTATTAACACTTATCCTAAATGGCTAAATCAGTAAATCTAATAAATAGCACATAGCATATTCAAACATTCTCCTAAATTATCAGAAAGACATACAAACTTACGTTCGAAATTCACTGCCGGGAGAAGAAGAGATGTATGGTTGAGTCTAAGCTGAAACCATGAGCTCTACAAATGGTATAGATGTTCTTATTTATTTACGGTCGGATTGATAGTTCTAATAAATAAAATAGTACTGACATATTATTTAATATTGTTTACAAGAAATGGTAACTGGTAAGGACTAAGGAGAGAGCGGTATTACTGATTATTTTACTCTTTGGTGAGATAACTACTTCATTTTAGAGCTTGTTAGTTAGTGAGTAACAATCTCTCAGTCTCTTTCTCTTAGTCATCTGGTTGTTAATTCGATTTTAATATGGCATCCGAGCCTATCTAGTTAGAGTTCAAAATTTTGGAGATTTGTAAAGACAAGGAAGGTCGAAGAATAAAAAGGACGTCTCTATTAAATAGAATTTTCGATGAACTGGTGATCAAAAATATTAAGAAGAATGGCAATTTGGAGAATAAGAAAAGGAATAATGGCTTGGAGATTGTGAAATTTATTATTCTGTTGTCATGTTGTGGAGGGACGACTTTGATTATAAAAGATTTGGTTGCAAAATGGTAGTCATCTTTGATCTTCTATGGCCAAAATTTGATAAGAAAACGATAGCAAAACCATGATTGAAACAAATGCCATGAAAAAGGCTTAGCATAACGAGTCTTATTGCATAATATCTTGAGGATACAATCAAGTACCAGAAAGAAAAAGAAAAAAGAAGTCTACAAGTTCACAATCACAATACAATTGTAAGACCAAAATATGTGTATATCTTGTAATCCTAATTTTATTTGGGGACATCGTAAAAGATAGCACAAACAGATTATTTAAACGCACTACACAAATTATTTGAAGAACCATAACTGGAAACGAACGGGAGAGAAATGCAACGGCGTGTCTAAGCGTTCTGCAAAACCTGAATGATTGAAGCAACCGTCTGGACGAGTGTCATCAGCAATAGTGACGTGGCGGCGACAGTTGCCGTCCCAATCCACATGTTACCGAAATAAACGCGTTTCAGGATGGCTTTTGACCTAGTCAGTGGGTTTGTATAGTGAGCGTTGACTTTATCCGCTATATCATAATAGTAAGAGCCATTATTTATGGTGCCCAAACAGAGCTTGTTCACCATATTTGCGACCGAGCTGGGTTGCCCAATCCAGTTTTTTATTATCCCTTACAAAACAAACCAAAACCATCACGAATCAATAATACACACACACAGAGACACACAGACAAGTAGACCTCAATAAAGGATAAAAGGGTTACCTTTCTCCACAAGCAACTCGACATCTTTATCCGTGTCGATGAGGTAATCCAGGAAGGTGACGTAACTAGAGACATATGCGGTGTAAGGGTAGTGGCATTGTTCAAGCGCCATTATGTTTCTCAATGTCATTTCCGAACTATCAGCGATCAAAAGACGAGGCATCTTTAAAACACCATTCTCAAATCTCACCTCCAGAGAGAGCTTTTCTTCCAACGCCTCGAATTTCACTCCCCCACTATGTAGCTTATCTGCGTTTAACATATGTTCAAAGTGTTTGAATTCCCGTTGAGCACGCCCTTGAAGTGATTCAACGCGGACACATCTGGCCAAATCAGTGAAATGACTGAAATTTGAGTCGTCTCCGATCTTGTTTTTGAATCCAAAGCAGCTGATGATCAATCGACGGAATGCAAAGTCTGAAGAGAAGAGTGGATGGAAGAGGTTATGGATGATAAAGTAAGGAAGCTGGTTCTCTAACAAGGTGAGGTCATTGTTGATTGTCTCTCTAAGACAAGGCTCGTCAATGAGAGGATCCCCTGTTTTCACTCCACGAATATTGAAAACGTTCCTTCGAAAGAACTCTAGTATGAAAACAGAGTCGAGCAGGATCATCTCCACGAACTCTGAAGATTCAATCCATGTCGTTGATTCTGAGTAGCTTTCTCTGATTCTCTCTTCCTCTTGTTTGATTGTTCTTCTGAAAGAATCAATGGTTTCATTCCCATCAAACCTTTCTCCAAATTTAGCAAGGTAGATTTTCTTATTCGCTTCCACGTTTAAGTAGCCCACTGACTTTGTGTTTGTGATATCTCCAAGAGACCTGAGAGCTTGGGATTTCATATGATGGTGAAGAGGTCCAATGATGACTAGTTGGGGAGTGTATGCTTCTGTGTTTACTCTTCGCAGACTTTCAGGGACTCTGTAGATGCAACACTTGTTGGGATCTTTAGGAAACTGCCACATCCCAGGGAATCCCTTTGGCTCTGTGGTTGACTTGGATTTGAACTTCCTGCTCAGCCCTGTGGAATCCATAATCCAGAATCTGGAATTTTACGTGGAAGCAATACTCACGAGAGGAAGAAGAGAAAAAAAATTGGAGAAGCTGAAGATTATCTATTAACCTTATCATTATTTTCTCTCTCTCTCTCTTCTTTGGCCACAAACATCTCCATCATTTTTCTTCTTGTCCTTTTCTTTCTATCTCTCTCGCATTCATTTCTTTGTCGCAAACAGAAAAATAATTTCTATCCCATTTCCCCGATATGTAATCACTCAATACATAAATCATTGCCATTTTCTATTTCTGTTTCGCCGATGATAAGATTTGTCATCAACATTTTTTTTTTTCAATTTTTTCCCTAATCCCAGGAGACATCAAGATTCTAAATCTATATCCATCGTGCATTCGTGCTAAAGTTACATTGTATGTCGCGACGACTTGTACACAGTAAAAAACTATGTACATGTACAAAGTTGTTAGACAATGTGCTATGGAGTGAAATTATGCTTAAAATCTAGAAGGCTAACTCTCATTGAATTCAAAGTTCTAAGCAAGCATTACAATCCAGTTTGATATATACATAACACCTTATTATCAATTCCGATTGGCTAAGGATGTTATGCTCATCTAGGTTATTTTCACGAATTTGATCACACACTTTCGGTGCCCTAAATATTCTAATATTATGAACTAAATGATCAACTAGTTCAAGCAACAAGATCAACCTAAATGAAGAAGCCAACAAATAAATCCCTATCTATCATTCTCTAACCATTCATTCATAGAATCCTTTGAAAACCCCAAACCCTAACAAGATGACTACTCACTCATAGTGAATGAGAAATCACAAAATACAGAGTCACAGAGATGAATTGCATAATGATATGAAGAAAAATTAGAATTGGGTTTAGAAATTTCTCCAAAAGGCAGAGTATGAGATTTGTCTTTCCAAAGCTTAGAAGGAAAAGCTGCTCAAAAATCTTTTAAGAAAAGTAAGGGTAGCCTAAACAATGGCTGAAAATATATAGGTCTAGATACAGTTCAGAGTCGAACTGGTTTTCTTCCGGTTAGTTTTGGGTGGAAATAAAAAAACCGGAAATTCTCTTTTCTGCGAACAGGTCAGGATCGATAGATCCATGCAGGAACGATCGATCCATGATAGGCAACAATGGATCTCTTGTAGACCGATCGATCTGTGAAGCTCCTGTGAAAAAGTCGGAATCGGCATGCGATGGATCGATCGATCCAATAAGAGGACCGATCGGTCAGCGAAGGATCGATGGTTCTTTGAAATCCCTGCCAATTTCACGCTCCGTTTTGCTCTGTTTTGCCTCTTGTCCTCCTTGTGATCAGAACGTCTTTAGACCTGAAATGAGTTGATAAAGACCAAAAAGACTCTATAAACTCATGAAAACGTTAGTTAGAATGCGTTATAAAAACAAGACATGATTTAGTCTCTCAGAATTCGAGATTTTCCAGTACATACCTTCAACTCCAGTAATACAAGACTACTACCACGCTGGTAATTACTGCAAAGACAAGATTTATGTGGAATATTGCGGAGATTTATGTGTGTTTTTCATCGTTTATGTAAGATATTAGCGACATAGAGAGGACGGTTGGTTTCAAGGTTTATAAGATGGACAAGAAGTTGGTAGAATGGGTAGAGGTTAGTTCCTTGGGAGACAAGGCAATCATTATGTGTATGGCGAGTTTTTTAATGGTCTCAGCTTCCGAGTACTATGGATGTTTGGAGAACGCTATCTACTTCACTGATGATGATGGAAGAGATAAAGTGAAGGGCGAAGATGTTGTTAGAGTGTTCAAGCTTGAAGATAACATGATTGATTATTCTTCTCATAGTTTTTTAGAGATGTTCAGATTATCTTGAATTGAATCTGCTGTGTTTGCTTTCAGTTTTGCGTGTCTTGCAGTTGTGAATGTATGATCAATGTCTATAATCTTTGAATAAATTAACAATCATAATCCAATTTATTTTTTGAACATTATTTTCAATCACCGGATCAAAACCGTAGTCATCTTGGCCAAAGTTTGGTACGAAAACAATAACAAAACCATGATTGAAACAAATGCCATGAAAACGCTTAGCATAACGAGTCTTAATTATTGCATAATAGCTTGAGGATACAATCAAGTACCAGAAAGAAAGAAAAAAACAAGTCTACAAGTTCACAATCACAATACTATTTTAAGACCAGTTTTATTTGGGGACATCGTAAAAGAGAGCACAAATGGATTATATAGACAAATCATTTGAAGAACGATTATTCTGTTGATCATAACTCGAAACGAACGGGAGAAAAATGCAACGGCGTGTTTAAGCGTTCTGCAAAACCTGAATGACTGAAGACACCGCCTGGACGAGTGTCATAAGCAATAGTAACGCGGCGGCTACAGTGGCCGTCCCAAGCCACATGTTACCGAAATAACCGCGTTTCAGGATGGCGAATGACTTAGTGAGTGGGCTTGAATAGTGAGCATTGACTTTAACCGCTATATCATAATAGTAGGAACCAGAATCTGCGATGCCCAAACCAAGCTTGTTCACCATCTTTGCAACTGAACTGGGTTCCCCAATCCAGCTTTTAATTATCCCTTACAAAACAAACCAACACAATCACGCATCAATAATACACACACACACATAGACCTATATAAAGGATAATAAAAGGGTTACCTTTCTCGACAAGCAACTCCACATCTTTATCGGTGTCGATGAGGTAATCCATGAACAAGACATAACTACTGACATGTGCGGTGTGAGGGTAGTGGCATTGTTCAAGCGCCATTATGTTTCTCAAAGTCATCTCCGATCTATCACTAATCGTAAGACAAGGCATCTTTAAACAACCATTCACAAAGCTCACCTCCAGCGAGAGCTCTTCTGCCAACACCTCGAACTTCACTCCCCCACTATGTAGCTTATCCGCGTTAAACATATGTTCAAAGTGTTTGAATTCCGGTTGAGCGCGCCCTTGAAGTTTCTCAACGCGGACACACCTGGCCAAATCAGTGAAATGTCTGAAATTTGAGCTGTTTCCGATCTTATCTCTGAATCCGAAGACGAAGATGATCAATTCGCGGAATGTCCTGTTCGGCATGACTATAGGGAAGATTAGATCGAAGAGTTTACTGAGGATAAAGTAAGGAAGCTGATTCTCTAGCAACATGAGATCATTCATGATTGTGAATCCAACACAAGGCTCGTCAATGAGAGGATCCCCTGTCTTCATTCCACGAATTCTATGAATCCTCCTTAAATTGAACTCTAGTATGAAAACAGAGTCGTGCAAGATCATATCCACGAACTCGGAAGATTCAATCCAAGTCGTTGATTCCGAGTAGCTTTCTCGGATTATCTTTTCGTGTTGTTTGATTGTTCTTCTAAAACCATCAATGGTTTCATTCCCATCAAGCCTTTCTCCGAATTTAGCAAGGTAAATCTTCTTATGCTCTTCCAAGTTTACGTAGCCCATTGACTTTGTGTTTGGGACATCTCCTAGAGAGTTGAGAGCTTGAGTTTTCATATAATGGTGAAGAGGTCCAATGATGACTAGTTGGGGAGTATATGCTTCTGAGTTTACACTACGCAGTATTTCAGGGACTCTGTAGATGCAACACTTCTCGGGATCTTTAGGAAACTTCCACATCCCAGGATATCCCTTTGGCTCTGTGGTTGACTCGGATTTGAAGATCCTCCCCAACCGCGTAAAATCCATAATCCAGAATCTGGACTTTTACATGAAGCAATAGTCACAAGAGGAAGAAGAAGACAGTAAATGACGAAAGAATTGAATAAACTTGAAAAGCTGAAGATTATCTTTTTTGATAAAAAGTCAAAAGGATTCATATGATTTTTTTTTTATGTTGTTGAATTGAATTCAATGTAAGACTAATTAAAAGAAAAACGTTTTTACAATGAAAATTGTATAGAAGCTTTTCCGAAGATAATATAAGCTAAAATAAAAGTATACAAGTTCTCATCAGGTAGCAAACCAAGTCTGCTATCCCTTTGTGGTACTACATCACCCATACAAGATTTTAGAAGTTACTTGTTCATGATTTTCTATTTCCGTTTCTAATAAGATTAAACATAACTTCAACTCTATATCACATGTAACTTTGTTAAGAACATCAATAGTACTATTGGCACTTTCCTATATATAATAAATAACACATAGCATATTCAGACAATCGCTTAAACTATCAGAAAGACATACAAACTTACGTTCAAAATTTACTGTCGGGGAGAAGAAGCGATGGATGGTTGAGTCAAAGCTGAAAACAGGAGTTTCTTGAAATGGTATATATGTTACTATTTATTTAGGATCTGATCAGTGCCAGGCTCTGAGGCATTGCGAGATAGGCGACCACCATGGGCGCACCACTTTGTATTTTAAACTTTCACATATTTTTTCTTTTCTTATTGACACATTTACTAGGCTGTCAAAATTATAGAGCGGGGGCTGGATCTGATCGATAGTCATAATTTCATAATAAATAGAACAGTACATGCATATTATTAGTTACAAGAAATGGTACAGGTAAGGAGAGTTACTGATTCAGCCCCGGCTGTATTGAATAATGTGCATATCATTACTGGTTATTTTATTTTTTGGTGACATAGTTGCCGGTTGTTAAAGCATTTCTACTGGTGAGATATCTTTTAGGGGTTCTCAAACATATAAAAAAGGCACTTAAATACAATTCATCTACATGATTAAATTTTAATTTTTAAAGAAAGTAACTAATAAGAAAGAGTCAAATGGCATTTGGGTTCACAAGAGGTTCTCATAATAATTTTTTTTTTTGAATTACTAAGAGGTTCTGGGCCCGAAACCACGATATGTAATATTGGTTTCGTCCCAAACGGCACTGTGACCTCTGTAGCTTTGCGTAGGGTCCTTAAGTCGAGCTATAGCTCTAAATTTCAAATGAAACACGATTCTACATCTCTCTTCTACTTTTTTTTTTTTGTCATTATTTATATCTTGAGATATCCATTAAGAACACCTTGATGGCAATGCTTTTAGAGCTTGTTAGTTAGTTAGTAACAATCCTCAATCTCTTTCTCTCTCAATCATTTGGTTGTCAATTCGATTCTAATATGGTATTAGATTTTGATTCTTTTCTGAGATTTGAGACGACAAGGAAGGAAGGTGGAAGAATAAAAGGACGTGTCTATCAAATATATTTTTCGATGAATTGGTGATAAGAGTACTGTATTAAGAAGAGTGGAAATTTGGAGTTTCGTGGAACTACTGCAAAGACTACTTCCACATGGGTGATTACTGCAAAGACAAGAGACTCGTTGAGTATTGTGGAGATTTATGTGTTGTTCTTCGTTTATGTAAGATATTCCGCGGATGGAGAGGTGATAAAGAGAGGACGGTTGGTTTCAAGGTTTATAAGATGGACAAGAATTTGGTCGAATGGGTTGAGGTTAGTTCCTTGGGAGACAAGGCAATCATTATGTGCATGGAGAGTTGTTTAATGGTCTCAGCCTCCGAGTACTATGGATGTTTGGAGAACGCTATCTACTTCACTGATGATGATGGAAGAGATAAACGGAAGGGTGAAGATGTTGTTAAAGTGTTCAAGCTTGATGGTGGCATGATCGATTCTTCTTCTCAGAGTTTTTTAGAGATGTTCACTCCTCCCTTTCTCTGATATTATCTTGACTTGAATCTGGTGTGTTTGCTTTCAGTTTTGCGTGTCTTGCAATTGTGAATGTGTGATCAATGTCTATAATCTTTGAATAGAGAATCAAAATCCAATTTTATTTTTTGAACATTATTTTCAATCACCGAATCAAAACCGTAGTCATCTTGGTCTTCTATGGCCAAAGTTTGGTAAGAAAACGATAGCAAAACCATGAGTGAAACAAATGCCATGAAAATGGCTTAGGAAAACAAGTCTTATTGCATAATAGCTTGAGGATACAGTCAAGTACCAGAAAGAAAAGTAATAATTTTTTTTACAAGTTCACAATCACAATACAATTGTAAGACCAGAATATGTCTATTTGTAATCTTAATTTTATTTGGGGATATTTAAAGAGAGCACAAACGGATAATTTAGACGCACTCACAAATTATTTGAAAAACCATTGTTATGTTGATCATAACTGGAAACGAACCGGAGAGAAATGCAACGGCGTGTGTAGTGTTCAAGTCTATGTCCTCTTGACTGGGTCTTTGTCATGCACAAGCTGGTTGACTGAAGACACCATCTGGAGGAATGTCATAATCAATAGTAACGTGGCGGCTACAGTGGCCGTTCCAAGCCACATGTTACCGAAATAAACGCGTTTCAGGATGGCGTGTGACCTAGTCAGTGGGTTTGAATAGTGAGCGTGGACTTTAACCGCTACATCATAATAGTAAGAGCCTTGATTAATAATGCCCATTCCGAGCTTGTTCACCATCTCTGCCACCGAGCTGGGCTGCCCAATCATGTTTTTTAATATCCCTTATAAAACAAACCAGAACCACCACGAATCAATATACACACATAGACCTAAATAAAGGAGGGGATAAAAGGGTTACCTTTCTCGACAAGCAAGTCGACATCTTTATCCGTGTCGATTAGGTAATCCATGAATTCAACGTAACTACAGACATGTACGGTGTGAGGGTAGTGGCATTGCTCAAGCGCCATTATGTTTCTCAAAGTCATCTCCGAAGTATCATGGATCCAAAGACAAGGCATCTTTAAACAACCATTCTCAAATCTCACCTCCAGCGACAACTCTTCTTCCAATGCCTCGAATTTCACTCCCCCACTATGTAGCTTATCCGCGTTAAACAAATGGTGTAAGTGCTTGAATTCATGTTGACCAGGCCCTTGAAGTTTTTCAACGCGGACACATCTGGCCAAATCAGTGAAATGACTGAAATTTGAGTCGTCTCCGATCTTATATCTGAATCCAAAGTAGGTGGTGATCAATTCGCGGAATGTTAAGGGCAGGATGCGTGTAGGGTAGATTGGATGGAAGAGCTTATGGAGGATGAAATAAGGAAGCTGATTCTCTAGCAACATGAGATCATTGTTGATTGTCTCTGCAAGACAAAGGTCGTCAATGAGAGGATCCCCTGTTTTCACTCCAACAATGCTAAAACCCTTCCTTAAAAAGAACTCTAGTATGAAAACAGAGTCAAGCAGGATCATCTCCACGAACTCTGAAGATTCAATCCAGGTCGTTGATTCCGAGTAGCTTTCTCTGATTCTCTCTTCCTCTTGTTCGATTGTTCTTCTAAAACCATCAATGGTTTCATTCACATCAGGCCTTTTTGCGAATTTAGCAAGGTAGATCTTCTTATGCGCTTCCACGTTCACGTACCCCATCGACTTTGTGTCTTTGATATCTCCAAGAGATTTGAGAGCTTGAGATTTTAAAGAATGGTGAAGAGGTCCAATGATGACTAGTTGGGGAGTGTATGCTTCTGCGTTTACTCTTCGCAGACTTTCAGGGACTCTGTAGATGCAACACTTGTCGGTATCTCTAGGGAACTGCCACATCCCAGGATATCCCTTTCGGTTTTTGGTTGACTCAGATTTCAAGTTCCTGCTCAGCACTGTAGTATCCATAATCCAGAATCTGGACTTTTAGATGGAAGAAATACTCACGAGAGGAACAAGAGAAGAAAATTGACAAGGCTAAAAATTGGAAAAGCTGAAGATTATCTATTAACCTTATCATTCATTATTTTCTCTCTCTTCTTTGGCCACAAACATCTCCATCAGTTTCTTCTCCTTTACCTTCTCTCTCTCCTTGTTGCATTCATTTCTTTGTGGCAAACAGAGAAATAATTCCGGTCCCATTTCACTCATTTGTAATCATTGCCATTTTCTATTTCTATCTCGTGATGAGAAGATTTGTCATCAACATTTTGTTTTCAACATTAAAAAAATCTGTACATGTACAAAGTTGTTAAGACAATGTGCTATAGAGTGAAAATACTTACACATGGACATGGTGCCATGAGACAGAATAAGTTTCTCAAAAGTGTCATGCAATTGAATTATCCCTTCAAGGATTTGTTTTTTTTTAAATGTAAAATTAATTAAAAAATAAATAAAACGTACGTTTGTTACTTATTCATGATTCTCTCTTTTTCTAATTAGATTAAGCGTAGATACCATTATACCACTCTATTGTAGAACCACATTGGTAATTAGTACAGCAAAGACAAGAGACTCGTGGAGTATTGTGGAGATTTATGTTGAATGATGACTACTCACTCATGGTGAATGAGAAATCACAAAATACAGAGATGAATTGCATGATGATATTAAGAAAAATGAGAATTGTGATCTTCTCCAAAAGGTAGAGTATGAGATTTTTCTCTCCAAAGCTTACAAGGAAAAGCTGCTCAAAAATCTCTTTAAGAAAATAAGCGTACTCTAAACAATGGTTAAAAATAGGTCTAAATAGTCCATGAGTCGAACTGGTTTTCTTCCGGTTAGTTTAGGGTGTAAGTAATAGAGATAAAACCGGAAATTCTCTTTTATGCGAACAGGTCGGGATCGATCGATCCATGCGAGGAAACATCGATCCTAGGGGAACGATCGATCTGTGAAGCTCCTGGTGAAAGCGTTGGAATCCACATGAAGTCCCTGCCAATTTCACGCTCCATTTGCTCGGTTTTGCTCATTTTCACCTCTTGTCCTCTTTGTGATCCGAACTCCACCAAGAACGTCTTTAGAATTGAAATGACTCCAAACTCCATTAGTCTCTCAGAATTCAAGATTTTCCAGTACAGACCTTCAACTCCAGTAATACAAAACAACTACCGCATTGGTGATTACTGCAAAGACAAGAGACTCGTGGAGTATTGTGGAGATTTATGTGTTGTTCTTCGTTTATGTAAGATATTCCGCGTGAAGGGAGTTGATAAAGAGAGGACGGTTGGTTTCAAGGTTTATAAGATGGACAAGAAGTTGGTAGAGTGGGTTGAGGTTAGTTCCTTGGGAGACAAGGCAATCATTATGTGTATGGAGAGTTGTTTAATGGTCTCAGCCTCCGAGTACTATGGATGTTTGGAGAAGGCTATCTACTTCACTGATGATGATGGAAGAGATAAACGGAAGGGTGAAGATATTGTTAAAGTGTTCAAGCTTGAAGGTGGCATGATCGATTCTTCTTCACAGAGTTTTTTAGAGATGTTCACTCCTCCCTTTCTCTGATATATTATCTTGAATTGAATCTGGTGTGTTTGCTTTTAGTTGTGTGTCTTGTGAATGTGAATGTGTGATCCACGTCTATAATCTTAGAATAGAGAATCATAATCCAAATTTATTTTTTGAACATTATTTCCAATCATCGAATCAAAACCGTAGTCATCTTGCTCTTCTATGGCCAAAGTTTGATAAGAAAAGGATAGCAAAACCATGATTGAACACAAATGCCATGAAAATGGCTTAGCATAACGAGTCTTATTGCATAATAGCTTGAGGATACAATCAAGTACCAGAAACAAAGAAAAAAAAAAGTCTACGAGTTCACAATCACAATACTTATTATTATAAGACCAAAATATGTCCATTTTGTAATCTTAATTTTATTTGGGGATATCGAAAAAGATAGCACAAACTGATTATTTAGACGCACTCACAAATTATTTGAAGAACCACTGTTATGTTGATCATAACTGGAAACGAACGGAGAGAAATGCAACGGCGTGTCTAGGCGTTCTGCACAACCTGAATGAGTGAAGCAACCGTCTGGATGAAAGTCAACAGCAATAGTACCGTGGCGACGATAGCTGCCGTTCCAAGCCACTTGTTCTCGAGATAAATCTGTGATTTAGTGAGTGGGTTTGAATAGTGAGCGTTGACTTTAACCGCTATATCAGAATAGTAAGAGCCAATATCGGTGATGCCCAAACCGAGCTTGTTCACCATCTCTGCCACCGAACTGGGCTGCCCAATCCAGATTTGTATTATCCCTTGTACAACAAAACCAAAACAATCACTTATCTATTATACACACACACACACACACATAGAAGTATAGAACTACTGTATATAAAGGATAAAAGGGTTACCTTTGTCGACAAGCAAGTCGACATCTTTATCGGTGTCGATGAGGCGTTCCAGGAAGAGGACGTAACTAGAGACATGTGCGGTGAAAGGGTAGTGGCATTGTTCAAGCGCCATTATGTTTCTCAATTTCATCTCCGAATTATCTTCGATCAAAAGACGAGGCATCTTTAAACAACCATTCTCAAATCTCACCTCCAATGATAACTCTTCTTGCAAGACGTCGAGTTTCACTCCCCCACTATATAGCTTCTCCGCGTTAAACAAATGGCGTAATCTCTTGAATTCATGTTGAGCAGGCCCTTGAAGTTTTTCAATGCGGACACACCTGGCCAAATCAGTGAAATGACTGAAATTTGAGTCGTCTCCGATCTTATTTCTATATCCAAAGCTGGCGGTGATTAATTCGCGGAATGTCATGTTCGAGACGAGTCTACTGAAGATTGGATGGAAGAGATTATGGAGGATAAAGTAAGGAAGCTGATTCTCTAGCAACATGAGATCACTATTGATTGTCTCTGTAAGACAAGGCTCGTCATTGAGAGGATCCCCTGTTTTCATTCCACGACGTCCAAATACCCTCCTTAAAAAGAACTCTAGTATGAAAACAGAGTCGAGCAGGATCATCTCCACGAACTCTGACGATTCAATCCATGTCGTTGATTCCGAGTAGCTTTCTCTGATTCTCTCTTCCTCTTCTTCTATTGCTCTTCTGAATCCATTAATGATATCACTCCGTGAGCAAACCTTTCTGCGAATTTAGCTAGGTAGATCTTCTTATGCGCTTCCACATTTACGTAGCCCACTGACTTTGTGTTTGTGATATCTCCAAGAGAGTTGAGAGCTTGGGATTTCAAAGAATGGTGAAGAGGACCAATGATGACTAGTTGGGGAGTGTATGCTTTTGCGTTTACGCTACGAAGTCTTTCAGGGACTCTGTAGATGCAACACTTGTCGGGATCTTTAGGAAACTGCCACATCCCTGGATATCCCTTTGGCTCTATGGTTGACTCGGATACCACCCGTATAGAATCCATAATCCAGAATCTGGACGTTTACATGAAAGCAATAGTCACAAGAGGAAGAAGCAGAAACTAATTGACAAGGCTAAACTTGAAAAAGCTGAAAATTATCTATTTGATAAAAAGTCAAAGATTCATAAAAATAAAGAAAAAAAGTTTCTACAATGAAAATCTTATAGAAGTTTTTCCGATAAGCTAGAAATGCATATAAGTAAACGACGTCTGCTCACCCATACAAGATTTATAAGTTACTTGTTCATGATTTTCTATTTCCGTTTCTAATAAGATTAAGCATAACTTCAACTCTATATTATATATAACTTTGTTCAGAAGATCGATAGTACTATAAACAATTTCCTATATCTAACAAATAGCACATAGCATATTCAAACAATGAATTACAGACATACAATTTTAATAAAAAAAAAAGAATTACAGACATACAAACTTACGTTCGAAATCCACTGTCGGTGAGAAGAAGAGATGTATGGTTGAGTCAAAGCTAAAACCATGAGTTTCTTCAAATGGTATATATTCCTATTAATTTAGGGTCTAGTCGATAGTTATAAAATTATACTCCCTCCATTTCAAATTAGTTGTCGCTTTGGGAAAATGTATCTGCAATTATTTGGATGTATCTGCAATGCAAAACACGTCCAAATACGTCCAAATATTTGCAGATACATTTTACCAAAACGACAACTAATTTAAAATGGAAGGAGTAATAAATAGAAAACTACTGACATATTTATTTTATATTATTTAAAAGGGTTGGAATGGGTTTATTATTAAAGAAGGACCGACGTATAATTAGTGATTATTTTACTCTTTGGTCATATACCTACTGCTGCTTAGTAAATAAAATCTATCAATTAAGGGGTAGGGGGTAGGAGGGAAATTGTGCGCTTCACCCAGAAATTTATATTAGTTTTATTGTTTTTCTGAAAATTTATTTCATTTCTATGGTTATTTATTACTGTTTCAAAAATATAATACACATATTAATTATATATAATTAGGGTTAAGTAAATTCTCATATTATCTTGTTCCATTTCTTTCATTTTCATTATGTTCGTTCTTTCCCTTCTCGTCCGTCCTGTCTGTCCCGTTCTGTCCCATACATTCTCATCATATTTTATTATGTCTTTTTTCCATTTTGTTATATCCTATTATGTTTCTTCTTGTCATATTTCCTAAAAATAATTATGTGGATAGGCAAAATTTCTGTCTTGATCCATCCTATCCTATTATGTTCCTTTTTATGTTGTCTCGTTCTTTTCCGTCCCATTCATCTTCTCCACCCATACTTAGAAGTTCTCACCTGATGTCAATTCAAAATCTCTTGTTCATATTTGGCATCCCACAATCTAGATTTATAAGTTACATATGCATAGCTTCAACTCTATATTATGTGTAACTTTTTCATAAGATCAATACTGTTAACACTTTCCTAATCGAATATATTGCACAAAGCATATTCAAACAATCTCTTAAATCAGCAGAAAGACATACAAACTTACGTTCGAAATTCACTGCCGGGAGAAGAAGAGATCTATGGTTGAGTCTAAGCTGAAACAATGAGCTCTACAAATGGTATATGTGTTCTTATTTATTTAGGGTCTGATTTATAACTCTAATAAATAGAACAGTACTCACATATTTTTCAATATTATTAACAAGAAATGGTAACTGGTAAGGAGAGACCGGCATATTATTACTGATTATTTTACTTTTTGGTGAGATAGCTAGTGGCTGTTTAGTTAGTAACAATCTCTCAGTCTCTTTCTCTCTCAGTCATCTGGTTGTTAATTCGATTTTAATATGGCATCAGAGCTTATGTAGTTAGAGTTTGTGTTTTTTTGGAGATTTGAAAAGACAAGAAAGATCGAAGAATAATTGAACGTCTCTTCTAAAGATCAAAAATATTAAGAAGAATGGAAATTTGTGGAATAGGGAAAGGAACAATTGGCTTGGAGGGACGACTTTGGTTATAAAACAAAAAAGATTTGGTTGCATGCAGTTCCATGTTTAAACAAAGGGAATACTAAACCACATAAAATAAATCGGATATATTATTATTTTAAAATAGTTTTGGAATAATACAATATCAACTGAAACATTATCTAATATGAAGGTTACACCTTTTAGCCAGAAAATGGTGACGTAGCTTCGGTTTCAGTAGAACACCTGTTCCACATTTCCTTAGTTTTGATCAGATATTTAGAAGTAGAACTTAAGCCTTTGAGTTGATAGAACTCGAAAAACAACTTCATCCATTCCGCGTGACATTCCTTGCCAGTGTTCACTATCATCCGACAACAATCCGTCGAAATATTTTTGTTCAGAAGAACTTCTTCTCTCACTTCAACGTTACATTTAACACTGTCAGGTCCCATCTTTACTCCGCAGCGAAGAAGATAATCCCGATGTTGCTTTGATTGTCTGTAAATCACTTTGAGATTATAATAATACGGACTAGGCCAATTTTCAATCACTGGAACAAAATCATAGTCATCTATGGCCAAAGCTTGATAAGAAAACAATAGCAAAACCATGATTGTACAAATAGCCATGAAAATGGCTTAGCATAACGAGTCTTGTTCATAATGCAACCAACTAATCAAGTACCAGAAAAGTCTACAAGTCCATATCCACATAACAAATTGTAAGACTAAATTAAACATGTCCAATTTGAAATCATAGTTTAATTTCAGGATATCGTTAAAGAGAGCACAAATTGATAATTAAGATTTTAAGACACACTACACAAATGATTTGAAGAACCATTATTATGTTGATCATGACTGGAAACGAACCGGAGAGAAATGCAAAAGCGTGTCTAAGCGTTCTGCAAAACCTGAATGATTGAAGCAACCGTCTGGACGAGTGTCATCAGCAATAGTAACGTGGCGGCGACAGTTGCCGTCCCATCCACATGTTACCGAAATAAACGCGTTTCAGGATGGCTTTTGACCTAGTCAGTGGGTTTGTATAGTGAGCGTTGACTTTATCCGCTATATCATAATAGTAAGAGCCATTATTTATGGTGCCCAAACAGAGCTTGTTCACCATATTTGCGACCGAGCTGGGTTGCCCAATCCAGTTTTTTATTATCCCTTACAAAACAAACCAAAACCATCACGAATCAATAATACACACACACAGAGACACACAGACAAGTAGACCTCAATAAAGGATAAAAGGGTTACCTTTCTCCACAAGCAACTCGACATCTTTATCCGTGTCGATGAGGTAATCCAGGAAGGTGACGTAACTAGAGACATATGCGGTGTAAGGGTAGTGGCATTGTTCAAGCGCCATTATGTTTCTCAATGTCATTTCCGAACTATCAGCGATCAAAAGACGAGGCATCTTTAAAACACCATTCTCAAATCTCACCTCCAGAGAGAGCTTTTCTTCCAACGCCTCGAATTTCACTCCCCCACTATGTAGCTTATCTGCGTTTAACATATGTTCAAAGTGTTTGAATTCCCGTTGAGCACGCCCTTGAAGTGATTCAACGCGGACACATCTGGCCAAATCAGTGAAATGACTGAAATTTGAGTCGTCTCCGATCTTGTTTTTGAATCCAAAGCAGCTGATGATCAATCGACGGAATGCAAAGTCTGAAGAGAAGAGTGGATGGAAGAGGTTATGGATGATAAAGTAAGGAAGCTGGTTCTCTAACAAGGTGAGGTCATTGTTGATTGTCTCTCTAAGACAAGGCTCGTCAATGAGAGGATCCCCTGTTTTCACTCCACGAATATTGAAAACGTTCCTTCGAAAGAACTCTAGTATGAAAACAGAGTCGAGCAGGATCATCTCCACGAACTCTGAAGATTCAATCCATGTCGTTGATTCTGAGTAGCTTTCTCTGATTCTCTCTTCCTCTTGTTTGATTGTTCTTCTGAAAGAATCAATGGTTTCATTCCCATCAAACCTTTCTCCAAATTTAGCAAGGTAGATTTTCTTATTCGCTTCCACGTTTAAGTAGCCCACTGACTTTGTGTTTGTGATATCTCCAAGAGACCTGAGAGCTTGGGATTTCATATGATGGTGAAGAGGTCCAATGATGACTAGTTGGGGAGTGTATGCTTCTGTGTTTACTCTACGAAGTCTTTCAGGGACTCTGTAGATGCAACACTTGTCGGGATCTTTAGGAAACTGCCACATCCCAGGATATCCCTTTGGCTCTGTGGTTGACTCAGAGACCAGCCGTGTAGAATCCATAATCCAGAATCTAGACTTTTACATTGGAAGAAATAGTTACCAGAGGAAGAAGCAGAAAGTAATTGACAAGGCTAAACTTGAAAAAGCTGAAAATTATCTAGTTGATAATAAGTCGAAGATTCATAAAAAAGAAAAAGAAAAAAAGTTTGCAAACCAAGTCTGCTATCCCTTTGTCGTACTACTTGGCAAAGTTGCATCTTCCATACAAGATTTACAAGTTAGTTGTTCATGATTTTCTATTTCCGTTTCTAATAAGATTAAGCATAACTTCAACTCTATATTATATGTAATTAGTTTGTTCAGAAGATCAAGAAGATCGATAATACTATTAACAATTTCCTATATCTAGAAAATATCACACAGCATATTCAAACAATGACTTACATTATCAGAAAGACATACGAACTTACCTTCGAAATCCACTGTCGGTGAGAAGAAGGGATGTATGGTTGAGTCAAAGCTAAAACCATGAGTTTCTTCAAGTGGTATATATTCCTAATTATTTAGGGTCTAGTCGATAGTTAATAGTTATAAATTTATAAGAGCACATGCAATTACTCTTGCACATACTCATAACTCATATAGGTTCTTTACCAAAAAGAAAAAGAAAATAAAAACAATGAGGTGGTAAGTCAAAAGTGCAGAGACGGTTGTAAATATCTAAGTAAACTATCAATAATACCTATGCCAGAGTTAAAATAATACGTAAGTCCTTCTTTATTATTTTAAGTCTTTGGTTAGATACCCAAGTAAATATCTATCAATCTCTTTCTCTTCCCATCATC